CCCCCCCCCCTCTCCCATCGTCACCGTGCTCGTAACCGTTTGAGCATTATTCACCCTCTTCCCGAATGGGTCGCCTCAGCGGGCAACCACGCTTTTCTCATCAGCTCCTAGCCCTTTTGAGTATCGCGCCCTGATGGCGATGGGCCAGATCTTCGAAAAGCTCAAGATGCCCGCTCTCCCCACCGATTCGGCTCCGTCTTTGGCGTCGTCGCCAACAACACCGCCAGAGTCCAGCTGCTTCCCGACATCTTCACGGGGTTCGACGAACCCGGCTGCTCAATCTGGCAAAAAGCCTTGCTACAGAATCGATGGACTCTATCGCAATCTCACCTTTGTCCCTCGCGCCGACACCAACACTCTCGCCGTCCCGCTCATCATGGCGCACATGTTCTGGTCCTCAGCATGCGAGAAACACGGCGGACTCAACAAGTCGTCCGACTCGTCATCGCACTCCTCGCATCACCACCACGACCATACATCGGCGACCTCTGCAAATTCTCACACGCAAGCTTTCGGGACGTCTGAGCCATCGCCTCCTGCGGCCAAGATCGGAGCGGCCTTCAAGAAGTGTTTTGAAGAGCTTGGCGATTTCATCAAGTACGACCCACCGAACCAGTGCCTCCAGGTGGGGCTGATCTTCGAGACCATCGTCGACACGAAGCTTCGCGACTTTGGGTTCTGCTTGGATGCGAACGGGAGGTATCAGAAAAGGTTCGCACCCGTATACACCTCGTTCACGGTATCCGAAAACGGTGACCAGATAAAGGAAGACTCGAGCAAACATACCTGCGGTCTTGCAAACAAGACTTCTGCGCCTAAATCTGGAGCCAATCAGTCTGCAACGATGGCTGCTATCCCAACCGCGAGTGCTGCAGCTAAAAGGCCAGCGACAGGACCGAATAGCAATACGACGACGCTCACGAAGCACCTCGCCCCCGACGGGCTCAAAACAATTGCACCTTCGGCGGGGAAACCTATTACCACTGCTTGTCTGACTGCCAGCTCCGCATCCACCTCTGCCAGCAAGTCTGCAACTCCTTCAACGGTCGCAACTGACGCTGCAACTGCTCCCAACAAGCCCATCACTGCACGAACGGCACAGAAGAAGCGCGAACGGACGCAACCGGCCTCTCTTCTTTCGGACTGTCGACGACACACAAGCTTCGTCTCGTCCAATTCCGAGTCGCGCAAACACCTCTCCAACGACGCTTCGCTCTCCGACGTCATCAAGGAGCTCAATCGCACGATCCTCCGCTTTGGCGTCAGTCATGGCGACACGCTCGTCTACATTGAGCTCGCCAGCCTTGTCGCGCTCCTCAATTATGCAGCCGCGTTCTACATCGATTTCGCAGACAACATGGAGAGCTACATGCAGAATCGTTTCAACAACGTGCTCGTCGACGAATACTTCCGACACATCTGTCACACGCGTTGCGAGTACATCGAAACGGAAGAATACCGTAGCGAAGGTTCTCCCGACAGCAAGAGGTATTACCTCGACCGGCAAAAGAGGGCAAGCACTTTGGAAGCTGGGTATACGAAGATGGTGCCGGACACGACGGATCTGAGGGACGGGGTGCAAACGGTGCTGTTCACGTTTGTTTGGATCAACTATACGGCGTACAAGGAGGACGAGACAAGCATGTTGGCGACGTGGAACGTGGTGATCCCACTGCTGCAGACGGTGGTGGTGAGGTGCGCGAGGCAGACGTATGCGATGCGGAATGCTCTGACTGCGGCGCAGTACATTTCGAGCATCAGACATGTTCCGACCGAGCACGCGCTTAATCTGCAGAAGGATCTGTTGGAGGTAAGTACAGCACTGCAAAACCTGACCGGCTCCGGGCTGGCGGTGTACTCGCCGAAGCGGAAGAGAGACAAGAAGGGGAAAGCATGGAAGGAGAGTCTCGTCACTTGTCCGTATACGACGCATCTGTATACGGTGGCCGTGGCGGACATCGCTTTCAGAACGCTCTGGCATCTCAACAAGGCGATCGAAGAGGCTTATTTCTCAAAGAAGCCGAAGAAGCAGGAGAAGTGCTCGAAGGATGGATGCAGCTGTGAGACGACGGACGAGAGGAAGAGAGAGACGCTGAAGAGGGCTTCGAATATATTGACGTTGGTAGAGAGGAAGCAGGCTGATTGGAAGCCGCACATGAGGAAAAGGGGTGGCAAAAAGGGGCAAAACAAGCAGGTGGCGAAAGTGAACGGAAGCGGTGCAGCCAAGAAGGGGCAAGAGAAGGAACCCATGGTACGGGACATCATCAGTAAGCGACTGCGAGAGTTTGAAGACTGGTCCTTCCTGCGCCGGCTTCAAGACGAGAGTCGTGCCGTCGAAAAGCGACAGGCTGCCAAAGCCAAGCTCGCTACGTCTACCACCAAAGCTACTTCGGACGTCGACAAGGCGACACCAACCACCGGCAAACCCCATAATACCGGGCCATCAGCCACATCCACCGCCCTCGCCAAGCCCGCACAACCGCCCTCCCGCACCATCCCACCACCCATCGACGCCAACCACTCCTACAACACCACGCTCAAAACATGGATCCAGTCTCTCTCGACCACCGACCACCCCTGCGCGCAACTAGCTGCCTCGTTCGCCAGGATGGAGGGAGGCGAGCTCGATATGATGCTGAAGAGCATGGCCGAGGTGCTCTCGGTGCCGCCTGGATTGACTGAAGTGGAAGGCGACAAGTGGCGTGAGAAGAACATGGATGTCTTTGCGAAGAGGTTGGGTGTCAAGCGGAGGTAGGAAGGGAGGCAATGTTGTTTTTGCACAGTCGGAGATCTCAGAGCATGAATGCATTGCAGGTGGGAGACCGATGAAGGCACGATCTTTGAGGGAACAAAGAGCAATGCAATGCGAGCTAATGGCAGACTTGAACACACCATGACCGGGAGCCCTTTCCAGACGGACGATTCTACCAACGACTCGGGCACTCCAACTCAGCCTCTTCCAGCGCATCGTGCCAATCCCACATAAACCCGGTAAAGCGTTCGACCCAACATTCTTCGCCCACTCTACGTTTCCCTCTCCCTTTTGATCCTTCTTTTCTGCCTGTCGATGATTCGGACGCGTAGTTGAAGTTGAAAGCGAGGACGAGGGCCATTGGAAGTTGTGCTAGGATCAAGAGTGCGCCTAGGATGTTGAGCAGAGTCAACCAGGCTGTGTCGACGATTGTTGGGCCGAGAAGGGCGATGATGATGGCTGCGAATGTTTTTGAGGACGAGGAATGCGCGTGCGAAGTGAGGTTTTGTTCAGCGCAAGCAGGAGGATTGATGAGAGTCACGCTAGGTTGACCGAGTTTGATGGACTCATCTTCAGCAGAAGCAGAGAGCGGAGGAGGGGGTTGGCTGGACGACGGCCGCAACACAGGTGATGAGGAGTAGGAGGGAAGCGGGGTAGCGATCACACTCCTTGGAGACGTCGGTGAAGCAGAGGTACTGGGAGTATCGTCGTTTGCGAGTGGAGCAGCGATCGGGGTGTATGGAGGCGGTGAGGTGGAATCAGTGCTCGAAGTGGTCATTTTCTGAAAAGTGAGAGCTGCTGGGAGCGATGGCGTGCGTTGTCGTAGAGAAACGGATTGAGCGTGCGAAGACATTGCTTGAGGAGAGCCGCTTAGAGATGGAGTTGACTTGCAGACAACACGATAGTAAAGCTGAGGCTGTTCCAGGCGGAGTTGTATTACGGTGCTAGTGTTGGCGATGGCAGTGAGATCGAGAGCGGTGTTGACAGAGGCGTTGGTGGTGGGAGTGAGATATGTATGGGAGGGACAAGGATCGAGTCGTGTGACGATTGAGGCTCGAGCCCGCTTCATCCAGGGATGCCACTGCAATGCCTCCCTGCGCAGCGACACGGTGCGCCACCCTTCCAACCGCCGATAAGATAAGAGCCTCTGTTTTCGTCCCTACCGCCGCTACTCCTCCCCCGCATTTTCTCCCCCAGCTTTGCCCTTACACACATCTCCCCCCCTTCCTCTCGTATCACACTGCGTTCCCTTTCCTCTCCTCCGCACCAAAAAATCTCCCCCCTTCCATTGCGCGTGAGACCTCTCGCGGTCTACGATAAGAGCATGATCTCCTTGGCTCGACAAAATTTTCGGCGCACATTTTGACGTGACCCTGCATGAATGAAGCCTTGATCTTTTTTGCCTAGGCTCAACTTGCTTTCCCTGCCCAGCTGGACCCTATCCGACACCCTTCTCACTTCACCTTCTGCACAATTCACGTCGAACGACCTGCTCGCTTTCATCACAGCACAACACACGCACACCACCCAACACAACATCTTCCTCTGATAGTCATGAATTTTAGTACCAACCGCCTCGTCGCAATCACATCTGCGCAGCAGCAGCTTCACCCATAATCGGCAAGCCAAACAACCCAGCCAACCTGTCAAACCCATCCTCACCTCCTCCTTCCACCTTCCCTTCGTTCCTGATCACCTCCACCGCGTCCTCCGCCTGCCTCCTCCTAGCGTCCCTGACCCTCCTCTGATGCATACCACATGCGCCGCACTCCGCCTCCTCCTCGCCCAGACACCTCTGGTGATAGCTGTGCTTACACATGAAGTGCACGCTCGGAAGATCGAGTTGTCCACCACATGCTGTGCATCGCGTCATCTGGAACACCCTGTTTGCGCTCGGATCGGTGAGTTCCGAGATCTCTTGGAGAGTTTCTGCAGTGGAACGTTTGTAGTCCGCGATCGCCGAAGCGTCTTGAGATGTGGAAGTGAGGGTGGAAGAGATGGACGTGATGATAAAATCGCGTATAACACCGACTTGCGTGTGAGGGGTCGAGGAGAGCGTCTGGATGATCTCGAGCGTCGACATGAGTGACGTGTCTCGGATCACGGTTAGTATCGAGAGCAAGTCCGAGGTGTGAGTCTCCAGCAGAGTGGGCGACGAGACGAGGAATCGTAGCACCAGATCGTACAGTTCCGGTCGAAGTGGTCCATATCGATGCAAAGCCGAAATCACCTTGGCACTGCTGCCGGACCCCTCCGAATCGACGAGCGCCGAATCCATATGCAGCCGGACCACGTCCTCGTACATACCCATCCGCTCGTACAGCAGGATCAAACCATCGTCGAAACCTTCCATCGAGCAAAGCATCACCGCATGGCTCATGTCGTAAGGTAGTGTCGAGTACTGCTGCAGCAATCGCAAGGCTTTTTTACGTTGCGATGTGCCAGAGGTGGACGACAGGTACAGCTCGAGCAGTGTGTTCCAGATGGACTTCTGGTCGAGCACCTCCTGGTCTTCGTAACCATCCTCACCATCGCCGTCCAGGCCCAACTCGCGAAGCGCCCTTTCAACGTCGTCCATCCCGTCGTCTCCATCGCCATTCTCCGTATACGCTGGCGCCTTCTTCTCCTGCACCGGAGACAGCAATTTGTCGCCAGCTGGCTCGGCGTCCATATCCACGACTTGACCCCATCGTGCAAGCGCGACAGTCTCCAGGAAGCGAATAAAGTGATTGGGATGCTGGATGAAGTGCGCAAAGTAGGTTCGCGGTGAAGGCACCGGATATGCCTCCATCTTGTCTTCTTGCTCTGGATCGACGCCTGTGACGCCGCTCGCATCTGCGGCATCGGCCAGCGAAGTATCGGCGTCCACTTCGCCTAGTCCTCTGACGGTGCTGGACGGGCGTGTTCCTGACTTACTGTTTGCATCGCCGCCGATGCTGTACGGATCAGCGATCGCTGCAGTCGAATTGCGTTGCGCGGGCGTATTGCTACTCGTTCCTGCGCGAGAGCCTGCTCCACCTGCACCACTGGCTGCAACTCCGTCCGCAGCTTGCGTCTTGCCAAAACCTCCCACCTGCAGATAGCTCAGATAGGCCGCCGCAGCCGATTTGGCCGGCTGCTTCTTCGCCTCTCCCTCCTGCTGCACACGCAGCGCCTTCTGAGCTGCATCCGGATCAGGTCTGAATGCACCCGAGCACAACTCGATCAACAACTCCGTCGTCTCGTCCGGCAGTTCGGCCAGCAACGTCTTTGCATACTGCGCCATGCTCGCAATCGCATCCTCGGCCTCCAACCCGCGTACGTACAGCAGAGCGTCGCTGTAATCCTTTGCATCCTCGATCTGGATGCGCAGGTACTCTCGATGCTCGCCGTACCGTTTCGCCAGGTAAGCCGCGTGACCGAAGTACCCGGCTTGACGACAGACGCGCATCGCCGTCTCTAAATCGAACGGCAGCTCATCCCGATCTTCAGCACCTCCCTCGTCCGCACCCTCCTCGTCCACAGCCGCTGTCGACGCTTTGACGTGCGGTCGCTTGATGAACTTGTCGAGCGAAGCAACATCCTTCAACTTGGTGTAGCAGTTAAGCAGCAGCGTCGTGTGATCCGAACTGGCCAGGTTCTGCGCATGCAGCTCCTGCAAGTAGGTGGTCAGATTTGTGATGCGTTGCGCGTCTAGGAATCTACGAATCACGAAGGACGGCTGCGTGTGACCGATCGTCTTGACGTACTGCGCCATGGCACCGTCGAAATCTCCCTTGTTGTAGAGATGGTCGCCGTATCGTTGGTAGATGTCGCCCATAAGCGCCTCTGTTCGAGCGAGCACATCCGGATTCGCTGCACGTTGCATATGCGAACGAGCTAGGTTGACGGCCAACAGGAACAGACTTTTGCGGTACAGAACGTCCAGCTTGGCTCGCAGCGGCTTCTCGTTCAACCGGGTCAACTCGCCTGTATCGCTCAAGACGAGCACCTCGCCGGCTGCTCCAACCCACGCCTCTCGAATGCCGGAATCAAACGTCCCCGTGAATGCCACGAGTTTGTTGTCCAAATCAAAGATCGTGATCTTGGCGACCTCGGCGGGGATCATGGAGCCCTTGCGCGATGTGGGTGTTGTCAGAGGGGAATCGCGATTACCAATCAGGTTTCGAGCAGAGGACGATGTCGACTTGTTGGATGGGGTGTAGGGCGGGGAAACAATGACTACCTGCGACGCCGAAAGGTGGATCGAAGATTTAGGACCCTCATAGGCAAAGCACGCCTCGCGTCCTTCCTGACCGATCACGTAGATGGCTTCGTCGCGGGCGATGACCATCTTGCCCGCCGAGCTAGCGCTGCCTAGCGTGCTCGACGCTGCCGTCGTTCCTGCTGCGACGGCACCAGCTGCTGCTGAAGCAACGGTCGCAGGTCTAGGTGGGATGACAGCTGCACAGCCAAGCGCACCGCCGACGTCGTCGAGGACAGCAGGGCTGCCACCTGCACCTTTGCCGACGACCACGTATCGTAGCACGCGCGAGAGTGTCACGATGAAGAGGTGGATCGCTGAGGGTGACACCGTGCTATCCGATGGCGTTGCAGCGGTTGCATTGGCGTTGGCAGCGTTGCGAGGGTCTCTTGCTCGACCAGCTGCACCTTTGCGCCCTTTCGATCCGTGCATGACTCTAGGCTCGTATGCTGGTGTTGCAATATTGACCTTGTCACTAGCCGCTGTTGAGCCTGCGGCAACCGTCGCAGCAGCCTCCGAAAAGCCGAGCGCAGTCACCGGCTCATGAGCGCCCGTGTCAGAGCCTGCGGGCTGAAACACCACCTTGAACTTGGGTAGGACGATTGCAGCAGCTGGTCTCGCAAGCGACGTCGCAGAAGCAATCCCGGCACTGCCCGCCGCCGACATGAGCGCAGACTCGAGTCCACGAATGAGCAGCACGGTCCCATCTGCTAGAGCGACCGAGAGGTAAGAGAGCGAAGGGGTATGCGCCACCGCTGCAATCGGATGAGGTCGACTTCCATGTTGTACTTTTCCTTCTGCCAACAACCGAGGCATCCAGGCCACCTTTTGCGTTGTCGTCGAGGCTCCGTTCGTTTCAGACGCTGCAGCGTCCTGACGACCCGGACTGCGTCCGTTGCGAACGTCCCAGATCCTCAGAATCGGGAAACGAGAGCTATCCTCCTCACCTAAAGACACGACTCTACCACGAGCATCGCACGACAGATGCGTCACTCTACCGGCAACACCTGCTGAAGAGAAAGCATCCCACGACGACAGCTCCTGCAACGTTTCTGGGTCGAGCACTTTGATTCTGCCTTGAATCGTACCGACGAGCGTGCAAGGTTGCTTCCGCGTCGATTTCGACGTCTTTGCGGTCTTCTCCGTCGACGATGATGGATCGGCGTCGAACTGGACCGAGGTGGATGCAGTCGCAGTGCTCGAGTCTATGCTGCTGGTGAACGCGGATGGTGGTGGTCGAACCGGACACTGACACACCGCCGCTACTTCGTTCGGATGTCGTAGAGCAGACGGCGCTTTTGCAAAGTCATCAACGTCTCGGACTGGCGATGAGTCGAAGAAGGAGAACTGTCGCCATGCAGGGCCAGCCGCTGCTGTTGCCGTCGCCGCGGCTGCGGCTGCTGCTGTGCCGATCTCGCCGTGAGACGCCGCGGGTTGGTTCGGCATTGCAATTAGAAGCGCCGCCGATGCGCCTCTTCAAGTATGCGTGCTGTATCTGTGTGCTGCTGTGACAGCGACACAATACGGTTGAGGCGAACCGTGAAAGGAGGTATAGATATGGATGTCGTGAGGGAGAGCAAACGCAGATGATCTGTGCATTGTCGTTCGATGCGTGAGCGATTCCGTGGAGGTGTGACACCAGCTTCGGCGTAACATATTTACATATTTCGTCGTCACCTTTCGTCTTTTCTCTTCATCTTTACCCGCTCCTTCCGCTGCACACACACAAACATACACACAGATGGGCGCGTTACTGAGATGCGTTTGTATGAAAGTGGTGATGGGCTGTATGTAGTATTACCATTTCTGTGAGGGAACGGCAACTAATTCAGATCGCCGCCAAGCCAAGCAAAGACCAAAAAGGCAACACCGTACGGCGTAGCCAGCCGCTTCAAGGTCCACGCCACCCTGCCGCTTCCCCAGTGTCTCGAGCCCTTCTGCAGCGTGCCCTTATCGCTCGCACCGAACCCGCCTGTTCTCCTCCTCGCCGCATTTACATCCGCCGCTGCACGTCCTCCATCTAGCTTGTCAGCTACCGTGCCGCTAGCCAAACTGAAATTGACCGGGTTGTTGCTGATCCACGTGCGCTTGAGTTTCGCTTCCGGCGAATCAGCCGCTCTTCTCCGCGACGCTAGCGACAGGAGCAGTGTTCGTTGGGCTACCGTCGTCACCTTTTCTGCGAGATTGGCACTCGAATGTTGCGTGACGGAAGAGGAGGAGGAGGGTCGAAGATTCTTGTCGACACCAGCGGCGGTTCGTACGATCTGATTGTCGAGCACCGGTTTGGGTATCTCCGGTAGAAAGGGAGCGATGAAGTACGTGTGGAGGAGCAGCAGCGGGATGGATGTGTTAGACGGGTCGACGTTGCCGCCGGAGTGGACGCGGTCGAGTTTGGCGGTGGACTGCGCGTGCTCGATGAGCAGGGTTAGGAAGCCAGGTCGAGTGGCGAGGGTCGGCGAGGGTCGACGGCGTTTCGACCTGTGTTGAGTTGGGGCAACTGTCGGATGCGTTTCTGCTTTCGATGACGGTTCTTCGGTCTCTGATGGCGAAGAGGTGGATCTCTGTGCTTTGCGTTCCATGAGAGCGCGAGAGCTGGTGAGCATCGGTGTGGCCGTCCCATTCACCCCTGGCGAGTACCACTTTTCAGTGGTCGCTCGACGACGCAGAGGATGTGGCGAACGTGGAATCATTGCCCGCTCAAAGATCCTCGACATCTGCTTGCCCGACGTGTTCTCCGCTCGCAGGACGAGAAAGTCCGGTCGCCGTCGAAACGCTCTCGGCCCCAACTCCAATGCTCTAGCTGCTGCGTTCGCCCTGGCACCTTTGACCGCCGACCTGCCCACTGTGCTGAAGCCCGTCGCGCCATCCGCCGGCTTGCTCGCTCTCCGTGCAGACGAGGAGCGTGACGCAGTGGTACGGTATCCCGGCTCGCGTTTGCCTTGCTCCCACTGCTTTCTCCCCTCCCAGATGACCACTCGCATCAATTCGAAAGGTCGACCGACGAGCTCGTACGAAAAAGCACCGACAGCGCCTCCGACCAGCAGCATGATGACGGCAACGACACGGCCCTGTACGGTTCGAGATTGGTTGTAGCTGACGTCGGCGTCGATGACTGATTTTTGTCCTTGCCGGATCCAGTGTCCCACGCCGCCTTCACCTTCTATATGCATGTCTCCTTCGCTGCCGAGCCCTTCATCGACCCTGCGTCGTCCCACCACATTTGTTCCGTCACCTTGCTGCTGCGCCTCGCCAGCCGGACCTCTCATGCGAACAATGCCCAGCCCGCGAGCATTGAACCAAGCACTGACTCGATCCATCGACGTCGATGCGAAGAACGCACACCTCCTCGACACCTCAAAGATGAAGAAAAAGCTTCCGAAGCCCACACTATCACGGATCAGCGACAGAGCCAATCCCGACCCGTGCACTCCACCACGCCATCGTTTCAAGCGCCTCTCCCACTCCTGCCTCTTCTCGGGCGACATGGTGAACCTCTCCGCCATGCTTGCGTTTGCATTCGCCGACGTCGTCGCCGGCTCGATCAGGGCGATGAGTCGAGCACGGAGGGTGGGCTTGGGTGCGCGTTTGGAGCGTTCGATCGTCTCGTTCTGGACGTCCTGGACGAGTTTGTCGCGGGCGATGGCGGGAGCGAAGGGCAGAATGGCAGCTCGAAGGATGGCGCGCCACGAGATCGTGGTGATGGGATGTGCTGTTGCGCTTCGATGGTGTGCATCGGGTCCACTGACGTTACGCTGGATGATGTAGCGTACGTTGTCGAGCGGCGCTGATAGGAAACACTGCGCTGCTCCAGCTACTGCACCTGAAGCCGTGACGATCCACAGCGGAGTCCACTTTGGCTTTCTCTCATCCTCATCTTCTGTTTCTTTTCCTGATGCAATTCGTTTCGCTTTCGCCTTGGCAAGCAGTCGACTTTCAGTGATGCTGTATGCTTCAAAGAGCGTGAACCCGATCGCTGTGTTGAAGAGCAGCGGAGGCAGCAGCAGATGCGGTAGGAAGTTGGAGTTCTCCCGCCGAAGAAGCGTTCGAAGGTAGCGGAGGCTGAGCGAGCGACCTTCGCGCTTGGCCATTGCCTCGAGGATGGTCCATGACGACAATTTGACGGGTCGGAAAAGTCGAACGGGACGTTTGAAGAGGAAGGCTAGCGTGCCGAAGAGGGCGCGGATGACGGCACCGCCGAGCGACTCTTGGCGGGTCGGTTCTCGTGATCCAGTTGGGCTTTTTCTGGTCGAACTGCGTCTTTTGGCGACCTTGTTGGAAGGTTCGACGCCATTGCTGGTGGACGGAGCTGCAGACGCCAGGTTGGGCGATGCAGCTGTCGACATGTTGGGCACGCCGCAGCACCGAACCCGCCGCTTGCTCGAGACGCTTCTAGCGGGCTAGGAGTTGAGTGACGGAGTGTCGAACATCATTCTGAGGGCAAGTACGGTGAAGAAGCTGTTCGGGAAAGTAGTGGTGAGCAAGAGGAGCAAGTTGTACAACTTCGAGCGACGCACGAGCCGTTCCGAAACGCCGCGAAATTTGATCGCCCATCGAAAAACGCCGATTGGACCCTGTTCGCTTCATCTCACACTTCTTCCGTCACCATCACCATCGTCATCACCGCCATCACCCACTACCGGAATGATGCGGCGAACCACGCATCGCAAACCATCAAAGCTAGCGCTTACGCTATCGCTCTTCTTTCTTGCTACGCTGACCACTGCCTCCGACTCCACATCACCAGCAGAACGTCGCTCATGGAGACCAGATAGCGAGCAACCCGGGGCCAAATTCGTCCTCGGCGACGGCAAGACCGAAGGCTCAAAAGTGAAAGGCTACGAGGGGGAATGGCCGCTCTGGTCATCATCACGAAAGACCCAATCAAGTGCAAACCATGCAAACCCGCCCGAAGCTTCGAACTCTGTCGCTCCGCAAGCTGGATCGAGCAACTCCACCGCCCACGTATGCTCCCCCATCGGAGACTGCGAACCTTGCCCCGAAGACGTAATCCACCTCCCCTACTGTCGCCCTTACAACAACCGCCGCCGCGTCGCATGCAGCCCCGTCACCGACCGCAACGACCCGCAAGCCGTCCAATCCGCACTCCGCGCTGCCAACTCCGCGAAAACAGATACTTCCGCCGCAAACGTCCGGCTCGGATACGAGGCGTGCGGCAAATCAGCCAAGCAGGAGGCGAGAGACTACTTTGAGATGATCGGGGTTATTGCGAGCATTGCGATCTTCTCGGTGTGGGCATTTGTGCAGAGGCAGAAGCTGCTGTTTAGGAGGCAGAATCAGAGATTGCAGAGTCGAGTGACGGGCAGGAGGAGTTCGGGGATTCCGACAGGGGCGGGTGGTGGTGCGGGGATGCAAGGGAGAGGGAAGAAACGCGCGGCTAGGCTGGCCATTCCGTCTGGTCAGCGTTGATGTGAGGAGTTGTCGCTCAATCTCATGACGAATCAGTCATGTGTAACATCACAGTGCCGCAGAGGTGTTGTAGGATCGACCTTTCAACCGACAATCGATTAACGGATCAGTACAAGCTATTCAATACTTTTCTGTGCCTGCGTTCAAGCAGTGCGTGCGGTACTAGCGTCCCTTCCGACCTCGATCTCGCCCGTCCCCACGGCACCGGTACCGCTCTCCGTACCGGTGCTCCTGCTCACCGTCTCGAGAATATCATCGGGCTGCTGAGCACCGGAGCTCTTTGCCTCACCACCCAGTGGGTTGTGAGCTGCGCTACCTGCGCTGCTGGCGGCGAGTTTTCGGAGATCGGGCTGGTCCTTGTTGAATTCGGTGTTGCGTTGGTTCTGCAGCTGATCGCGTTTCTCAGCGCCAGGGGTGGAGATTCCCTGTTCGGCACCGTTGAGCTGGCCGAAGCCGAGATCGGCTGCGTTGGAGGAGGTGGTGGTGGAGGTAGGGATCGAGTCGCCTTCGCGCTGCGCTTGGGCGAGCTCCCGACGGGCGTCGCGTTCGGCACCGATCTCAGAGCCGAGCGCAGCGGCGCCGGAGGGTGCGCTAGCGCCGGCCTTGTTGGGTCCGGCGGACGAGCCGGGGAGCGAGTTGGAGGATCGGTCTTGCTGCATTTTTAGTCTGCGGTGGTTGCACAAGGAGAGAAGGAAAGGTGGAGGGGTTAGTTCAAGCGCGACCGGGGTGGAAAGGCCCAAGCGGGTAAGGTGCAATCACTTACGATTAAGTGAGAAGGTATTTCAGCACGAGTTGGTTTGGGTTGTGGTGGTGTTCGTTTGATGGGAACCGAAAAGATCGAGCTTGTAGCAACAACTCTGTATATATAGCCATCTGCAACGCAATACTGAGCGCAACACATCTTCGGAACATCTCTCTTGTCGAGGCTCAGCACATACTGTGGCATTTCCTCGACTGTGTTCCATTTGCGAAGCACAATGCAGTCACAGCTGACACAACCCGCTTTTCCGCTCTACCATCCTTCTGACCGCATCCAACTTTCACCCAAGCGAGCTCAGCTTCAGACCTTGTGTGACTTCATACTTCATCTGTGCACATCGCCTAACCCGCACGCGCTCCCGTCTCTCGGAAACCAAGATGAATCAGCTGTGCAAAGCGAATAACGCTCTAAAATTTGTTCTTTCCATTTCTCCTCCAGCTCAGAGCCGCCTTTCTTCCGAAGAAAAAAAAGCCTCCACATACAGAGACACACGGAACGGAAGATCATCAGTCACACGCACAGCCGCCGCCAGTGTGTCAGATGTGGACCCTGCATCTGATCCGCAAGTGAGGTAAGTTGAGCTCAATTTGACGTCAAGTTACACCAACACATCGCTCGCTGTGCCAACACACCCTCTCAATTGCTGATCTTGAGCTGTGGTATACATTTTCCCTATCCACTTGCGCAAATCTCAATCTACATGGCTGGCCAACCTTGCCTTGATGCCCGTGTTCTTGGCATCCAGCTTGGAGATCTTGGTCTGCAACTCGGCCATCTTGAACATCAAAAATTCGGTCCTCGCCTTGGCCGCTTCACTGGTACTGATCGCACTCTGTCCACCACTTCCACCGCCGAAGATCCCCAACAACCCGCTGCCACCTTCCTTCTTCTCGTCGCTCGGTAGCACCGCTCCGCTCGTCGATCCAGCTCCCGAAACGACCTTGAACGGCGAGCCTTGGATCATCTTGCTGATGTCCGCAATTTCAGCCTCGATGGTCCTCATCGATTTCTCTGCCGACTCGATCGCCCCCGCGTTGGCCATCAACGTCTGCGTATCGTTGAACACTTTGTCCCCTACCAGACGTTTGATCGCTTCCTGCATGACGGGTCGACCGGCGCGGATGGCCGAGGGTCGTCCGTCGTGATGTCGCACCGAGATGATCTCGGCCTGCTCGAGCGACTTGATCGCCGATTCGTTTCCTTTGAACTCGTTGTGCAGCAGACCGTAGTACGAAATCTCGCCCGTCTTGGCGAGCTTGTTGACGACGGTCCACGCCTGGGATCGCGTCCAGGGGAGGGAGGAGGCCTCGCCAGAGTCGTCGCCGAACGCGTTCTTGCGCAGCTCGACCACGCTGCGCGAGATAATGTCTTGCACGGCAGATTCGACTGTCTGGCCCAAAGATACTTTTTGCACCAATGTTTCGAGATCTGTGAGCCGACCGCCGAGCTTGTCGACCCAAGAGGCTGTTTCTTCGTCCAACGCAGAAGCGTGCTGCGGCTCGGAGCTCTTCGTAGTTCCTCTTGATTCATCAGTGTAGTCCGCGTTTGACTTTGCGAATTCAGCTGGTGTTGCTTGGAACTGCGAAGCAGTCGCTCCGTAGCTCGGCGGCGACGATTTTGCATCGGCACTATCGAGCGTAGGCAGCCGACCCATCTCCTTGAGTTTGTTGAACACGTAGCTTCGCGCCTTGTCTTCTTCTGCATCAGCAAGCGCAATGCCCTGGAATGGAACATTCGGCAATGCCTTTGCCAGCTCCTTACCCATCCCGACCGGATTGTCCGACACAAACACGACATGGGCGATACCGTTGGTCACCAACTCCGCCGCCCACTCGGCCAGCACTTGATGCAGGATGGCCTGCTTGATACCCTTGTGATGGAACTGCTTGATGACGACCACGGGCGAGTCGAAGGATTTCTTCTTGTCCTTCTTCCCATCCGCGTCCGCATCATCGCCAGATACGAGGCTGTGCAGTGATTCCATCGTGTTGTGTGCCAGCGCCGAAGCCTTCTCTTCGAGCGACTCCTTCTCCGCGGCAGCGCTGTTCTGCACGGCAGTCAAACCAGTCGTGGGAGTAGGTACCGATGTGGTCTTGAGCTTCTTCTCTGCCGCAAGGCGAGCTTTTTCCGCCTTTGCGATGCGTTTCTGCGTCTGCTCGTTGATGTGGTTGAGCGCGTTGGTGGTGACGCCCAGGATCTGCTTGAGCTGTGCATCGGTCGGCGTAGCAAATCCAGCCTTGGACCCGATGAGACCGACCGCCGCGAGATCGATCATGCTGTTGATGCTGCTCAGCCAGCTGAACACAGGCCAGTAGCCCGTCTCGTTGGCCAAGGCGTCGATGAGCAGCGAGTCGTTCTTGGCCGTCTTGGCGATGGCATCGCAGTCGATCACGAGATGCTGGACTTCGCGCGTGATGGCTTTGCCCACCAGACCCGTCTTGCCCGATCCGCGTGGGCCAGAGATGGTGACGAACGTGGACGGCTTCTCGCGGATCCACTCCTGAATCGTCTCTGCCGATTGCCTGCGCTCCCACCAGTCGTCGACGTCTCCCTTAGCATCGCCGTCGGTGTCCTTGAACAGACCCACGGTGTTGCGTTTGAGCCAGGTGTAGACGCGATATTCATCCAGCGAAAACGTGTTGTGCACCTTGCTCTCGACCATGAACTCGCGCACGGGATCAAAGACCATGTACGAGATGCCGCCGATGAGGAAAGCGACCAGGGGAAAGACCAGCCTTGGATGGTTCGTGATCCAGTCCCACGCCTGCTTGCTGCGGAGCATGCTGCGGAAGGTGATGATGAATCTGGCGCCATTGGGTAGCTCCAGGCCGTGAGCACAGTTGCGGGCGCTGGTAGCACCTCGGATGCGCGAAAAGGTGACCAGAGCCTCGGAAGGCTTTTCCTTGACGATCGAGACGATGCGACCGTAGGGACGCAACGTCTGCCAGAGCTGCTCCTCACTAGCGTCTCCGCCTTCGAGCTTGACGAAGATGCGCGTGGCAGGGAAGATGTTCATATCCTCGCGGAACGGCTTGCCTCGCACGACATGGACGCCAGGAGTGCCGAGGAAGAAGAGGAGCGGATTGAAGACACGTCGAACACCGGACTTGAGACGCTTCTCGATGTTGTTGAGCGACTCTTCGTTCTTTTCGTTGGGGTCTTCTCTGTAGGAAAAAGTGACAAAGGCTCCTCCATCCTTCATACGCTCTTCTGCACCGATGACTTTGAAGCCGTAGCCGACGCTTTGATCGGGAGGCAAGCTGGCCTTGACGCGATCGAGGACGGAACGTTTCTCTAGCGAGGCGAGCATGTATCGAATGTCCCAGAAACCAAGCCGGATGGGGAAGACGGTATCAAAGTACAGGTAGCCGATCTTGCGGAAAGGATCGTTCTCGGTCTCAGTCTCGGCATCTTCTGCAACTTTGGCGGCCTCTGGCGAGGTGGAAGCGAGCGCTGCTGAAGAAGACCATCGAGAGCCGAGGTGATGGTTTGCCGCGAGGATTGGGATTCGTCGGTCTAGGCGGTTCACAGCGAGCGCACGCGAAGGAGCAAGCGCTGAGAATGCCACAATACGAGCCGAGGCTAATGTCGATGCGCTTGCTTTCGTGCTGGTAAACGAGGATGAGCTACCGTATCGAGTGCGCAGTGAGACGGCAGGGCCGAAGCCGCCAGCGCACCGGGCACGAGATGAAGCCCTCGTGAGGAACATTATGGTGGTGAGTGATCCCGCCGTTTCTTGATGTTTCGAGGTTGGAGCACACCTCCTTCCGTTGAGGATGATGGTGGACACGGAGTGAGGCACAGGTAGCACAGCCGATAAGAGGCAAGCAGCAAGCAGGCGGCACAGTCATGGGCACAGCAGCCAGCAGCAGCCAGCAGCCTCGCTCAGGGTCCATGTAATTTTCGGGTCTTCCGCGGTCAGAAGCCACTTTTTCTGAAACAATCGAAATACGTCACTTGGCGTACAACACGAGAGAAATCGCGCCCAGTTGCGCGCTGCTCCTCTGGCTCGTGCATCGCCCGTCTTTGCTGCCATTTGACCGTTGTTAGTCGTATGGCTTAACATACCGCAAAATTCAAACCGAGACCCTTTCTTGCTCTCGCATCGGCCTTTTTTTCTTGTTGACCGAGTGGAACAAGATCCCGAACAAGTTGCTTTCTTCTAACAACGTCGCTCTCTTCTTTGACGCCATCATAGACGCCTATTCACATCATGAGTCGGCCTGTGGTCGAAAAGCTAGCTCGGACTGCGCTTCGCAGCGGTGTGGCTCCATCGACATCGTCAAAGCGGAGCATCGCGCATCGTGCAGCGTTTGCATCGACCTCCTGGCGAGCATCCTCGTCGTCCTCGACCTCGTCACCCTCTTCTTCGGCTACATCATCATCCGACGCAACTCCCAGCACTTCCTCCAACGACCACCGCTCGATCGGAAAGTCTCAAACCCTCTTCCTCACACACGACTCTTCCCCCGGCACCCCTTTCATCCTCCCGCACGGTATGCGTCTCGCTCGCAAAGTAGAACGCGTCGTACGCGACCTCTACGACGTCTACGGCTACGACGAAGTCCAATCCCCGCAGCTCTACAAGACTTCGCTCTGGAAACGTTCCGGACACTGGGACAACTACCGCGACGATATGTTCGCCGCCGAAGGGTACAAGGAACGCTTTTCTTCTGCGACAACGGATCGTCCAGCGTCGTCAGGGTGCTGTTCGATACAATCTACAGAGGCAGCGGAGGACGAAACGTTTGGGTTGAAACCGATGAACTGCCCGGGACACTGCTTGATATTCGCGTCCGCGGAGAGGTCGTATCGAGATCTACCGATTCGGTACGCGGAGTTCTCCCCGCTGCATCGGAACGAAGCTTCGGGGGCACTTACGGGGTTGACGAGAGTGAGGAGGTTTCATCAGGACGATGCGCACGTGTTTTGTCGACCGGATCAGGTCTCGACGGAGATCAACTCGATGCTGTCCATGTTGACCAGTGCGTACGATACGTTTGGGTTCAGCGACTTTGAACTAGTTCTCTCCACAAGACCCGAGTCGTTCATCGGAAGCATAGACGAATGGGATAAGGCCGAGTCGGGGTTGAGGGAAGCACTCGATTCCAGCGGTAGGACCTGGTCGTTGAACGCTGGAGATGGGGCTTTCTACGGACCCAAGATCGACATCCGTCTCGTCGACGGTCAAGGTCGAAGGCATCAAACCGCAACGATTCAGCTCGACTTCCAACTACCCCGACGATTCGATCTTTCGTACGCCGATCCGCACTCCCCCTCGACCAACGAACGCAGCGTACCCGTCATGATCCACCGCGCTATCCTCGGCAGCGTAGAGCGATTCATGGCCATCCTCATCGAACAGACCTCCGGCTGGTGGCCCTTCTGGCTCTCCCCGCGTCAAGCCATCGTCATCCCTGCCACCACCAACTCCCCTGCTCTCCTGCAGTACGCCGAGAACCTATCCAAATACCTCTCCCTCGGCATCCATCCGGATTCTCCACCCCAAGAATCTGCTTCGCGCCATCTGCAGCGCTTCTTCGTAGACGTAGAATCCAACCCGCAAAACGAAAAACTCGGAAAACTCGTCAGAAAAGCCCAACTCGCAAGATACAACTACATCCTCGTAGTCGGTGAAAGAGAGATGCAGACAAACACCGTCAATGTTAGGAAACGAGATGATAAGGCTGCCCCTTCGCGGCTGAGGGAGTTGGCGGAGAAGGGAGCGGAGGGAGAGAAACTTTCCGGTCAGTTCGAGCCAAAGCAACTGCGAGAGTTGTTTTGCAAGTTGGACTCGAGTCATGCTTGGTAGATACACACACACACACACATGTCCAACACGATCATTCGGAAATGAAACAGCATATCATTACCCCCAAAAACCCGCGCGCGTCTAAACAGCCTTCTTGTGCTCGAAAGCGTGTTCCACCTCATGATCCACATGTATAAACGCCCTCTCGACCATAGGCAGTGACTCCAAATTGTCCTGCAGCGCCTGACTCAGATCATGGCTCTTCCACAGAGGTGTCTCTGGATGCATGACGATGTCGATCTCTACGATGTACCTCGGACCGGAACTGTACGCCCTAACGCTCTCGATCGCCTGGATCTCGTCGCTGAATAGCGCCGCATTGTACGTGACCAGCTGCAAAAAGTCGGTGGGTGCAGCGGCGCCGGCGAGCGTCTTGAACTCTCCGAACGCCGTTCGCGTCCACGAGGTGATGATGGCGAGCGAGATGACGAGCGCACCCGCGGGATCGATCCACCCGGCCACCGTGGCACCGGCGGCCGAGGTGAAGATACCGAAGCCGTTGATGAACAGATCGTTGCGGTGATCTTGATACAGAACTTCGACCTGCGAGCTGTACTTGCGCAGTCCGAAACAGTAGATGGCCAGGATCGCCTTGGTGACAAAAGCGACGCCGACAGCGATGAGTGAAGCAATGTGCAGCTTCCTGTCGTTGTCGCCCGTGGCGAGGTCCTTGATGGACTCGACGACCAGGATGGCAGAGACCATACCCATGAGGGCGGCGTAAACGATGTTGCCGATGGGCTCAAAGCGCGAGCCTCCGATGGGCCACTTGCGGTCGTCGACCTTTTCGCTCTTGCGATGCAGCCAGTTGAGGACGATGTTGGCGAAAGGGTCAAACACCGAGTCGGCGGCCGTGGCAAACAGCGAGAGCGAGAGCGAACTGACGGCGGCGTAGAGCTGGAGTACGGCGAGCGCAAAGTTGGCGCCGATCGAGGCGTACACGGCGATCTTGACCTTGAGCGCAGACGACTCGCGGTCCTGCTTGTCCTCGTCTGCGTGCGCCGAAATGGGCTTGAGCAGACGCTCGATGTGCTCGTTCTGCGCCTCGTAAAAGTCTCGGATCTGGCGCTCGCTTCGCTTGTTCTTGCCCTTGCCCGAGTGTCGACGACGGATATCGGACTCTTCGACTACACGAGATCGGAGCAGCAGCGGGTCGGTGTCCTCTGTGCCGGGAGTGGCAGGTGCAAGGCCAGCGTAGCCGAGCGAGCTGGCACGCGAGCGAGTAGGGCGCGGTGCTGTGGCGTCATCGGCAGGCGCCGCCAGATGAGGTTCAGCCTGGGCGTGCGCAGAGGTAGAGGAAGGCACAGGGGCAGGTGGCGAAGAAGAGTTGCTGTGGTGCTTGTGGGCGTGGTGGAAAGCGGTGCTGCCCTGCGCTCTAGCATAGGCGGACGAGGTGCTGGGTCCGATGTTGACATCGATGGTGATGTCGTTGCCCAGGTTGTTCTTGTACGTCTTGAGGTGGGCAGGCATGGGCGACGAAGAGGGTGCAGTGGAAGGACGATACTTGGAGGCGCGAGCAGCTGCCGGAGTTGGAGCGGTAAGCTCGATGTCCTGGTCGTCTACGGGTGAGAGTGGGGGAGAAAGGCCTGGCTGGTGGTCGGATGCGTCGTTGTTGGTTGCGGATGAGGCGGTGCCCAGCTTCTGCTGAGCCACCGACATGGCGGATGAGATGATGTGCGACATGTTTCCTCCGTCCGAGCAGCAAGAGCTGATGGTGGTCAAGAGGGAGGGACAGAGGAGCTCGGACGATCGATGTTGCCCTGTCACTGCGAGTGGTGTCGAATTGCGCAGTCGACGAAACAGTCATGTCTGTGCGCCTCGAAAGATGCGTGCTTCAAAATTTGACTGCGCTGCACAGCCCCGGTATCTGATATGAGCAAAAGAAAAAAGTCGTTGCTTGGGGTTGACTTGCAAAAATCCAAAGCCGTTGTCGTGTGGGCCGACGATTTTGCACACAGATCTCCCTTATCAACCATCGCTCTCCAAACGCTTTAACTGCGGTCGGTCAAGTCGGGCACCGGGGCAGAACACGCGCTCAGTCCGCCCCGCCGTTTGCTGTCTCTCGCTAGAAATTTGTGTGTTCCTTCCTTTTTGGCGTGACCTTGAAATTTCTTGGCATGCATACAAGCAGCGAACGTGCTCTCTCAGACGACGAATGGCAAGACAGCTACAGTATACCCACCGCGTATCTCCGCGCCGTTGAAGCTCAAGCCGGAGCAGATGACACACGAAATCAGACAACAACACATGCCATCATGTGACAGGGGAAGCTTGAATCTTATACTACTGCATCTGTCGATTGGCAAGATCTAGTGAATAAACACATCGAGTCGCGTGAGCTGGCTGTATGTCTCGCTGCTCATACGGAAGCGCAGCATTCCCGCCCACATCATCAACGCCCTCGCCTGCGCCCTGTACTCGTCCATGGCGCTCGTCCCACTCCTGTGGATGCTCTCCTTGAGCTCCTGATGCAGCTTGTACAGGATCGTCATGGTCATGAGCACATTCTCGGAGAAGTTGCGCGCAATGTTGTCGTCCACCTCCTTGAACTCTTCCGCCTTGCGCGTGATGGCCACCACGTCCTTCCTCGACTCGGCATCCAGCGGCAGGATGCGCAGCGCTTCAATCGTCTGCAGCGCCTGCAGGTTCTGTCCGTCGCTGTGCAGGCCCACCGCCTTCTTGAGCTCCAACAGTCGACGGCACGTGTCGCGGTTCTTGCCCGAGTAGCCAAACTGCTTCTCGTACGTGTCGAGGATCGCCGTGGCGAGCGTGACAAGGTTGCTGGCCGCAGAGAACGAGGCGCCCGACGACAAACCGGTCGACTTCCACTCGGAGGCGCTGCTCGGATCCGTCAGACGCGCGCCGAGCTCCTTGTTAAGCACTGCCACAACCGTGTCGTGCTGGCCCGCCAGATTATACAGCAGGATGGCCGACTCGGTGCGGTGCGCCATGTCGCATTGCGTCGCAGCCACCTGCACGATCGTCGACAGGAATTCGCGCTCGTTCTTGATCTTGATCAGCGGCAGGTTCCTCTCGATCAGACCAGGCGTCTTGGCTCCGTTTGTGCGTACGTCGCCCAGAAGTTCCTGGAATTCAGTGGGATGCGCTTCGAGCACCAGCGCGCGGATCAAGTCGTGACAGCGTCGGACCTGCTCTGAGCCCACCGGCTCGGCCACGTCGGCGTGCAAGCAGATCAGGTACAGGTACTGCAGTGCGTCCCTTCGCGACGTCTGAGAAAACATGCGCACGTATCGCTGCACCAGCTTGGCAAAGTCGATCGATGCGATGCTGCCGCCCTGTCCATCCGACTCGATCAGCAGGTACTCGACCTGCGACGAAGCGGCTTGCGAAGGAACGCGTAGCAAGCCGTAGTACGCCAGCACCACGGCAAAGTGGATCGCATCCACCTGGTGCGCTGAGCGCGAGAAGAGGAAGCCGACCGCCTTCTCAAACTGGCCGCACAACAGCAGCAAACGGAAGTAGAACAGCGGTCGGTTGCCCTTGGGATCAAAGTAAGCCTCGCCGAACTTTTCCACCTTGCTACCCAGATCGGCTAGCGTGAAACGGTCGCGCACCGAGTCCTGGGCGTCTGCATCTTCGTCGTACGTCTCGCGCACCATGCTGAGCTGAAGCCAGAGCCAATTCTGGATGCTCGAGGTGAGGAGCGTTGGGAATTTCTTGGAGACGTCAATCCTGCCGATGAGCTTGTACAGGCCAAGCTTGTAAGGGTCGTGCACCTCTGGCAACGTGCGGAAACGCGAATTATACTCGGCAGTGAAGCGGTCCTTGAGCAGGCGAGGAAGGCGGCGGTCGGGCGAGTCGATCCACGCCTTGAGGTAGGCGAGGAAGGAAGGATCGGTGGAGCGGATGCGGTTTTCGTTTTCCGAGGCGCACTCGAGCGCCTCCTTGGGCTTGCCGATGCGGAGGAGGAAGTAGAGTTCGGCCCAGATCGGCACATTGGTGGACGCGTCGAGCTCTTTGGCCAGATCGGATCTCCACTGGTTCTGCGAGCTGAGATGCTGGACGCGCAGGAACGCGCTGACGGTCGAGCGTACGGTAGGAGCACCGCCGCGTTGTGCCAGCACTGGGTTGGCAGCAATGACCTGCTCCATGTGCTCCTCGAACTCGTTCTCGAGGAAGGCTTTCGAGCCCCCGATGAGCTCCTTGCGCAAGTTGGTACCGTCGACACTGCTCCAAGCCTTGAGATCGACGTAAGCGGAGGCGTACTGTCGCTCTTTGACTGGCTTGGCAGCGAATTCGCCGTTGCGGACATTCTGCTCTCGCACCATGGAAGCGAGCGCCTTCCAACTTTCTTGCAGCTCCTTGTTCTTCGCATCCTCCCCGAGTCCCGTGGTTGCGTCGATGAAAGCGTGCGCCAGCGCCAAACTGTAGCCTTCGAGACGCGAAGAGTTGAGCCTGGAAACGACGTTCTGGTATCGAGCCATCTTGCCGTGCATCTGAGATGAGACGTGCGATCCGGATGCGGAGCTGCCACCGGCAGGCAGGGTGTGCGCCGAGGTGGAAGCACCAAAGCCCGAGCGCGAAGCATCCACGTCAGCGTCACGCGAAGCGTTGGACGGCTGATGCTGGCCTAGCTCTTCGAGGATTTTGCGCTTTTGGCGTTCCCAGTCGCGATGCATGGTGCGGTCGAGGTTGCGGTGGAAGTCTTGCAGCGTCTCGCGTCTGCCTTGCTCGATGACGCTGATGACGACCTGCTGGTGCTCATGGGTGAGGTAGCTTTCTACATCCGTGTCGTAGATAGGTTGGAGCGGTTCAAAGGTGCTTGCAATGTTGGCGGAGTGGATGGTGTCTGCGAGCTGCGCTGCGTCGATGCCGCCGTTTGCGAGAAAGTAGTGAGCGCGTGCATCTCCAGGCTGTGCGGAACCAGAACGGAGACTCTTGGAGACGAGCTTGCGACTCTGGTTCTCGATCTGGTCTAGTCCGAGCTGGATCTGAGGCAGGTCTGAGCGTCCGAGATGGTTGGTGAGCTTCCTCGATTGCTGGAGCAGCTCGGACAGCGACTGGGGCGCCGCGTCCATTGGATAGTCGTTCATGATTGTGGGGATGGTGATTGTGTGATGGGAAGAATGAAGCAACAACAACACCAACAGAACCGACGCACAAACCCTTTTTTCCTTCTTCGCCTCTCTCAACTATTTTCGCGGCAATCGGAACACAATTTCGCAGATTCCGACTCACCGAGACGCGCCTTCCAACTTGGCCGATTCGATCACGATGCCGCACAGTCCAACACCAACACCTACACCAACGTCGCAACAACGACCTGCTGCTCGACGTGGACGACGTCAAGCTCACCGAACCTTTCTTCGATGACCCCGACCCCGTTCGAATACCGTTCCGCCACACTCGTCTAAAGGGTCTCCTCAAGCTCCGGCACCGTGCGCTTCCAGCTAAGGGCGCAAGATGGCGGTCAAGATGTTGGCAAGGTGCGCGACACTTTTGGCGGTGGCAGCAGCTGCTGTTACTGCAGCATCCACATCGAGCGGTACTGCTTCATCGACCTCAGTCACAGCTACAGCGACACCTACCAAGCCAGCTGCGCCCGCAATACCTGTTCCAGATGCAGAGCAGCAGGAACGCTTTTCCTCGCTCGCGCTCTTCCTCGTGCTGTCTCTGCTCATCATGTCCTTCTGGACATCATACTATCTCAAGGTCAAGCGCATCACGGCGGTGCACGAAACCATCGTCGGCCTCTTTGCTGGCATGTTCGTCGGTGTCTGTCTGCGCATCGGTCCAGGCGAGCAGGTGCAGAACATGCTCAGTTTCAGCAACACCATCATGCTCAACGTGCTGCTTCCACCCATCATCCTTGCATCAGGCTACGACTTGCGACAGGAGAACTTCTTCCGCAACTTTGGCACCATTCTCATCTTCGCCTTCGCCGGCACCTTCATCAGCGCTATCGTGGTCGGTGTCATTGTCTACCTCTGGTCGCTGCTCCACCTCGAGTCCATCTCATTGACGCTGCTCGAGTGTCTCATCTTTGGCTCTACGTTGAGCGCCACCGATCCGGTAACCATCCTCGCCATCTTCAACACGTACAAGGTGGACCCTCAGCTCTACTCGGTCATCTTTGGCGAGAGCATCCTCAATGATGCCGTGTCCATCGTCATGTTCGACACGCTTTCGACTTTCCGCGGCAAGGACATCTACATTTCGTCCATCTTCCACGGTATCGGCCTCTTCTTGGTGGTTTTTACGCTTTCGATGATGCTTGGCGTATGTTTCGGTCTGGGATGCTCGCTTTTGCTCAAGCACTCGCGGCTCAGCTCGTATCCTCAGCTCGAGAGCTGTCTCGTGGCGCTGATCGCTTACACGAGCTACTTTTTCAGCAATGGCGTTACAATGAGCGGAATCGTGTCGCTCTTGTTCTGCGGTATCACTCTCAAGCACTACGCATACCATAATATGTCGAGACGAACACAGCGGACCACGCGATACACGTTCCAGACATTGGCCAACCTTTCGGAGAACTTTATCTTCATCTACCTCGGTCTCAGTCTATTCACCCAGGAGATCTTGGTGTACAAGCCGCTGTTCATCATTGTCACCGTTCTCGCCGTCGTAGCGTCGCGATACTGCGCCGTGTTCCCCATCGCCAGCGTGATCAATGCTTTCAGGCGAGCACGCAGCAACCAACGAGCACGAGCCGCCGGAGGAGGGGGCGTGCCGCGCGGGACGGGCGACGAAGAGTTGCCGCGACAGTATCAGATCATGCTCTTCTGGGCCGGTCTTCGTGGTGCGGTAGGCTTTGCGCTGTCGGCAGGTATTGAGGGGCAGAATGCGATTGCTCTGCAGACGACGGTGTTGGTGACGGTGGTGCTGACCGTGATCGTGTTCGGAGGAACCACGGCGCAGATGTTGGAGATCTTGGGAATCCGAACGGGAGTGCAGGATGATGAGGGAGAGTCGGACGACGAGGACGATGAAGACGATGTGATGCGGTTGAGAGGAATGCAAAGGAGGAGCTACATGGATGCTAGCAATTACCGCGATGCGTCGGAGAGAGCTGGGTTGACACGGTCCGGCAATCGATTCGCATCGGGAGGCAAGAATGGGTACCGCGATGCAAGCGCGAGCTCGAGTCCGCGTGCGTCGTTGAGCCACAGCGGCTCCGTGTACGCACGAGGACAGGGCGCGGCAGGGAAATCCGGAAATCCGCGTGGAGGATTCGCCGATGACTTGGACGAGGAAGACGAGGTGTCATCTTTCTCCTCGGACATGCTTCCATCAAGGTCGTCAACACCGGGGCTTTCATCCGGCCTGGGTCCGTTGAGCAGCAGCGCTGGCGGACCGGGACTTTCGAGTGCACGCTCACCGTCCAACGCTGGCTCTCTGCCGAGCTTGAGCGAGATCCGTCGCGCAGTCATCGAGGCATCCTCCACCGACGGTTCGACGTCCTCCCCCGCCAAGCAGCTTCTCGACCGAGCAGGCCTCGTCATGAAGGACGGCCAATGGTTCCAAGCCATCGATCAGAAATACCTGCTGCCGCTGTTCAGCAACTCGGTGGCGTCACGCAAGCACGAGGAGAAGAAGATCGCGCGCCTAGCTGCCCGCGATGCGGCGGCAAGTCAACTCGATCTGTCTGGGCAAGCTGGCGATACGAGCGCCGGTGGCAGGAGGAACTTCTTCTCGGTCGAAGAGGATGGAGACGCGGAGCTGTATCCTGCTGAACGCGATGCGGTGGTGGTGGATGAGGACGACGAGGATGCGGGGACGAATGTGTTTGATGCAACGTCGTTCGCGAGTGGGAGGAGGTCGACGAGCGGTCGCAATACGCCGACGAGAAGAACGTTCAGTCAGAACGAGGATGGCGTTTGAGTTTCTTTCTGTAGCATTATTGACCGCTCTATCCGATCGGTGTTGGTCGTCAATGTCAGGGCATATTGATCTCGAGCTCATCGTCTGGCGGTTCGATGCGTGCGAGGATACAAGAGTGAAGGCGGAGCCATGCAGGCAGGCCAAGGACGTTACATCAAAGCATGGATGTGAGATCGTGCTGTGCTTGCAATATGATTGAAATTCAGGTTGGCAAAGCTCGGTCTCACGAAATTGTCAGTGGCACTGCGACAGCTGACGTCACTTCGACATGGTTGCTTCTATCGAGCTCCTCGCTGACACCACGCCTGGTTGTCATGCTACAATTTGCATGTTCGAATCGCGAGTATCTGCTTTTGTTCTGCATCAAATCTTCAAGGACGGATGTACCAACGGCAGCGGCTGAACGACTAGGAGACTTGTGATCTGCATGGGAAGCAAGGAAGCGATCAGCAAGCGCGAAGGCGGATGTTGAAAGAGAGCACAGGCCAAGGAAACGCTGCTGCTGTCGAAGCGCATTTCTGGTGTTCGATCACGACTGGTCTGCTGCCTTGTGTGACTGGCCGTCGAGATGAGATCCCCTTATCTGTGATCTTCTTTCTCATTTCCGGGAAGATTTATTTTATCGCATTTGGCGGAAGAACTGCTTTGAGAGTCGAAAAGAGCGCACATTGGTTAGATATTATTTTCGATTTATTTCTGGCCTGTTTCAAGAGTGCTGCTGCTGAGTGGGAGGATTCTGACTCCACTTTCCATTGGATTCTTGAGATGCGGCTTGGCTGAGGTCGGCGTGTGGGTGGGTGGACGTGCGCAGTTGGACTTTTTAGGCGGTGTGGTTCGTGACTGATTTCGACATTCGACATCCGACATCCGCTTTCCTCTCTCGTTTCCATCATCTCTCTCGTCGACTACATCTGATCGTTATCCCTATCAGCTTCATCCCTTCCTCGACGCTCATCAGAGTCATCACAGCGATTGCAGACACATTCGACACTATCATCAGTAAACCCACATCCACAGCCTCGACATCATGCCGCCCGTCGACGCCAAAGCACCGTCGCAGACACCTGCCGAACCCATCCTCTTCTCCTTCCCGGACTCGGACCAGCTCTCGCGCAACCTCGCCGATTTCGTCATCAAGGCTCAGAACGATGCCATCTCTCGCCGAAACAAGTTTACGCTCGCCACTTCGGGTGGATCGTTGCCCAAGATGCTCGCCAAGTATCTGATCAACCGCGACGACAATGCTTTGCGGTGGGACAAGTGGGAGATCTTCTTCTGCGACGAACGACTCGTTCCACTCGACCACGAGGACTCCAACTACTACCTGTGCCATCAGGAGTTCTTCTCCAAGGTTCCTGAGCTCAAGAGGAGTCAGATCCACACCATCGACGAGAGCCTTCTGGACGATCCCGAGGAGCTTTCGGATGCGTACGAGAAGCAGCTCGTCCAGGCATTTGCAGGTAAAGAAGCAGTACGCAATCCAGTGTTCGACCTGATCCTGTTGGGAATGGGTCCAGACGGTCACACCTGCTCGCTCTTCCCCGGACACGAACTCTTGACCGAACAGGACCGTTGGGTCGCCCCCATCGAGGACAGCCCCAAACCCCCCGCCAAGAGGATCACCTTCACCTACCCCGTCTTGAACCACGCCCACAGGTTGGCGTTCGTGCTCGCGGGAGAAGGGAAACAGGAGATGCTGAGCAAGGTGTTGGATCAACCAGAGTTGGGTCTGCCCGCATCGAGGGTGAGACCTTCTCCTCCGGGCGATATCTACTTTTTCACGGATAACGCCGCTAGCAAGACGACCAAGTATGAGAGGTCCGATTTCAAGCTTTGAGGAGGGCAAGGGTGGGATGGCCACCTCGAACAAGCTCAGTTTGGGAGGATGTCGTCAACTGGGGGAGTTTGAGTGGATTGAATGATATCATGCGCCGTTGGCCTATGCAGTTTTTTGTTTTGTAATCAGGTCCGTCTCACTGCGCTGAAGAAACTACGTTGAAAAAGTGACAAGATCTACACATGCTGGTCTCACACGGCTACTAACTCGTGCACAGTCGATGACATGGCAGTGATTAGGTTCTTCGCAGTGCTGTGAAAGTCACACATTTGAATGTCGAAAACCGAGCAGACCCTCGCCCGTCCTGGCAGCACAACATCAACAGCAACCGAACCATCTCTCGTCACGCTTTCCACTAGCCAACCTGATAGTCCTCCTGATGACCTCTGCTTCTGCTGTCTGCCTCTGCGTTCTCTGCTGTTCCGTCTCTGCGGCGGCTGCGGAAGTCGCTTCGGTGTAGGCGGTGTTGGTGAGGATGCGGTGGAGGATGTGTTCGAACATGCGGTCGATGTTATGGCCGGTTTTGGCCGAGGTGTAGAAGAGGGTGAAGCCGGTTTCTGGATGGTCCATGTCGACGGGCGCGGCAGGGGGTGCGGACGGTTCGATCGGGATGGAGATCGTGGAAGGGGTGAGAGGTGGTGGAGGGGAGAGCGGGGAGGTGGGGGGCGAGTGAGGGGTGAAGATGTCGTTGATGGATTTGGGTGGGCGGAGAGTGCGGTTGAGCAGCGGAGGGGGAGGTGGTGGTTTGATGGTGGATGCGGAGAGCGAGGATGAAGCTATGGAGGGTTTGTGTTTGAGTTCCGGAGCGTTCGAAGCTACGCTCAGGCGTTTGACACTCCCACCATCATCACCATCATCGTCATCATCGTCGTCGTCTTTTGCCCTGAAGGAGGAAGAGGAGGGATTACCGAGCGTGGTTCGGGCACTAGGACTGACGCTGAAGAACGTACTCCCTCGAGGCGTGTGGTACACGGAAGGCGCGTTCAAACTCATGGTCGAATCGACCCTCCGTCTGTCCGTCCCGTGCGATGATCCTTTCGCAAAGCTCCGAGGCGGCGTCTCTTGCAGTGCTTTGCCCTTCTTCCGACCCGCTGTCGTGGGAAACGCGTACCGGCTCGACTTGGCTTCCAGGGTGCTGCCGTCGGAAACATCCGATTCCTCCTGGTCGCTGATCTGAAACACCTCGATGCTCTTGATCGACTGTCGTTTCTGATGACCTCTGCCACCTCCTGCCACATTACTGCTGCTCGCACCCGTGGCTTTCGACTTGGACCTCATCCAGCTCGACAAGAACCCGCTGCCTGCTGCTTCACCTCCGGTCGACTTGGCATCGTTACGTCTGCTCGAATTCGCACTCGATTTCGGCGTGGGTGACGCTGTGAGTCGCTGCGTTTGCGTCAGGGTGTTGTAGGGTGTCGCATAGACGGTCTTGACCGTTCCGCCGTTCGGATCGGCTGTGCTGTCGTCGGTGTCGCTTTCGCCTCTGCCTCCAGCTGCTTGTCCGTTCCGACCGTTGCTGAGATTCTTTTGGTACTTCGGCGTTGGATGACCTTTATCGTTGCTCTGTGCGGGCTCGGAGCTGCTTGGTGTCTGCTCTGCCTCCAGACCATTAGGATCGGGTCTCGAGAGCACCTCTTTCGGATCCACCGGCTCCTCTGCTCCACTCGGTCTCTCTTGCTGCTCCTCCTCATCCCTCCCCCAATCCCTCTGTCCCTCGCTCCTCCCCACCAACCCGTCCAACACCTTCCACACACCCTCCCTCTCCACCTCCGCATCGCCATCCAACAGATCGCACTTGTTCGCAGCACAAATCCACGCAAACCTCTTCCTCTCCTCCTCCCCCTCCGGCCCCGGAGCCTTTTCCATGAAAACCTTCCACCACTTCTCCACCTTCTCCCTCACCACCTCCTCCTCTCCGCCTCCTCCTTCGCTCGCATCGAAAGCGATGATCACCGCATCCGCACCTCTGTAGAACGCCGAACCTAGCGATTGGAAGCGCTCCTGGCCCGCAGTATCCCAGATCTGCAGCGTCGCTTTCTCGCCCTCCGGTTGCAGCGGATCGACGGGTAGAGTCTTGGTGATGAAATCCGCGCCGATGGTGGCTCGGTAGGATGGGAAGAAGGTGGAGGAGAGGAAGCGATGACGGATGGATGTTTTGCCGGAACCGGCGTCTCCGATGAGGACGATCTTGAGCGTGCGTCTGGGTAGGATCGGGTGGAGCGAGGTGGAGGCGGACGAGAGGGAGGTGAGCGAACGAGTGGTGGACATGGCGGCGATGGCCGAGGTGCGCAGTGTCGAGGCTGCCTCTGTGCCGGAGTGGAGGCGTTGAAGCGTGGGTGGGTGAGCGCGCTGCGATGTAGTCGGTGGTAAGGGAGAGGATCTGGATGCAGCGGCTTTGCGCGTTGGCGTTGTGGATGCAGACGGGCCATCCCGCCGACTGCTCGTATTGATCGCCATATCGTAGTCGTGGTGCTCGCACGCCAGAGCGAGAGGCAGCGGAGCTGGTATGTGTCGATATGATGCTGTCCAACGTCAAGGTGGAAGAAAGCTTTCCGGTCAATGGACAAGTGGTTCGTGTGCACCGTCCTCTTTCGCTCGTGTATAGCTCGGATGCTCGAAGCCCTTTTCCTCTAGTCGCTGAGTTCCACTTACACAGCGATCCAACTCGTACGCTTCATTCCTATTCCTGCAGCATACCTCACTGCATCGTCTGATCTGTATGTTGGAAGTCAGAGTCCAAGATGCACTGTGTGCAACCGACTTTCCAAGACCAAGAAGAGCGCAGCTCGCGTGCAACCTCAAATTTCCCCAGGTGGAGAGCATCAACACCCCCGCCCAGCCGAGTTCGCCGCCAAGCCCTGCAATCCTTTACGCGACAAACGCGTTTATCGGCTCCATCCTCATACATTCCGGGTCATCATTCATTCGGTATCGCACACACCACATCATGCAGGACTTCATGAAGGCAAATAAAGACTGTGCCATTCCTATATACCCCTTGAACAGCAAATGCTAAAATGAAACAGTGCAACAAGAAAAAACAAACGAGCGTGTGTGTGTATGAGACGTAGTGTAGGTGTGAATGAATGTTGCAGGCTGTGCAGACAATGGAGGAAAGTGTCGCAGGTGGGCCCGGAAGGCGAGGAAGACCGCCAGCTGACTTGAGTAAGTCTTCTCTTGTGGGCTGACACAAGATTGACAGGAAGAAGTGTGTGTCGTGACCGAGATGTGAAGGTTCCGACTACCAGAAGTGCATGACCGCTCCTGGCTATTGCTGCTTGTGAACAGTCTTGCCCTTTTCCGTCTGGGGGGCCTCCTGCAATTGCGCCTTGCCTTTCGTCTTGGCCAAATCTTTCTCCGTGAAGCCCCACATCTTGGGGCGTCGACTCTTATCGCCGCCCGTTACGACGCTACACAGGAAGTCAAAGAAGCGCTGCCCGTACTCCTTTGGAGGCACCGAGCTGATCATGTGTCGGTTCTGAGTCAAACCCTTCCAGATGGTCTCGCCGCGCTTGACCGATGTGTACGGCGTGAAGAGGTCGATGACGCCAAGGTAGTAGATCATGTTGCCGGGCTGATCGTGCTCGTCGGTCGAACGGAATCCGCCTTCGTCCTGGTAGAAGAGGAAATGACGTCGCTCGCTGACATCGCGGTCGGGAAGCTTGGTCACCTGCTGCGCATTGAGCGCTTTCGGATCGGAGCGTCGAACTGCCTGTCGCAGTGCAGAGGCGTCCTGCTCGCTGCCTGATCCTGCGCCGGTCCGCTTCACCTGCGTAGGCTGACGTTTGATCTCCCTAGTCTCTGGCTGGAAGACGCGCAGGTTGTCCTGACGCAGGTTGTCCTTGTTGCCTCGACGTACATCGTGCAGCCCGATGAGCAACGAATAGTCCATGATGTTGAGTCGCTGCATCAAGCCGACATCGCTACGCAGCTGTGCTTCAAATAATGCGCGCTTCTCGGGACCCAGCTCGATCTCGCGCCCGCGCTTGAGCCAGTTGAGATCCTTGAGTACGGCACCGGACTTGGTCGCCGCTTTCTCCTCGGGATACTCCCGTCCGATCGACGATCCTTTGAGATCGTACGTTTCGTGAATATCGCGATGCGGCGGGAAGAGATTGTTCATGATGACAAAATGGATTTTGCGGCCTTGCGGCAGCTTGACACGATGCAATCCATAGAAGCGACTGAGCAGCGTGTGTGGGTTGGCCTTGACGTGCTCGTGATAGTCCTTGAGGATTCGCAACAGGAACTTGTGCTCCGAGTGTCGGATCGTCTTGATGATGAAGCGATAATCGCGCGAAAAGTAGAAGAAGGAACCACTTTTTCCCGGCGAGCCCAGCTCGCTGAGAATGTATTTGGACGTGAGCGACAGAAGGTAATCGGCAGCGTCAAGGTGAAAGTGCTCGCGCAGCTCACGGAACACCCAGGGAGCGTAGTCTTTGAACTTAAAATCGTACTTGGCAGTGGGTGTCAGTTCTCTTCCGATGATATCGAAGGTGAACTTGTGCTTGGCGGTGAAATCGGCATCGCACAGGGGACGCTTCATCTTGGCTTGACACCTCGAGACACCGATGCGAATACCGGTGAGCATGTTGTACATGAGGACGTAATTGGCATGGCCTTCTCCGATGAGGTTGCCGACAAGAACCTTGGGTTCCGCGTCCTCTTGCTCGCGTTCGCGCTCGCGGTCGGTGCGCTCCTTATCCTTGGGGTTGGCGTTGAGCCAGTCGCGACCGGTCCTGGTACGTTGCAACACGCCAACGACTCCACCGCCGGAGCCGGCGACAGCACCGTTGGGAGGCGCATCTTTGTCGCCGGCGGAGCCTTCAGCTGCTGCATCGCGCGCCTTTTGCTCCTTGTAGCGACGATCCCTGCGCAGCTGCTCGGCGTGCTTGGCGGCCTCTTCGTCGAAAGCGGCATCGCCTGTGCGCAGGGCGTGCGTCGAGCCCTCTGCCGTGGTAGGCGAGTTGAGTCCATCGGCCAACCAGGGCTGAGCTGGATATGGCGAAATGGAGTCGCGATCGCGGCTCGATCGACGGATGGAATGGGTGAGGCTGCCGCCAGACTGAGATCGGCGGCCTTGCAGCGAAGATCCAGTGGTGTTGCGGCGCGCCATGTGTTGACGTGGAGGGATGCCGGTGGGCGGCAATTCCTGATCGCCATTGGCTTGTGAGCCAAAAGCCGCTTGGGACGCACCGGCGTCGGTTCCTAGCTGCGGATCGTGCAGATAAGGGGAAGCATCGTGGGTAAGTCGGATCGCGGGCGCTGCAGAGACGCCATTGGCGCCGTTGGTCGACTGCGAAGCGAGTCGTTGAGTCATGGAAGCATCGTCATTTTCAACATCAGAAGCGCCGCCGGTGGACGAGGCGGTGCGGTAGGCGGTGCTGGCGGTCGAGGCGTTGGAGGCATTACGGCGTTCGTTCTGCTTCGGTGGCGGTCGATAGGCTGCGGAGCTGGGTTGCTGGCCTTGTTGTTGCTGTTGCGTGAGGGAGACGGTACCGATGCCATCCATCGAGGCGGGCTCGTCCGTGAAAGCTGGTGCGGCCGCATGCTTTTGTGGTGCAGCAGATGTCGCTGCTAGGATGTGACTCGGGTCGGCAGTGTAGGCTCGACGGGCGACAGGAGCCTTCTTTTGGATCGGCGCGGCAGCGGGTACGGTTTCATCCTGCTTCGATCCAGACGCTATGGATGCGGATGAAGTGGACGCTCCGTTGGCGGAATAAGCTGGAGCCTGTGACGAGCCATTTGCGACGGTGCTCATGAGACCGTTTCGAGAGTCATGCCCGGATATATAGTCGGCCTCGAGAGGTGGAGAGGGTGGAAGCTCGCTGAGGAATGGATGATGCCGCGTTGGGGCGGTGAAGCTGGACTGTGACTTGAGCGCTGCATCTTGACGAACGATGGGACCGGGTGACGAGGGTGATGCGCGCGAGCCTGTGAGATTGGCAGCATTCTGTTGTTGAGTGTGGCCCTGGCCGAGCTCGTGAATCTCTGGCAACGGTCTGTCGGAGTTGGATGTAGGTTCAATGGTGGCGGGCTGCTGAACGGACTGGTGATTGCCATGCGCCCTCTTGCTGACCAGCTGAGGGAGCCGAAGGATGCGGTGGCCTGCGGACGAGGCTGCGGTGAGGCCATTTGCGCCGGAGAATGCAGGATCGTTGGCGTTGCTGGGAGTCACGGAGCGGGAGACAACAGGAGATGCGTATGGAGCTGATCTGGAGATGGTGATGTCGTACACCTCGCCTGTGCTGTCGTTGACGCGGATCTGCTGCTCATCGCGTTCGAGGGCCAAGCGGATCGAGTTGAGCGTTTCTGCTTCAGATGCGTGTATCAACATGGTCGATCATGTCCTGACTCGGAGCAAGGCCCGGACCGATGGCCGTCTCGTCTATGGCAAATGGATGGTGAAAGTGACAGACGATGTCACTGGTAATGTCGTGATCTGCAGGGCGGCTCGCGATCCGTTGCCCGCTAGTGACGACGAACAGGTACAAAGGATAGTGCTATCTGACTGTAGGAGTACGGATGGCGATGGCAGTAGTACGGTGTTTGTTGATTGTTGGTGGTGGGGACGATGACGACAATGGTGCTGTGTTGGTGAAAGTGGATGCCAAGTCCTCGCCTGGCATTCAAGGCTCGAGAATGGATTTTTGAATTCAACCACTCAGACTGAGCCCAGCTTTCGAGTCTATAGACACAGACAAAACACCGGCCTTCACAGCGCAGCCAGCTCACTGCCTCGCTCTTGACTGCGTGTGAAATTCAAAGCTCACTTTTAGCGATATTTTATCTTTCAATTTCGCAAAGATTTCGTGAGTGCACAGCAATCATGCAACCTGCCATTTTTAGCTGTCACAAAGAAAAGCCGATGTGGAGCTCCCCAGTGGAGTGGAACTGCACAGCACTACGGTACGATTCAAATACAAACGCACACCTCGAGAGTCTCGAATTTTGTATTCATGTGAGCTGACCCGCCTGTGCTTTCTTTCAAAAGCAACCAACACTGAACACTGCGCTTTCTTCGCAGTGCGGGGCTCGACCGCGATTAGCTTCTTGGCCTCATCGCCACTCTCATCTTCATCTTCGAAGCATGCTGCTTCCACATTTCGGTGCAAGGTCGGAGCTTGTTCAGTACCGGCGGAATACGTGGTTAATGAAAATTCGTTTGCAGGGCGTGCAAGGCGCTTGCCACACCAAGAGAGTGTGGCTTCTAGTGGGAGGATCGACAAAGCGAGGATAGTACCCGTCGCTCCGCTCGTTATCTGCGGTACAGCGTCGGCTGTCAGCGCGAATGGGCTCGACTGATCCTTCCACTCGTGAACTCGTGCTGAAAGTAGGGTGCCGTCTCGTCGTTGGCTGTGGTGCAAGCACCAATGTGTTGGTCTCATGTGCGTGCATCCATTGTTCGGCACAAAATTTGCCGAGCGCTTCGAGCCGTAAACTGCTCGTTCCTTTTTTACCGCCAACTGCTGCCGCTGCCAAGCGATCCCTCTTGGAGGTGCTGCATAGACCCCTGAATGCTCACGCCCTCGTTAGTCACCGCGATTTGCAACCGCCGATCTCACCGGCCGCCGATGCGTAGATCATTCTTTGGCTCAACCGACACTCACTCGAGAAGGGCAGAAGAAATTGTGCGTTGCTGGTGACATGTATCGTCAGCTGTACGCTGCTAGCTGGTGTTAGCCTACGCCTGGTCATCGGCATCCTCCTCGACATCGAATTCGTCGTCGATCTCTTCATCTTCCTCCTCGTCAGCATCGTCCCTGCCATCTTCCTCGTCCTCACTGAACGCATCGTCAGAAGCATCCTCCTCGTCGTCGAGCGACAGCATCAGTGCTCTCGTCGATTGGCTCTTGGTCCAGTCCCTTCCCGACTCCAGAATTAGACCCTGCAAATAGCGTCAAGACAGTGAATTCGTGTCAGTGCATAAATTCCCTCTCTGAGTCAACCCGCAACGGCAGAATGCTAGCAAAACTTACGCGCAGGATTCCCTTAACGAGCTCCTTTTTCGATCGTGCCTCGTTGACCTCTCGTTGCATCTGTTGTACCTTCTGCACCACGGCAATGTCTTGTGACGCGTCCGGGTCGTTTGTTGCTGAGCCAGCTGGATGCAGCTGGCGATTGCGAATGTCGGCTTTAATGCTTTTGATGTTTTCCAGAAGCTTCATGGTGTCCAGTCGTTGATCTGGACAGAAAGATTGCGACACGGGTCAGTATCGCTTTGTCTAGGCACGACGGCATTGGAGGTGTGAGATTGCGACATACCTCTGATCTTTGCCTTGACCTCAACTCTCTGCTCTTTGATCGATCGAATCTCGTTGAACACTCTCAAGAACTCCAGCGCCTGATCATCTCTTTCGTCCAGCAATTCTCTTGTCGATGAATAGTGTTTCCCATCCGTATCACGCTCTCCCTTGTTGCTCGCAGGCGATGTGGTCGAAAGCACCTTTTGTATCACTGCGCTCGACTCCAACGCTCTCGCCGTCTCCACTTTGAGCCTGTTCTCCGCTTCCAGCTGCCGCAGTCTTTGCTTCTTCTCTGCGATCTGCCGCTCCAGCGCCGACGAGCTGGTAGGCATCTTCATCGGCTTGTTCGTCAGCTCATTCTCGTACGCCTCCCAGAAGTCGAGCTCTTTGGTTTTGCGATTGAGGCTGTGACGTCGGTTCTCTACTTCGTAGTAGACCGCGCGCTCGAGCGGTGATAGCTGAGCTTCCGACGAGGAGCTCGCGGAGGTGGAGGGAGCTATGAGGTTGCGGAGCTCATTTCTACGAAGGCCGAGGCTGGAAGGCCCAGCTTCGGATGTTGATGCGGCGGCGCGCTGTGCTGCTGCTGCTGCTGTGTGGGAATCAATGTGCCTGTCAAAGGTGGCGAGGAGGGCGTCGAGCGGTGAAACGGTCATGGTGGTGTCCGAAAGAGATTGGTGTATATCGAGCTATTCTGATTGCACGTCGGGAATTGTTTCCGGCGACGCGATATGGTCGGTTCGTCGATGTCGCGTTGCGCTCAGCGTGCGGTGGTAGGCTTGCGGTGGATGGTGGTGATCAACACCGACAGCTACAAGTCTGCATGTGAGAAGGTCCAACACAAAGACCCTGCCACTTTTCTCCGACGCGTCCGCCGCGCAAAGACGTGTCGGCTTATGATGACGATGTAACATGTTTCGAAAAATTCGTTCCGTGATGCCCACGTGGTCCCTGCTGATCTGCGAGCAACAGTCCATCGACCCCAAGACCTTTTGAAACACACAGTCTCATGCATATGGTGGGTCGAGGCCGGCGAGAGGGGAGTGAAGGGGGAGTGCAGGACTCGGATGGCTCGTCTTGGCCTAGCCAGATCATACAAATAATGACCTGGTCATGGCCATCGTTGAAGCTTCTCTGAGGAGCCTTGCACTGCACCGAGCGACCGCTGCGAGAAAGAGCCGCCATCAAGATTGGGAGGCCAAGTACAATTCCATGAACAAGATGCCTCTGGCTTCAAGCAGCATAAAAGTCTGGAATAACGCTCTGGAGGGTCAGAACAACGTTGCAAGAACAGGCGCTTCCTCTTTCATGTCGAGCCATCACGACTTAGTATTAAGCGCCAGATGCCGGATCATCGAGAACTCGACTGTGAAGCGTCGCATCAGATCGGCGCTCGACTCGAGATCTGCGATCCCTGGCTGTTGATCCGTTCGCACCACAAGCAACAACAAGCGACCGACCCAATTACGACAACTACGGCCACAGTGTGCATACGTTGCTCGTCACGACAGACGCGGAACTGGCCGTCTTGGCGCGTACGCGATGTCGTCGTGTTGCAGCTTGCAGTCGTTGTCCAGCAGACAAATGCAGCAAGGGTTCGGTGGGGATAATATGATTCTTGCAACAGCAGAGCAGAAACATTTTTTCCTTTTTCGGATTTGTCTCTTGTTTTTGCTAAAATTTGATGTCCGACTGCATAAAAAGTCAACGCCCAAGACCCTCGCTTGTGGATTTTTTTCCCTTCGACTTGGCCATTTCCGGTGACGCGCTTCTTGTTCTGTTGCTGAGGTCGAACCTTCTCTCGGCGTTGCAGCCGGACCCTTGCCGAGAGGAGAAGACAAGGTTCAGCCGCTCTCGTCTGACGACAATCAATGGACGGATTCTGCTTTGGAACTACAGTATGAGTTTGCAAGCGAGGATGAGGCGACTCCATCCAAGCTGGACGCTGCATGCTCTTCGGCAGAAGGTTGCAGGTGATCTTCGAATTACTGATGCAAACGGCGGCTACGAAAGGGAGAGGCACGAGGGGAAGGCTGACACGCCACTTTCCGAACGGGCCGCTTGACTCGGTCTCGCTTTGCGTGAGAAGTGGCGTAGAAGCCTCTCTTCTGTCTAAGGCCGTGCTGAGAACAACAGGTCGCCTCTGCCTCGGCGTCGATCCAGTCTGCCTGCATCCGCTGTGCAGCACCCTCGAATCCATCAATCTGTTTGCGTCCTTTCGCTTGCATTGTGTCTCACTCGGATCGCTTGTACCATTAGCGAGTGGTGCCTGCGCCTTTGCCGTCCTTCCATTTGCGAGACGAATCGAGCGAAATGGAAGCTCCCCTTGGTCGAGTAGGCGCAAGATTGGTTGCTTCGGCTGCAATTCCGAAACCATCATCCGCACTTGGTTCTGTCACCTAACTCAGACTCGACGCCGCATCCAACTGTGCAGCTGACTCTTGTCCGTGGCCATCCGCGCAGTTCCATGACGGGGCTGTTGTTTAAGCGAGGCGATCATCCGCTTATGGCGGATCATTGTAGCCGCCCGTGCAGGTTTCGAAGCTCTCTGCCTACTGATCTGACCGAATGATTCCATTGCGCGTCGCTCGCTTTCTCTGGCGTCGTTTCCTTCCTGCAGAGTTGCAGAGCTGGATGGACGGCGGCTGTTTCTGAAGCAGTGGCGTTATTGCACGTGCTCACCTCAAATCAACGCTGATGGAGACCAGCCAGGAAGCGTTTGGGCTGCGCTGAAGAGGCTGCGTCCTGCTATACGCAAGCGTGCATGTTCGCCGAGGGTAGCGGATATATAGACCGCCTGCCGCACGTCACGTCGGAAAACTCGGCCCCCCTCCTCCAAGCTTCACTCCATCCGCCTCCCTGCTCCTGCGACACCTCAGTGTTCATTCGAATCACACCTTTCCTTCCATCGGTTTCCACATCAGAGCACGAGAAGCAGCCATGGTCGCCATCCTTCGAACCATTTTCGCCGTAGCGACCCTTGCCGCAGCAGCCACCGCCGCTGCAGTAGCGCCCCGCAGCTCCAAGATCACCTTCACCGTAACCAACAAGTGCAAGCACACGTTCGCGCCCATCTTCCTGCCTGCGCTACCAGGCAAACCACAATGGTCCAACCTCACATCAGGCAAGTCCGAATCCTACTCGTTCCACTCGGACACATATCGCGGCAAAGTCTTCTCGCCCCTTCGTCAAGCCAACGTCACCACGGGAGAGGGCGCGACGCAAGGCGAGTTTGATCTCTACTCTGGAGACTACGATATCTCGGTCGCCAACGGCTTCAACGTCGGTATGTACCTGCAGCTGCTTGGAAGACAGAGCCAGGGCTACTGCCAGGCAGCCATTTGCGGCAGCAAGACTTGCAAGGACGCCTACCATTCCGAGAGCGGTCTCATGACGGAAAGCAGAAACGGCAGCGAAACCGTCAAGCCCAACCACAGCTGTCCGCCGACATTCACCACCTGGAACGTGCAGTTCTGCTAGAGGATGGAACTTGACTCGTTGGTCCAGAATCCTACACGTTCGCGCATTGTTTGGCCTTCACACCTCTCGATAGACTCGATCAAGTCAGAGCAGTCGTTTCTAGCATGTATTCTTGCATCCCGTTACGGTATTGATGTGCTGGTCTGCCGCCATTGCTGCAGATTGTAGGTATAAAGTTTGACCCAATTGAGCCCTTGTGCCTCCCTCGAGAGCGGCCTACCTCGTTGCGAGTTGAAGCGTTTGCGAGTGGATGACATGTCGGCTGAGGAAGGCAGAGTGGTCAGCTCGTTTTGACTTTCAGCGAATCGACAAAGTCCTCCTCGTCGACATCCCAAGACAGAGTCGCTTTGTCCGCACCGAGCATATCGAGCATGCTACCGATGTTCCATTTACGCTCAATGCCTTTGCCGCTGCTAGCGTACTGAGAAGACGGTGTTGTGCCATCGTTGTGAATCGGAAGAATGCTCTGTCGCTGTTTCGGTGTAGACGACGCTCCGAGGACCGACTGAGACCGGCGCAACAGCTCAGAAAGCTCTGGCAGCGAAGCCTCGGAAGCAGCGCCTTGGCTGTCTTCGCCTTTCGATTGTGATGGTTGCTCATCGGTTGACAGGAGCGCAGCAGCTTGTTCGTCAGCCCCTGGCGAGTGAAGACGTCGTCTGCGCAGGAGAAGAGGCGGATGTGAAGGTTCAGGTGAGTCGGCTCCTCTGCGTTTTGATGGACCCGACGTCTCGGCCAAGGAAGAGGGAGGCGATTCGAGTCCGTAATCGCCGCGAGATGGGATGCTGCTCAGTCCTGACCAATCCCCGGCGTCGGCTCCGGTCATCTTCCAGAGGTCTTGTGCTGCCGCCTGGCCGGCTTCGCGCCAACGGGCGATGTCTTGCGGCAAGACTGCGAAAGCGTTGTCTCTGAGGCATTGGTTGGCCTGCTGTAGCATGAGGAGCCTCGCCTCGAGCGCTTGGCGCTGCTTGCGGATGCTGGCGGACGATGAGGAGCAGTCGTTCTGGGCACCTGCTCTCTCGGGTGAATGCTCTTTCGACGATGCGGGCGGAATTGTCGACGACTCCATGCTTTGCTGCGACTGGCTTTGCTTGAGGGGAGAACGGAAGGCCTTGGACAGTCTCGAGCGTGGAGGAGCGTGTGGTCTGCGGTTAGGAGGTGGTGGCTTTTCTGCCGTGCCCGTTGAGGCCTCTGAGACGCTGCTGAGCGTGTCGATAGAGAAGCCGGCTTCCTCGGTCCATGGTGAGGAGGATGATCCTGATCTGGAGGAGGAAGATGCCGGTTCCATTTTGACGCCGACGCTCGTTTCGATCCTCAACCGAGGCTGACCGAGTGCAAGTGTGTGACTGAACGGAGGGAAAGCGCGATGCTGAGTCACTGTTGTCCTGCGGTAGCTGAGTCGTAGTAATCAGCTTGGCAAGGGAGAATTATCAAATCAAAGGTCACCGAAGGAAGTGGTTAGTGTTGCAGCGACGTTGGGTGTGATGGCAGAGGGTTGATGGCGAGACACCGGTCGTGACGCTCAAATGTCTTCACGGAAGCAGCATTCTGTTCTCTCGGACCGTCCGCCACACAGCCATTGCTCGCTGCCAACGCGCTCGTCGCAGGCTGTGACCGAGCTGCGAACGTCCTGCTTTCGGACCAGCCGAATTACGATCTGTACTGAGAAGGATGTTGAGCCACGGCGTTGAGCGAACCCGTCGGCACTGCCGCAAAGTGTTCGATCCGAGCAAGATCGGTCCGGTGCAGGCAGGTCAGCTTCCTTTTATGGCGGCTGTCACGAGTCGTGTGGTTGAATTGCTGTCCTGACTCCTGCTGCTCTGCACAGCACAAGCGACTGCAATCAAAGCGAAGACAGATTTGGGGTTGTAAGGGTGCTTTGGATTGCTCGACGGCAAGGTGAAAGGGACAAAGCTCAAGGTGGAGGCGAGCTGTCCAAATTCTTGCTTCTCTCGACTCTGCCGCGTCTCTCGCGTAGAGCAGAAGCGTCTGTGTCCTGCAGATCTTCGGTTCTGCACATAATTAACAGCTCATGCAGCGGCAGCTAAACTCGACTTTCCTAGGCTAACATCACCGGGCTCCTGCATATGGCGTTGTTGGCGCAGGTTCACTCTACGCAACTGCACTTCCGAATCGCCTCCAGCTACACACTCGCGCCATCGTTACCAAGTCCTTCCCCATCGTGCGCCTCATACAGACGATCATCATTCGCACAATCTCGTCCCAGAGATCCACCAGACACGCACGGACGTTCCGCAAAAGTAGTTCAATCGCGAGCACGTGGCGCTTTCTGTGCGCAAGATGAGTTCCGAGGACGGATCAACACATGCAGTGGCGAGTACCGACGCCTCAGCGCCGTCCACTTCGGCTCAACAGCACGGAGAGAATCTGGTAGCAGAAGCTAGAGCGACGGCAGCAAGTGTGGGAGCTGAGAGCGAAGTCGAAAAGACAGCAGAGTCGATCGAAGAGCAGCGTGTTGCTCCGACCAAAACAGACGAGGGGAAAGGCCCGGATCGTGATCAGGCACAACCGGAGGAGGCGCCTCAAGAATCGCCTTCAGTAGCTCCGGCATCTCCTACCTCAATACCACCGTCCATGTCGATTCCCGAGATCAAAGCGGCACTTGCATCGGAGCGCGACCAGGCCAAGGCTGCTGCTGCTGCTGCAACGACCGCCGAAGGCAGTACACGCTCCACGTCCGCTCAAGCTACGCCAGTCATTCTCGGTATCGCAGTAGTCGACTTCAACCATCTCGTCGGGCCACAGGTTGAGTACACACATCCAAAGGAACTTCAGCAGGACGAGGATCTCATCAAGTCGCTCCCCTTCCTCGCGCTCCCAGATGGCAGCCACCTGTCGGACGAGGATTTCTGCTACTTCCACCTACACTGCCCCAAGTTGTCCAGTTCGACCATCTTTGGTATCTCTTGCAACCGTCAGATCGCCGCCAACGCTCTTCTCAAGAAAGGCGCCGAGGTCACAAGGAGCACCGTGCAGAAAGCCATCGTTGTCTTGGCGAAAGAGCCCGTCTTCGGGCCGATACGTGAGAAGCTCGGAATCGTCACGCGCGCTTTCTTCGCTCAAGGTGACCTCGCCGATGTCGATATCCTACTCGACTTCCACTCAACACTCGAGATCGGGTTGCAAAGCGGTGGGATGTCCGAAGACCGCGAGACGGTCATGTACATGGGCACGTCGCTGCGCGAGCTCGTCCACAAATGGCGCTTCAAGACGCTCATGCTCGTCAAACTTCTTCTCCTACAGCGGCGTGTCATGTTCTTTGGCTACCCCGTCGAGCAGCTCTGCAACTACCAGTACTCGCTCGTTTCGCTCATCCCGGGACTGCTTCTCAACTTGCAAGACGCCGGCGATCCAGCACTGCATACTCGACAAGGTAGGACTGATGCTGCCGACAGCCTGCGCTCATCGGATCGCAAGAGTCTGCTCAAGTTCCTCGGGATGCCTCTAGACATTTTTGGCCAAGACGCCTTCTTCCAGCCGTACTGTCCCTTGCAACAGATCGACCTGCTCAAGTCTCGCACCTGGCTCGTCGGAACGAGCAACAGCATCTTCAAGCAGCAGCGAGACTGCAAGATCGATGTCATCGTCGACCTCGAACACGCGCATCTCGAATTCCAGGATCCAAGACTGCACCAGATGGTCAATCTCACACCAGAGGACCGCAAGTGGATGGACGAGGTGATCTCTTCCGTGGTCGAGACGTGGAATCCAGCTGATCCGACACGGCCCTCCTCGATGGGCTTCCACGGCAGCGACGATCACCTGCGCATCCGCTTCGAGGACTACATCTGTGCCATGCTGTCGTCGACAAAGTACGCCGACTTCCTGGCCAAGAGTGATCCGGAGCAGGTGGCGATTCAGGCACCGGATGCATCGACAACCTCCAGCTTCGGTGCCGATTTCCTTGCAGCGCTTCGATCTACTGAAGCTTTCGCTCTTTGGAACTCGGTCACAGATCCAATGCTGTTCGACATTGTGGATCACAAGCATCCGTGCGAGGGCAAGACGTCGACCATTGAGGACGTCGGGCTGCGTCTCTCTGCAGGTCTGCACGATCTTCGGCTCGAAGAGAATCTGGCACCCACACGAGAGGCGATTGGCAGCGCACTGCAAGCCGGCAGTGCCAACTTCTACCGCCTTGCTAGCAACCTGGGCAAGGACATTGCCAAGTTTAGGGACAATCACATTGCTGTAAACCAGTCTGCTGGTGGCCAGGGTCCTGCGACACCGGGTAGCGCTGGAGGCGTCGGCGGTCTTGCAACGAGATTCGGCTTCTTCGGGTCGAATGCGCCGTCAACGTCAAGCGCCCAGCCGAATGCGACCAACAGCGGCGCAGCGAGGACGTCTGGATCCATCACAGGCGAGGCCATTGATGCAGATGGGCAACATACAGAACGATCCGGACGGGTCGCATCCAGCGACGTGCCCGGCAACGCGGCTGCCTTCAACGCCAACGAAGCTCTGAACGCTGCAGGTCAAGCCGCTGCTCAAGCTGGAACTCAGGTGCGGGCGGCGCTGGGCAACTTTGGATCCTTCCTTTCGGCACGTCAAAAGTCGTGGGCGGCCACTCGCGGGACCAGCCCGAACAGCAGTAGCAGCACACACAACCCTCAATAACTCGGCGCGTCAAGCATCTCTGCACTTCGTATTCTGCTTGCCTGTGTCAAAACAGCGACAAGCAATGAATACATCCACCGTGAACACAGCAAGCAACAAAGAGAAATGCGGAATGAGAGCGTGTTGAAACAAGCAGAAGCTAGATATACTACAGAACCAGGACCAAAAGAAGTAGAAAGAGAAACGAAAAGGGAGGCGAGGCCGATCATGCCTTGTGTCGCTGGTATTGAGCGACGAGCATGGCGTGATCACGCTCGTATGGCTCGAGGGTGAGCTGTTCGCGTGGCTTGAACTTCATGCCTTTCAACTTGTTGACCTCGGCGGCGAAGACGGCCTCGGCGGGTGCTGTCGAGTCGATACAGCTGGCCTTGATCGAGATGAGTGCGTGACCCTCGTTCTTGAGGAAGGACTCGGCGTTGTGAGCTACGATACGGGCCTGGTCTGGCTGGGCAACGTCGGCAAAGATGACGTCGACGGTGCCGACGAGCATGCGGTACTTGTGCGGGTGTCGGGCGTCCTCGACGATGGGGATGACGTTGGTGCGCTTCTTGGCCATGTTGATGAGATCACGACCAGATCGGTGCGAGAACTCGACGGCGTAGACGATACCTTCGGGGCCTACGAGATCGGCAACGTGCGAAACCGAGGTACCGCTGGCAGCGCCGAGGTAGAGCACCTTCTTGCCGGGTGCGATGTGAATATTGTCGAGACCACCGAGGACACCGGCTGCAAGCTTGGATCGGAAAGGGTTCCAGACACGGTATTCGGTCTTGGCAGTGGTGCCATCAGCGCCGGCACCGGGAGTCTCGACAGAGATGCGCTTCTCGCCGTAGACTGACTCGCCGGGAGCGATGTTCTTGGTGACGAGGAGCATCTCCTTGCCCTCTGCGACGAAGATACCGGGGTGACGGTGAGGCTTGACGATGACGTTGGATCCACCTCGTGCACCGGGCTTTCCACCACCACGAGCTCCACCGCGGCCACCTCGGCCACCGGGAGCGCCACGGCCGCGGGGAGCACCTCGTCCGCCACCACGTCCGCGATCACCGCCGAAGCCACCACGTCCTCCGCCGCGACCTCCGCGGTCACCACCGAAGCCGCCACGTCCACCACCACGACCTCCGCCGAAGCCACCTCGTCCTCCACCGCGACCTCCGCGATCACCACCGAACCCACCTCGTCCACCGCCACGACCTCCGCGATCACCTGTAAGAGACAACACAAAGAAGCAGAGCGAACAGAGCCTGTCAGTATATCGTATACGCTTTAGACGTATGAGATTGGCATGAATTGATGCCAAGTCGTGGGTTGACTGCGATTGAGATGCCTACCGAAAGCCATGTTGAAGAATGCGAAGTTGTTGTTTAGAGTCTATTGCAGACTAGAAGGGAGCAGACAGATGGGCGGATCTGCTGTGTCGAAGAGCAATGGTTCTGTTCCCAGGACGTTCGATTGCCTGAGGAGTGAAACGAAAGAAAGGATGAAGCCGAAGCTGAAAGATGTCGAAAGGGTTTGAGAAGGAGAAGAGGATGGTGAAGACGAGTTCCCGAAGCAATGACAAGAAGTGGCCATGCCACAAAAAAAAAAGGCGCAACCTTCTGAACAGGTTTGCGCAGTGCCTGTCTGCAGCCTCATTTCCATCTTTTTTTTTCCTTCTCTCCTCCATCCGCCTTTAGGCTCAGTTAGTCTGTGAGTTGCAAGCAAAAAAATTCTCGGATCTCGAAATTTTCTTCTCGTGCGTCTCTGAGCGGCCAAAGTCGAGAAAAAGCATCATTTTCAGAAGACGCCGTCTGCTGCCATGATCACAAGCTCAAAGCGCCTAGGCAGTCTTGAGTTTGATTTTTGATTTTCGGCTCCGTGGAGGAAGTATCGGGTCTTCTATTCTAAACGCATCGGCGATTGACCAAAGGCAGACTGTGTCCAAGTCGAGCCGCGCGACGCGTGAAGGGGCGCTTGAGCCTCTCGCCTGCGAACGCACAAAAAAAGAGCCAACCAACACTCTGAACACTGTACCGCATCGCATTCACCATCACCATCGTCTTCTCAAGCTCACCATTAAATCACCTTCATCCTCCTCGTCGTACATCCGCACTCCTACTCCCAACATCAATCGCGGAGTGGCGATTGATTCTCAGCTCATACCAACCCGACGTAGCGCACAAAAGCGTATACCGACACCGCATCCGAGCAGAACAACGCCGCAGCTACAACCTACCGTAAGGTCGCGGTCACACAATTAAACCATGCCTAGGGAACTCATCACACTACAGGCCGGACAGTGCGGGTAAGTAGATCGTTTCGTTGCAGCAACGCCACGTTCACGGCTGACTTTGTCGAACCGCTCCTTTCCACCTCACTCTCAGCAACCAAATTGGATCTCACTTCTGGGAGCACCTGTGTCGCGAGCATGGTATCGCCAAGGACGGTACCTTGGAGGAGTATGCTGCCGAGGAGCAGGGTGGCGATCGCAAAGATGTCTTTTTCTACCAGGCAGATGACGAGCACTACATTCCAAGAGCCATTTTGGTGGATCTCGAACCACGAGTGATCAACAATATTCTATCAGGGCCGTACAAGAATCTGTACAATCCAGAAAACATCTACAGCAGCAAGACGGGAGGAGGTGCAGGAAACAACTGGGCGCAGGGGTATGCGGCGGGCGAGAAGATTGCGGACGAGCTCATCGAGATGGTCGATCGAGAAGCGGATGGCAGTGACAGCCTCGAGGTGAGTATCCCACCCGGACCGTGATATCACTCGCTCGTACGACGCTTCAGAGATACTGACACCCTGTCCTCAACCTTTCTGCTTCATTGAAACCTGCTTAGGGTTTCATGCTCATGCACTCGATCGCGGGTGGCACAGGTTCCGGTCTTGGCTCCTTCCTGCTCGAAAGGCTCAACGACGCATATCCGAAGAAGCTCATTCAAACCTACAGTGTCTTTCCCAACTCGGAAGAGACATCTGATGTCGTTGTGCAGCCATACAACTCGCTTCTCTCGATGAAGCGTCTCACAAACAACGCCGACAGCGTCATCGTCCTCGACAACGCAGCCCTCAGCAGGATCGCTGCAGACCGACTCCACCTTCAGAACCCGAGCTACAGCCAGACCAACCAGCTCGTTGCTACCGTCATGGGCGCGTCGACCACCACGCTGCGCTTCCCCGGATACATGAACAATGACCTCGTCGGCATGATCGCGTCACTCATTCCGACACCGAGGGCGCACTTCCTCATGACCTCATACACACCATTCACATCCGACAACGTTGAGCGAGGCAAAGCAACCATGAAGACCACCGTGCTCGACGTCATGCGTCGTTTGCTACAACCCAAAAACCGCATGGTCAGCACCCTTGGCGCCTCCAAGTCGAGCTGCTACATCTCCATCCTCAACATCATCCAGGGCGAAGTCGACCCTCGAGACGTGCACAAGTCGCTGCTGCGTATTCGCGAACGACACCTTGCCAGCTTCATCCCATGGGGACCCGCTTCGATTCAGGTCGCTCTGTCCAAGCGAAGCCCCTACGTGCCCAGCTCGCATCGCGTCAGTGGTCTCATGCTCGCCAATCACACGGGAATCGCCAGCTTGTTCAGAAGAATGGTGGATCAGTACGACAGGCTCAGGAAGAGAAGCGCCTTCTTGGAGATGTACAAGCGCGAGCCGATGTTCGCCAACGACCTGTCCGAATTCGACGAGGCCAGAGAAACCGTGGCCGAGCTCATGGCCGAGTACAAGGCCGCCGAGAGTCCGGATTACATCACAGGCCAGCCAGATGATCTCTGATTTTGTTCTTTAGGCCACAGCCCATCCACATACCCAGACCTGGCGTGCGTGACCGCCACTCCGTTCCGGCGAGTGCCGCTAGATTGCTGCTTGGCCGGACACAGCTCGTGGCTGCATTCAGCAGGCGGACGGTCAGCCATTCACCTTTGTCACCCGTGTTTCCCTGTACTTGTATCATGCTATTTACGTGGTCTCTTCTATCTACTGTATAGCTTGTGTGTGTTTTAATAAGCGATTTGCTTCCTACGACCTGGTTTGAGGTCGCTTTACGCGACTCTGAACTCGCGCCGCCAATTCTTCTGAAATGATCCGAAATCCGAAAACCATCCGCGTCTCCATATCCATCAACGCTCTTTGGTCGTTTTGAAACGAGACATCCCTCTTGAAATCTTCATTACTTGCAGCTTGCCGTCTCTTTTACAGCCTTTCAGTATAAGGGATCAACCCGATAGCTCTTCACAGACCAGTCCGCATCAGCCACTCATCTTTCGCGCCGCCCCGCAGGCCAAGCAAGGCGGCCTTCGTTCCCCGCAATCATCGACAATGGCTCCGTCGGCCAAAAGCGGTTTCAACGCCGCGTCCGGTAGCTCATCATCCAACAATGCAGCATCTCTTGGTATCGGTCTGTCGTCTTCGTCCGCTGGAGGCGCCGGCGGCAGTATCGGCCTTGGACCCCTCGCCGGCGTGCCGGCTTCGGTCTACCCCACAGACACCATCCGCGATGTTGCCGAGTCGCTCGGCATCAACGGCATGAAGGAGAGCGTTGCTGCAGCACTCGCCGCCGACGTCGAGTATCGCATACGCGAGATCGTTCAAGATGCGACTAAGTTCATGAGACACTCCAAGCGCGATCAGCTCAAGACGACCGACATCGACGCTGCACTTCGCGCACGCAACATCGAGCCCATCTACGGCTTCCTGCCATCTTCATCAGGCCGATCCAGTGCGAGCAATCCATCACGATACACAGCCGGTCCTACTTTCCGTCGCGTACAAACAGCATCTGGAGTACCGCTGCATTACGTCGAGGATGAGGAGATCGATTTTGACAAGATTCTGGAGGCCGGACCCAGGATTGGAATCGGACGTGGGGTGGGTTGGGGTGCTCACTGGTTGGCGATCGAAGGCGTGCAGCCGGCTGTGCCGCAAAACCCGTCACCGATCGCTATCGCAGAGGCGAAGGGTGTTTCCGGATTTATGGGCCCCACTTCGACCCAGCCAATGGCTGCTGCACCGGCAGCAAAGGCCGTCACCGTTGCTGGAGGCGACGGCACGGCGATCACTAAACCACTCGTCAAGCACATTCTCTCGCGCGAGCTGCAGCTCTACTACGAGAGACTCACAAAGTCGATCGTCAGCCCACCGCCAGAAGCAGACCAAGATCTGGAAGACGAGATCGAAGAGCAAGCTTCTACCACCACCAACGCGCCTGCTCCAGCCAATTCGACAGCACAAGATCAAGATATCGAGATGGATCCCGCCGGATCACCCAAAGATCAGATCGTCACACCGCCGAGACCTACCGTCGCCCTCGCCAAGCCTCTCAAGACATTTGCACAGAAAGGTTCTGGCAACCACGTCCGCGACGCTGCTCTGGCCAGCCTTCGAGGCGACCCTGGTCTGCATCAACTCGTGCCGTACCTCATCCAGTTTGTCGGCAGCAAAGTCATCGAGATCTTGCGATCGCCCTCGCAGGAGGACGCGGCGCCTGGACCGGACGGACACTCGACAGCAACCGCGGTGCGCGAAAGCCACCAGATCAACGCGGCAGACAACCACATGCTCGGCGTGCTTCTCAGCACCATCCACGCGATCCTCGTCAATCCGCACATCTTCGTCGAGCCGTACCTCCACCAGATGATGCCTTCGATCCTGTCGATCTTGCTGACATCGTCTCTGGCAGAGCCAGAGCTTTTGCGTCAGCTGCACGGGTCAGACGAGGTCCGAACGCCGCTGGTCACCGCCGGTCCGTCTTCCTACTCGCTGCGTGCGCATGCGTCCGCGTTGCTCACGCACGTCGTCGATACGTTCGGATCGTCGTATCCGACGCTGAAGCCACGCGTGGTGGCGACGCTTCTCAAGGCGCTCATGACCGGCGTTGTGCCGGGCAGCAGCGACCAAGACTCGGTGCGACGCAGCGAGGCAGCTGGAAGTCGAGAGCCATGTGCCAGCCCGGGGACCAAGCTCGGTGCGCTAATGGCACTGCGTCGTCTGGGCAAGGCGAGCTTCCGCACGCTGCTTTCGAGCTCTGCGCAGCTCAATGCCAAGCTCGGCGACAGCGCGGAACCTACGGAATCAGCAGCGTCGCCACTCCGTCTGCTGGGCGAGTGGATGCAGTCGTGGGAATCCGGCTCGCTGCACTCCGGCGATCAGCAGCAACAGGCGGGTGAGCTGCGAGCACTGCAGATGAAGCCGCTGATCAATGAAGTTGCGGGTGCCCTGCATGCCCTTCTCCCACCCTTTGTCGCGCCGAACGCCGAGCTGGCGGGAACGACAGAGGAGCGGAACGAGACGCTCACATCAACGTACGGAAGCTACTGGATGCAAAAGGTCATTCAGGTAGACAACAGGGCTAGGGCTGCTCTCGAGACAGAGCTCGGTATGCGCAGCAGCGGCAGTGGAGCAGGTTCGAAAGCGGCGGTGGGTACGACGACCGACACTCAGATGAAGCTCGAGCAGTGATTGAGCGAGCGCAGCCCACCGCTTGTGACTACCGCATGTTACAGTATCTTGTACTCTGTCACATTCTCTCCTTCTCTGTAGTCACGCATGCAAGCACAATGGAAAGGAGCTAATCGAGAGAGTTGGAATTTTGGCCAGCCAGAACAATGAAGCCGCAGAGGCTCCCGTTTCACTTCGTGCGGTGTGTGGACCCTTTGAGATTGGCCCGGGCGCAGATCAAAATCTTGGAAAGCGTGCGTGCACGCGCAAAGCGAAATTCAGGGGTTCAAGGGCGGAAAGATAAGTAGCAGCCCGAATCGACGAATCCCTCCTTCTCTCTTCTCTTCACCCCTCTCGGAAGTCCTCAACGTACGGGCCAGGGAGCCCGGGGCCAAGCTAGTGCCCCCTTGGAGGTATGGGGGGGTCCGACTCGGAACACATGGTTTGGCAGGGTCGTTAAACAGGCAAAGGCGGTGCAAGAGTGGGGTTTCGTCGTCTGGATCCCAGCCCGCAAGAGAAAGTCCCCGTGACCACGGGGCAAACGTAGCGCGAGTCTTGCAGTAAGGCGCAAGAGCGCAGTAATTGATCGACGTACCTACGGAACGGGTCGTCGTCTGAAACCGTGGTAAGGCAACGTCGCAGCCGCCACACAAGATGTAGTCCATTGGACTGAAGAACTGATAGGCCCCTATGTGGGGCCGCCAATATTGAACCTCGAACCTCGAACCTCGAAACACAGAAAGCACGAGCTTAGACCACGTCGACACAGATTGTAAGACCTCCGGTCTCTTGACGCGCCTAGCGCGGGTATAATGGAGGTGCTCGCTGTGAGCATCTCGACCTTCCAACAGCCCCGACCTAGTCGTGGGTTAGGCGACGTTTCTATTCGCAAGTCTCAACATCTTCATCAGGGATAACACTTTTCTTCTCGATCGCTCTTCGTTGGATCAAGGCAAGCTGGCCGGTTTGACGCGCGGTGCGTCCGGTCTGTTTGCGAATCTGGTCCTAATACGACGGGTGAATGCCCCTTACGAAGAATACCTTTTGTCCTCGGTGAAGGTCCTCAAGACATGCAGCAGGTACATCCTACTTGACAGGGACGAATCCTGTTTCTGAGAAGGCGCCGCTTTTGCTCCTCCGCGTCCGTTCTCTTGTAGACGAGTGGAGCGGGTGGTGTTACCTTTTCGACGTTGCCGAATGTCATGAAAGTCAAAGATATCTTGTTACGTGTGTGCGATCGTGTTCATGGAGTTGTGATTGAGCCTTTTGTCAGTGCTGGTCGATGGTAATGCTGAACCGGTGTCTTGAGACGTGGCAATTGAAGGGGTCGTGGGGTCCAAGACTGTCCAGCGATTTGGTGCTTTGCGATGATGGGGAAGCACGATACTCAGGCCTGTGACACTCACGACTCGGCAAGCAAGCTTTACCTGTTGTTTCGTCAACACTGGCGATGATATTGTACAAGGAAATGTGATTGATGAACTAGCGTTTTGCTTGTGAAGCGGCCTCTGTTTTGAGCAGTGCGGGATGATGGTAAAGAGAAAGTCGACGGTGGTCAGTAACGAGATTGAGCGGCGTTGCAAAGCGAAGTGAGGGATGTAAAAGAGAGGGAGGATAGGCTTACCTCTTCTTGTCGCGTCTTCGAGCAGTTGTGTGTCGACGGCGGCAGCGGGGATGTGGACGTATCGAACGACCGAGCCTCGAATGAAGGCTGACTTGACAGCCATCTGTGAGCCGAGGGACAGAGAGATGATTGTCAGTGAGCAACGTGTTCCAGCGTTTGGGTAAGGTTTTGTTGTGCGAGAAAGTGTAGGTTCCTACCATGTGAGGATGTTTCGCTTCATCGAGCACGCGAATGTTGTCGATCTTGAAGTTCAAGAACCTGCACAGATTGGATCAGTGATGTAGCGGTGATCGTATCGTGGTTCAGTGGATTGTAGGCCAGGCGCGATGGGAGATTTGTAGAAGTCGAAGAGCAGATCGAGGTGCACGTAGTGTCACGATGATTCGAAGTCAAGGAATAAAGAAGAAGATCATCGTCAGCAATGGGGTTCCGATGCCATATCATGGGCTGCAGATTGCGCCACTCACTGATCAACACTCTTGAGCGTGCCCTGGATGGCGAGGTCGTTCTTGAGCTCGATGGTGACCTGTTGTCCTGTGAGGGTCTTGAATGCCGAAAAGATGAGCTGTTAGTCGTAGTGAGAGGGATTCAGCGTGGCTTAGAGTCAGCTCATAACGCTCTCTCTCTCTCTCTTGTGTCGCTTTTGCTTCTACTTACCATCTTAACGGATTCAAAGCTATAAGTGTCGGTAAGGATGATGGGTTTTGGAACGAAAGGTTGCAGTAGTTGGCATATGCGCCGAGTCGCTGATGATGCTGCTGCTGCTGCTGCTGCTGCTGCTGCTGCTCCACTCGACTCTACGAGGTGTGGCCTCACGTGACGCAGCTTCCTCGAAGTTTTAGAGGCAGCAGGGCAGTACATTTTAGAGTGTGGAAATTAGACCCTTTCTACCGATTTCTTCTCACAGCCGCGCATTGACTCGACGTTCGACCTTTCCACCTCACCAGCAACCACATCCATCACAGGACATGACCGCTGAGGATATTACACAAGGTGTTGCCAACGCCTCGCTCGAGGCGTCCGTTGCGGCTGCCACCGAGCAAAGGGTCACCCCTTGGGACGTCGAAGGTGCCACCGTCGACGGCCAGCAGGTTGCCATCGACTACGACAAGCTCGTCAAGGAGTTCGGTACCCGCAAGATCGACGCGGAGCTGCTTGCTCGCTTCGAAAGGCTGACGGGATGGAAACCGCATCCTCTCTTGCGACGCGGAAGCTTCTTCTCGCACCGAGAACTCGACAAGATCTTGGATCGATACGAGCAGGGCAAACCGTTCTACCTCTACACCGGGCGAGGGCCTAGTTCCGACTCGATGCACTTGGGGCACTTGATTCCTTTCCTCTTCACTAAATGGCTTCAGGATGTATTCGACTGCCCGTTGGTCATCCAGCTCACCGACGATGAGAAGTTCCTCTTCAAGCCGGCACTCAAGATCGAACAGGTCAAGGACTTTGCCTTCAAGAACGCCCGCGACATCATCGCCTGCGGCTTCAAGCTCGAAAAGACCTTCATCTTCTCCAACCTCGACTACGTCGGTGGTGCATTCTACGCCAACATCGTCCGCATCTCACGCATGATCACCATCAACCAGTCCAAGGGTACCTTCGGTTTCACCGACAGCGACAGCGTCGGCAAAGCACACTTTGTTTCGATCCAAGCAGCACCTTCGTTCTCCAACTCTTTCCCTCAGATCTTCGGAGAGAAGCACGATATCCCCTGTCTCATTCCATGCGCCATCGATCAGGATCCATACTTCCGTCAGACGCGCGACGTAGCATCTCGTCTCAAGTATCCTAAGCCTTGCTTGATCCACTCCAAGTTCTTCCCCGCACTCCAAGGCAGTCAGACAAAGATGAGCGCATCCAACGAAACGTCCAGCATCTTCATGCACGATACCCCCAACCAGATCAAGAACAAGATCAACAAACACGCCTTCTCCGGCGGACAAGAGACCATGGAGGAACAGCGCAGGTTGGGCGGTAACCCCGACGTCGACGTCTCTTTCCAATACCTCACCTTCTTCCTCGACGACGACGAGGAAGTGGATCAGATCGCCAAGGATTACAGATCAGGTGCGCTGTTGACGGGCGAGTTGAAGAAGAAGTGCATCACGGTGCTGCAGAAGGTGGTGAGCAACTTCCAGGAGAAGAAGGCAAAGGTGACGGACGAGATGGTGAGGGAGTTTATGAACAAGGAGAGGAAGATCGATGCTACGATGCCAGCGGCTGGGTCCACGGCGGGGATGCAGAAGGAGCTTTCCAAGGATACGGTGGTCGCTTCGACGAGTGCGTAGAAACGTCTTTGCTGGTGTCTGCGAATGTCACGAATGTAGGGTCTTGCGCCCAGTTGCATCGCTTGCTGGCCGTGCGTCCCTGCGAGACATGAGATCGTTGGTGCCAGCCGTGGAAAGGACTGGGGTTGTGATCAAAGTCCGGATTGATGATGCTAAGCTCCTCAGGATGTGTCAGACTTTGTCCCGAGTCGTCGATGCTGGGTCGCGATCGTCGCTGCACTCACTCGAGTGGGAGGGTCCAAAATTGGGAACAGAAACGATGGCGTTGAAAATGGGTTACAAAAATTCAGACATCCTCATGGCTGTGAGATCGACGGTGCTGAACAGTCGGACTTTAGCCCAATCGGCGAGCGTGCTCGTGGTCACCCACCTTTGGTTCGCCGAAAGCGAGCTTCTTCAGACCTCATGGGTTACCGCAGCAAAATGAATATGCCGAGGCTTGCAACCGAGAATCTGGTTCACCGTCAGCTACGAGTTCCGCGCTTTCAGATGTTGACCGCTTCCGGATGTGCTGCCAAAGCCCGTTCACCGGTCTCCCCCACAAGCAGCCGGAGCTCTGACCACCTTCGCACTAATGGCCATCGCAGCGTGGCAAGGATAGACGAGGCTGAAAGGTCCACCCCGTTGAGTGCTGCAAGAGGCGTCGGTCAACACGAGCACCTGCAGCTTTGAACGCCCGAGTTGCATTAGCGTCGTCTGAAGACTGTGTCGTGTGTTCCTTCAGCGAGGAAAGATAGACGTCGTCTTCGTTGTGCGCTGGGTGTTAGTGGTCGAATGGGCCGTGCGCGGCAAAAGCGACGGCTATACGGCATCCATCCGACAACGAGAAGACGAGTCAACAAGAGTGGGCGTGATAGGGCAGCAGGTGTCCGTGCATGGTGCCTGTTTGCCGATCCGAACGACATCACCGACTGCAGCTGGCTCGAGCCAAGACTGTCCGCTTGATCAAAAAGCTGATAAGGTGACTTAGAGGACCGATAAGTTAGAGCGGAGCTCGAACGCCTGCTGTGTGGAATCGACGAGGTCAATCTGTACAGCACAGCAGCGAACTTTGCCGCTACGGTCAATGCTACGCCCTAGCGTCATCTGTCGTAGGCCCAGGCCAGAGTCCCAGCTCGCACGGCCATGACGGCCTCGTTGCAACATGATGAGGCTCTGTCTCGGCAAGCGAATACCACGCCGCGTAGAATCCCGGAATGATCCGTTGGTGTTCACCGGTCAAACCGAGCACTCGTGGAGAGTCAGGAAAGGCTGCCTGAAAGCGCTTTGGGAGCTTGCGCGTCCATCCTCGGCTATGCGGTCTGGGATGCTGCACGCGACTTGTTGGAACACTGCTTGCTGTGAGTAGCTTCGTTGAGCGTGATCCTATACACCTCAGCATTATTGAGCTGGAGGCCCCGCATCTGCAGCCCGTCGTCTTGTGTTCAGTAACAAGACTCTCGTTGTCGATCTGTGTATGATATGTGAAAGCAAGGGGCCAGCTTGAATGGCAGAGGTCTGGACTCTCACGCTGGCAAGACAGAGCAATGCCGCGGAGCTGCCGAATGGTTGTAGCCCATGAATCGTGCTGCACCGACGTGCGACTGAACCAGTTGAAGCGGTACAAACAAACTGGCCACCTTGCTCAAAGCGGCGCAGTGGCGCTCGGCTGTGGCCCGTGTGCGTCGCCGTGTGTAAGTGGCTGTTGACCGCCTTTTGTTGTTGACCCCCTTGTTGTCCCTGTTGTTGTAGTCGGTCTCTTTGTACGCCTCGCCAGCTGCAGCACGACACAGGGTCATGCATAAAGTGTGCATCACCTGAGACACGACACGACCCGAGAGTTGCAAGACAGTCAAGCTGCTCAACCACGCGCCATATGTTTGGCATCCGCCATTCGGTGTCTCCTGTCGTCTCCCGACCGACATGTAGCTCGAAAGGGGCAAATCCGCGAGGCAGATCTGGCTGTCCAGGAGCATGGCTACAATCGACTCGCGGTCTCAAGGTCTCTTTCGGCAGATATTTCTTGCGCTCGACGTGAGAATATGGACGAGGGACCAGACGTAAAGTGTGTCACGGCTCGGTTCTTTCTCGGTTCTTTCTTGTTTTCTAATATATTATAAATTAATATCGGAAATGGTTCAATATACTGTATCACCAGGGCGCAGATCAATTTTGAAAACTTACAAGGGCGAGATTTGCTTTCAAAGTGAAGTGTAATCAACCCTCTCTCGGATATCTCGCACCGCTGATCTGGTGGGTCTCATCTTTAAATTCCCTAACCTGGTCGACCACACGACCTTAGCCTTCAGCTCCCGCGGCTGCTGTCGCTGCAAATGAAAAGCTGCAACGACAACGATAATCCTCTGCAAGTCCGTTCTCAATCAACATACAGTACCGACGTCCGACCGACACTCAGCTCCCCTTCTCGCTCCCATTCCCGATGTGTGTATGTGTAACGGTGGCGGTCGGGATCTACGCACTGCGTCTGCCTTGGGTGAAGCAGAAGTGGCTAGGTCGAAGTGTCGGAACGCCCTTTTTGTGCTCTTTGACGCTTTGCGTCCACTCTCACTTCCCCTCCTCGTCACGCAGTCGATCTGATCCGTTCAGCTTGCTGCAGAGAGACTAGCTCATCCAACGATCCTGACAGCACCCGCGAGAGAAAGGATCGTGTGTTGATAATAGCTTCGTGTTCGATCTTGCGCGGAAGGTACGGCTCAATTGGCGGCTCATGTGGTGTTTCTTTTGGCGCACGTCAAATCGATTGAACGTCTCCCTTTTATTTTTTATTTCTGTTTGAATAATTAAAGCTTTCTGTTGAAATCCAACAGCTGTTTCACAGTGCCAGCCGTCCATACTCGCACTCCCGAAATTCTCCTATTTTCAGGCGACAGGTCTGGAGCCGTAGATCTGACCTCGATCTACACTGTCTCAGGACATCCACTTTGCAACCTCCCGGGTCGGTGCAGCAGCGCGTCGCCGCCTCGTCGCGCTCAATTACGACAGGGCTTCGTTTGGCGCAATCACAAAATGCGAGCCTGAGAGCCAAGTGAGTGAGCGTCAGATTCGAAAAACCCAGCCTCTGATTCGGCTCGTCCGACTTGCCGCATCGCCGTGGTCGGTCTCCACCGTTTCTCTGGCTGCAGAATCGCGCCTGAATTGCAGAAAGTTACATTTCTGCATCACCGCGCTCGCCTTTCAGCTTGTGCTCGTGGCTGATGCGCCCTAAATCCTCCGCTGCTCACTTGCCTGCTCACTCTCCTGGATTTTCGCCTGGAGATTTATCTGCCCATCTCTCCACTCTGCAGCCGGTGGATCATCCGCTGCTAACTCTGCTGCTACTGCTGCTGCTGCTGCGCTCCGCAAGGACCTGCCTTTGCTCGGTAGCTGGATTCGCCCAATTGTGTGCCGCCAATTTTCTACTGCTGCATCACACTTCGTTCATACACTCGCTTTCCGCGCGATTCCGGTTGTTGAGCTTTCATCGATTGGCAACTCGGCTGCTCATCCGCCTCTCTCACGCTCTCCCTCTCTCTCGATTTGTTACCCGACGCTATCCTCCATCATCATCTATCGTCCCTATCTCCTCTTCCATCTCCTCGTTACGTTTCGTCGCCGTCGCGATCAAGCTACCAAACACCACTAATCGTCGGCACGTCCTTTGTGTCCCCGTCGGACCCACCACCTTCATCATCACCAGCCGAGCAGCACTGAGAGCTTTGTGCTCGCTCCGCCCCTTTGCTCCATCGACCGCCCCGACCTTTCAGGTTCAACTCGACTCGAACCAGTGGACGAAGCTTCTGCCCAACGGATCCCCTCAGCGCCCCACTCACGCAATCGGCGCATCGCATACCAGTTACCAGGATCTGTTCACCCGGACTTGTTTCCTTCGCCATCCGTCAGCGTGACGAGCCTAATCAGTCGACTTCGTTTCCACGCAAAGATCTATTGTCTCTGCGCATCGCTGCTCGTCCAAAGCTGATAGTTCTCCTTTCAGCGAGCGTCACGAGACCCTTCCGATCCAGTACAGGCCCACGCTCTCTGATCTAGCCTTCGACACCGACGATCTCCATTGCAGGCTTGGCACGAGCTTATTCAGTCTACGCCTTTCCACACGCCTAGTACAACGGTGGCGAGCAAGACGGGAGCCGAGAAACAAAAGATCTAGATACACGCTCGATCTTTCGCCCCCGCGTCTCGCTAGCCGGCCAGGCCTCTTAGCGCGTTACTCATCAAGTTTATCCTGCTCTTTTCTTCGGCAGCTCTTCACAGAGGTGCAGCTACATTCGTCGGCCGCTCGGAAGCATTCTTGCCGATCTTAAGAGCCACATCTCACCCAACATGTCGTCTGCAGGGTAAGTGTTCGCTTCCATTCCGCTCCCACCTTTTCCGCTCGCGGCGAAGCCTGTTCTCCGCCGGGAAGGGCTCAGATAGCTTGTTTCGGATTTGGGCCGATTTGGACATGTTGCCAGCACGCCGAGCCTGACAGACGATGGTCAGAGGGACGCGCTGGGTTGCAACAACTCGAGGGGTCACCTTTTTCGTCACTCACGAGATGCGCGGCCGCTCTTGCTGCTCCGCGCTGCCTCGTTCGAGTGTAAGAGTGGCGAGTCGCTGCGAAAGGCACACCGGAGTTGCGAATGCGATCCAAACTGTCCAGACGAGCTTCGGTCTGAAGTCAAACACTACATTCAGCTCCCGAATTGCCGTCCTTCTCATGCACAGAACCAACTAACGCTGACACATAATCTACCCGCTTCCGTCTTTCTGTGTCGATCGACACGCTCCATTTCGTTTCTTTACGTACAGTCCATCAAACGAGCACGGCGACAAAGGCTACAGCAACGTGATCACCTCCACCTGCACCCCAGGTCCATCCCCTGTCAGCACACCCGGCGCTACCTCCGCGTTACCACTCCCAATGGCTGGCGGACCACATCATCACCCTCCAGCTATGCCCGCCAACTCGATCTCGATATCGGGCGAATCGCAAGAACAAACAGCAGCTGGCAGTTTCGGGCCATCCTCGATGAACGCATCGTCAGATATGGGCTCTGTCATGACAGAAGATGAGGAGGACCTGGAAGATTACGGCAAGGGCGGGTATCATCCTGTGCATGTCGGAGACACCTTCTCGGACGGGCGGTATCTCATCGTTCGCAAGCTCGGATGGGGTCATTTCTCCACCGTGTGGCTTGCAAAGGATAACAAGATGAAGAGGCACGTAGCGCTTAAGGTGGTGAAGAGCGCGCCGCACTACACAGAGACGGCACTCGACGAGATTAAGCTGCTTCAACGTCTCGTTTCGGCCAATCCGAATCACCCAGGCAGACGACACTGCGTTTCGCTCCTTGACCACTTCCGTCACAAGGGTCCCAACGGTTCGCACGTATGCATGGTGTTTGAGGTGCTCGGCGAGAACCTACTTGGTTTGATCAAGCGCTACCAGCACCGTGGTGTTCCGCCTCACATTGTCAAGCAGATCGCAAAGCAGGTGCTCCTCGGTCTCGATTACATGCACCAAGAGTGTGGCATCATCCACACTGATCTCAAGCCCGAGAACGTGCTCATCTGCATCGAGGACGTCGAGGCGGTCGTAGAGGCCGAGTTGCGGTCCAATCCAGCCGCGGTGCCCACAAAGCTGGTCGGTGTCCCGCCGAGTCAAGGCCGCGGTGGCACGCAGACACCCAGGCGAGACGGCATCTTCATCACCGGCTCTCAGCCTTTGCCTAGTCCTAGCAGCAGTCTAGGCTCAAGTCCTATGTTCGACAAGTGGGCATTCGGCATGTCCAAGATTGACAAGCCGAGCATCAGCGATAGCGAGAATGGCTTCCGCAGTGGCGCGAGCAGCGAGGCCGCCGGATCGAAGGGTGGGTCTCTCGCAAACAGCAAAGAGAGGGAGAACTCGTCCGACGGGGTGGCTCACGGCATCTCGCAGCTCAGTACTCAGGGATCGAGCAGCTTGCCTGCGGACTCCTTTGGCAGCAGGATGACCACAGGCGCGCCTCAGCAGAAGGGCCCTTCGCTGCTCTCGCTGGGAGCACCACGTGTACCGCAAGCATCCGAGTCAACCGCGACAGGTCAGCAAGCTGATGCGACGGCCGACCCTACCGATTCGCCTTCTCCCATGTCGATGGACTCGCCTAGCCCTCCCGACCGCCAGGAGGCAACACCCATGGACCAGGAAATGCATCAACCAGCGGTCGCAGCCGGAGATCCCAACACGCTTCCTCCTCCGCCGCCGTACGACCCGAGCTCGCTGGAGCGCATTACGGTCAAGATTGCCGACTTGGGCAATGCGTGCTGGGTAGACCACCACTTTACCAACGATATTCAGACACGGCAGTATCGATGTCCCGAGGTCATCTTGGGTGCAAAGTGGGGTCCCAGCGCTGACATGTGGTCGGCAAGCTGCATGTTTTTCGAGCTGTTGACCGGCGACTACCTCTTTGATCCTGCCGCGGGCACAAAGTACAATAAGGACGACGACCACGTTGCCCAGATCATCGAGCTCCTTGGCGACTTCCCCAAGAGTCTTGCGTTCGCCGGCAAGTACAGCGCCGACATTTTCAATCGACGCGGGGAGCTCCGACATATCCACAAGCTGCGGTTCTGGCCGCTGATCTCGGTGCTGCAGGAGAAGTACCTGATGCCGTACAACGAGGCCAACGAGCTGTCGTCTTTCCTGATGCCGATGCTTCGATTGCATCCCGAGAAGCGAGCCGGAGCGCGCGAACTGCTGGATCACACTTGGATCGATGGCATCGTCGTGCAAGGCGAGATCGAACAGGCCATGAGGCAAGCAGGCATCGATGTAGAGGCCTTGACAGCTGGAAGTCCTTCGGGACGCACGCTGCCGCCGGGATTGACGCCAAGCGAAGCGGATGCGCTGAAGCCTGTCGGTTCGGTCTCGAGCAGCCCAGCAGCGACCATGTCTCTGAACATGCAAGGACTCGAGGACGCGAAGCGTCGCGCAGCGCAGCACCAGGCCGAGGCAGCCGCAGCCGCCGGCGGTCCGAATGGCGTAGATGCTTCCAATCACACTAGCGCAACATCATCGGCACTCCCGACACCTTCGCACAGCAGCTCGCGAGATCCCGTGCACGCGTTGCAGGCGGAAGCGCTCGAACGATCCGCGTCGTCTGACGGCGCAGGAGAATCGCACATGACGGTCAAGGGAGCCGGCGATGACTCGGGCATCCGATCCGTGTCGACGCCTAAGCTTTCGGCGCAGCAGGCAGCTTCGCAAGGTCCGGGCAGCTCGACGAATCGCGATCCAGGTAGTCCTTCGCCGCAGGGTTTGCCGCGACCAGTCGCCACCACTGTGCAGTAGATGGAGCGAGTTCATTTCAGTGGCGAGTCTTTTAGGCAGATATACACACACATCCTGTACCATCAGTTAACACGTTGTTTGTGAACTCCGGTTTGTTTAGATCGCGAGAGTCGTGGTTGTGGTTGAAGGTGAATGGAAAGCATTGAGAGTGGCGATGGTTGGGTTTTGTTTTTGAGACGTTGGGGTTGTGCTTCGGGCGAGTGCAAAGGTCTGCTTGTCAGACCACGTCACGTTTCAGCAGGACACACGCAGCAGGCTTGTTTCATGGTTGTGAAAGATTACAGGTAGCAAATAGGAGAGGGTACAAATACAGTTACTAACAAGAGTTGTGTTTGGTATCAAGATCGTTCATGCTCAACAAGCTTCATCTAATAGTGATTAGCCATAGGAGCGGAGGAGGGATTTTCAAAAGCCCATCCAGCTGCAAAGTCTGAATCCGGGGTCGAGTGCCATGCTTCGCTTCTCGATCTACTCGAGAACTTTGACGACGACGACGACGACGACGACGACGACGATGGGTCGTCATGCGTGTTGCGTGGAGCGGAAGTGTACTGCGGTGGTGGAGGTCGTAAGACGCTGCCTGCCAGTTTGCTTTGTGTGTATACGGTCCGTGATGTTGATCGTGGAAGTGTTGCTGATCGATACGGTGCCTTGGCGGACAACGTCGACGAAGAAGATGCGAAGGGCGATGTGGTCAGATCCTGAATGATGGACTGGAAAGCCATGGGAGTGCTGTGTCTACGATGCTCTCGTTGCGGGGGATCCAAGATTGGGCTGGAAGTGGCTCGATGGTTGCGTGAGATCTCGAGGGCTGGTTTGGATCTGGTGACACGTGACACCGGAAGTGATTGCGATCTGGAAGATGCTGCTGACGAAGACGATGCCGATGACGGCGATGCTGTAGACGAAGGAAGCGTACCCAGCGAGAGCCAGGAAGTCTTGTTGACCTTGTTGGCTGCGGGCAGATCCGAAAGCTTCTTGCTGAGTGTCTCTACTTGCAACTCTGCTGGAGTGTCGACGTCCATGGGTGGAGACATGACACCCGGTGAGGTGCATCTGCTTTCGCCGTCGTCCGAGGCTGCATCATTGCGCGACCACAGGGAGCTCGAATCATCGCAAATAGAACTCGAATCCTCGGTCTCGGCCCAGTCCGATGCGACAGACAGAGTCGGGCTTGTTGGGCTTACGAGCTCTTCTGCTTCCTCCTCCATGGGCTCGGGCACTGGCCCTTCAGCTTGCTCTTCCGGAACGATAGACTTGGCCGTGAACTCGATCCTCTGTGGCGCCGGCTCTTCAAGACGGACGCTAGCTTCTTCTACGGTATCATCTGCCGCTGCTGAAGAGGGTGAAGAGGACGACGACGAGGCTGAAGAATGCGGCGAAGAGCCACGACGGGGCTTCTTGTTGTCGTAGTACTCTTCAAAGCGGTAGCCGTGCGGACCCTTGCGCCGTCTGCCAATGGGCTGACCTTCTTTATTGTAGATCTGATGGACGGGATAGGCATATGTGCCGTTCCAGTACAGACCATGTTCATCCCAACCAAGCTCCTCGGTCTTTACTGGTACGAAAAGGACCGACTTTTCGTACTTCTGTTCTGGGACGCTGGTCGAGTATTGTGGAGGTGCGTCGGGAGGCGTGATGAGGATGGTGGGCACGACAAAGGCTGGTGTCGATGGCTTTGCTAGGACGGCTGGGTCGATCGAGAGCATTGGTCTTGCCTTGATGCCGGCTGTGGGAGGCACAGGCATGGCTACTGCGACTGCTGATGCCATCTTGGGCGAATGAAAGCGCTAGAGAATTGCTGGTCTCAGCGATGACAAGGAGGTTGTGTTAGGAGCGGCGCGAATACAAGTATCCCGCGAGGTGTCCTGTCTTTTAAGTGCACTGCATCTGCGTCGGAGAGACAGCCTGCTGGGATTATCAGAGCGACGCAAGGAGCTGTCCCTGGGCTAGAATGGTGGCGAATCGCGAAAACAGGCGGTCTGTGCTCGGAGATACGTGTTGAGGTAATAGGCGACGGCTCGAGGGCGAGGAAGAGCGATCCAAGAAGGGAAGCTAGGGACACGGCGCGAAGGGGTGATGAGATTTGATCAAGACTAGCGGAGAGAAGCGAGCCAGAATAGCGAACGAATGCGAGCGAGATGAAGACGATTTGGGCAAGCGCTACACGAGGGACGAGGGTCGAAATGAAGACTCGGTTGCTGACTGCGACGCACGCAACACGTTGTTAGGGAGTCGATGTCCAAGCTGAAGATCGAGCAGACGGTTGTAACAAGACTGGCTGGTGGGGTGCAGCGATGGTTGTGGTGATGGTGATCAAGGAATGGTCGGCAAGGAGGGGATGCGGGCAGAGGGTGCGAGGAGGAAGGTAGGAAGCATATAAGATTATAGTGCGTAGTGGAGCTTGCTTGCGCCAACAAGTGACCTTCTCGATGTCTTGCTACTGGAGCCACAGTGGTACGGAGTTTCGCAGGTGAAGTACATGCGAAGCACTGACAGCGGAGGGCATGGCAGGAAAGGTCTGTGATTGTACCGCTGTGTGGTTCAAGGGTGTAGTGGTGATCCGGCACTGTCAAACACGGCGCTCATGCCAGCACGAAGAAAGTCGCTAGCAATGGCTCGAGTTACAGTGTCCCAGAGCGACTTAGTGCATCAGTGCGTTACCGTCAAGTCAATGCGCGTTCGGAAAAGCAAAACCGGACTAAACGTAGCTGATGACGAGCAGCGTTAGCGCATGCTTAGGTCCGCAAGTCGAACTGATACGGTTAGCTTATCATCGAGCGAGGCAAAAGCCGTCCACCATTGCTGGCACACACATCACAAGTCGAATTGTCCGGCGGGATGCCAAGCAAGTGGCTTCTCGCCAAACCACGGATCGACTCAAGGCTCGCTCGCTTTTTCTCCGATGGCTGCGACCGGAGTCGATCTGATGCCGCCTCGTCCATCGGCAGGCATGGGAATAGTGTCGGCGCGGCCGGTGGGCTCACCCGGGGCGTCTCATAGAAGAGAGGCGCTGTTCTGTGCCACCTTTTGCTTGTCAAAGCAACGTCTCAGCCTTGTCTCAACAGCTTGTCGTTCCAACTCGAACTTTTGACGGCTGGCACATACATTATTTTGCTGTGTTTTGTGTTTTTTTTTTAAAACAAAAAAAAACAAGATTGACTTCTCGATCCTGGCTGTTCAAGTGGCTGAAGTCTGGTCAGATCCTGAGGTACATGGACGATGATGACTTCGTGCTTGCGTCAGGTGTTATTATTAATATAAGCGAACCATCAGCTCAAATGACCTTGTTTCCTCCGCATCTACAGTGCATCCTCTGTTTCGTGTCGGCTTAGCCGCTTCCACGGCGGAGATGGCCTTCGGTTCAGTTGTAAGGGTCAGGCTATTGTGTAGGTGTGTGTGCATTACCATAGAAGTCACAGTCAGCCTTCGCCCTTTGGTATTCGAGATTTGCATCTCTTCTTGGCTGCAGCTCGCAAAGGATGCGCCCTCTCTTTGTGTTGGCAACACCCCCTTGTCCAACACAGAGTTCACCGTATAACGTGCTAGGCGTAGCCGTGTCGGGAGAGAGCTGGTCTTTCGAGGTGCCCGATCCCAGCCCTGAACCCAAGCGAAGACGATGACGACCATATCGACATTCACAAGCGGCACGTCCTCGTCGGGGTATCCGGATCGAAAAGGTTGTCTGTCGCTCTGTGGATGGGAAAAAAAAGGACGGATAAAATTCTCCGTACAGCGCCTGATGTCGGAGTTCGGTGGACTGCAGCGACTTCTTCAGTTAGTGGCGTTGCAACGCAGCTAACTTATCTCGCAGCTGCACCAACGCAACGCCGTGTGATTTTCGGGTTGAGCATCCTTGCTCGCTCAGATACACTCGCAGACACTTGAACCTCTTCTTCATCCCTTTAAAATCAAGCGTGCGTGCGTGATAATGCCTCTTCGCTGACAAACGATGTCTGTTGCAGAAGCCTATGGGTGGCCATACTTCAGAGGAGCAGAGCAGCATAAGCGGGTTGCTGACCGGTGTTAAGGATCATTTTGACGGCAGCTTCATCAAGCGGTGCCTCGCCTAGGGACGAGCTCGATGGTCAACGCGCAGAGCGCATCATCGCTTCCCATCTTACTCTTCTTTCTTACCCGAGCTCACAGATGACCTGTCGTCTCAATGCCTGTTTATTCCCGTTCATCGTTCCCTTCAGCTCGCTCGTAACTACGTGGTACCTGTGTAAAGCGTACTTAGCTCCCTCGAGGGCGGCGAGTCGACGTATGATGGAGCAGTTCGAGTCGGCGACACAGGGAGAAATCCACATGACATCGATGCACACGAACAGCATCGATCTTGCGCTGCAGGCGAGGGCGAGGCGATTGGTGCATCCGTGGAGTGACCCGTTGGCTCGCTACCATTACAGAGAGGGCTGAGAACGAAACCGTTCAATGATGCCGCCCTGCGCGCATGATTCGATGCGGCGGACGGTTCGACCAATCCCCGCCGCAGGTACGACCAGCCTCACCTTCACCAGGTGTGAGACAAACCCGGCCAAGCCACCCCGCGGCTCCCGTGAAAACAAACGGGGAAGTTAACATGGTCATCGGCGAGCTATTTCGCCGTCGTCACCAAGGATCATCAGCAGACGCTGAACGGTCGTGGTCGCGTGCCTGTCGAAATACTTTACTCTGCGGGGACAGAGGTCAATTCAGCTCCGACTTACGAATGCCAAGTGATGTCCCATCTGGCGTTGAGGACAGCTGAAGCAAAATATTGCTCTAAGCGAACGGTCAAGGATCAGGCTTCCTAACCGAAGCGCGATCGACCGTCGATGCTGGTTGTCCTCCATTTTCAGCGGCAGATCTTCGACGCGCAGCCGTCACTCGTCCACACGGCACTTGGCCCGGGCGAATCCAGGGTTTCTATTTCTGCACTCTATCGTCATCTCACCGTTTTCCGATGACCGCAGAAACGGAACAAATTCGAACTGTGGCCTCCACTCCATCTTCCTATGTCTCTACACTACGCTTCTGGTACATCTGGGGCATCGCTTTCGTCGTTGATCTTTCCTGGGCATGAGACATGATCTGTGTCGATGATGGCCTCCTCGCTCAAAGAAACGGATCCGAACAGAAGCGATCTCGGCTCTTTGACACAGGAAAGAGCTCCCCTCCCATTGTTAGGATTTCCATGGCGAGTTCAACCGTGATCGTGTCGCCGTCAAGCAAATTTTGAAATCCCGGACGCGGACGGCCGTCTTCTCGGGACCCTCGGATTCGCTTGCCTGAAGTTTTGCTCGAAAGCCCGGACGGTCTCATCTGGTTCATCGAACAGCACAGCGGAGCTTCAACCTCGTCGACGTTGATCGAGACCTACAACAGGACTGACTTTGCCTCGAGCCTCGTTCCACGGTTTCGTCGAGGCCGCGCGTACCCAAGCTTGTTGAATCGGAGACAATCCGGCATCCACCGCTGTTGACCGCATCGAGTCCGAGACGGTCGCGCCTTCCTTGAGCAGACTTGGCCGCCGCTCATCCTCACGCTCTTTCTTTCGCACACACCCGTGTCTCCCGTCGCAGCTCAGGGCAATGCGATTCTGCTGGGTGCACAGAGCGTCTGTGTCAGACTCGTCCAAATTTCCAACTCTGTTGTACTGCCACGCGGCTGAACCACTGCGACGGGTAAAACAACTCGATTGAACTCCACACCACAGTCGAGCTAGTTATCGAGCGACAGCTCGCTTGCGGCTTTTTCGTCCCGCTTCCCCGGGCTCCTCGTCAGATTCGTAGCTAAGCGCTCAGTCACTGCGCGTCATTGATCACCACCCCGAGCCGTGAGACTCAGGAGAGGCCGTCGGAAACTGACCATTTGTCATCGTGAGCATTGCAAAGGTCGGGTATCATATGATGACAGAACGGGCCAACACGAGACCTAGGCAAGGACTGCAGCCGAGCGCGGTGACAGAACCGATCCAACTCTCTTACGATATGATTCTAGCAGCGCATCTTCTTGCGCATCGTTGTCGCCAATTTCGGTCCCATTGTCACCTGGAGTGCTCGCCTGCTGACCACTTGCGCCATCCACAGAACGTGATGGCGACGAATCCAGAGATGTTCGAGCCAAGCGACTTGCAAGTACCGTACGAGAGCTGATCTTCCGTCTAAGTGGACTCGGAACTGCCGGTGCATGAGCAAGCAGCTTCCTCCTCGCCTCTTCTACATTTTTGAGTTGATCTTCTGGCACTGTCAGGGATCAGAAAGGGAGGCAAATTCAAGTCAGTACGTGCTGCAGGTACGAGAGAAGATTATAGGCAACACCATAAGAAGGTCGCGCAAAAAGAGGATGTATAGCGAAGTAGAAAGGTGGACAGAGAAATAGAGAGGCTCACAGAAAAAAGTCGAGAGAGAAGATAGGGCTCTACTCACGCTCCCGAATCGCAATGTTGGCCGAAGCTGGCGCTTGTTTCGGTGCCAGCAATGAACGTCGTCGCTACTCGTCGTAAGAAAAAGCAAACACAAAAGGTTGATGTCAGCGATTTGGTTTATCTTCCTAATCGTCTCGGTCATAGTGTCTTCGAGCTGAACTTACCTGAGCGAAGATGGCCTGTTTAGCAACTTCCACCAAATACGGCTTTTCATCTGCCTTCTGACCTTGTTCCAAGCACGCCACAACCCACCCAATCCCCACAACATGAGGTTTCGGATCCACCAACGCACGATACGAATGCAACGTACTCGGCCTTCCACTCTTGTACACGATGTGCGTCAACTTCCTCTCTCCAAACCTCACCATCACCTTGGCACCCGCGTTCTTGAGCATGTCGATCCAACACGCCGAGGCGTCCTCTCCATCCTGGTCGCGTACATCGACGAGTACGGTGAGACCGCGGAGGAAACGTTGCTTCTTCGGTGCTGAAGTCGATGCATCGCCTTCGGAACCATCGGTCGCAGAACCGATGGCGAGGAGGTTGGAAGAGACGTTGCCGGTGGATCGGTCGGCATCACCGTCTTCGCGTTTGGTGGGGACGAAGGTGTAGAGCGAGCGTCGACGGGCTGCTTTGGCTGCTTGACGGGCCTCGGCGAGTTCGGCTTCTGTTGGTGGTCGGGAAGGTGCTGCGGTTGTTGCAGCGGAAGAGGATGCTGCGCCCGACGATGAGGATGAGGAGGCGGATGCGGAGCGAGTAGCGGATGGCTTGTTCGTAACGGCAGCGGCGGCCGTCGATGATCTGGCGTTCTCTGACTCCCTCCTGTGAACAGCTTGAGGCGGTGGCATACCACTGGACAGCGACGACATGGATCTACGCTTGGCAGCCTTGATCTCAGCCTGCCTCTTCGCCTCCGCCAGGCGAGCCACCTCTTCCTCCTGAGCAGCGTCCTCCTCGGCTCTCGAGAGACTGCTCGAAGCAATCTCGAGACTCGACGTACGCGATCCTGACACCGGCGGCCTCGACGCAGACTTGCCAGCGAGCCCGCTGAAATCAGGCAGTCTCGGAGCTCCGAACGACATCATCGACTTGGAGCTCGCCAGGCTAGGGTTGTTCACCGACCGAAGGTCCGAGCTCGTCTCGCGAGACTTGGCGAGGGCCGAGATGCGACCAGAGGGACGTTTGAAACCGCCACTGTCGCTGCTCTGGTCTGCCGCATTAGATCGTCCACTAAAAGACGAATCGCTGCCACCTGCAATACTCTTGGCAGTGCGAAAGTTCATGGTGCGACTGGAGGTCATACCGAACGGTCGGGCGGTCCCCAGCTCGCGCTTCTGAGCTGTCTCTGCAGTTGCGACACTGTCCTGCTTCTTCTGGATGCCGACTGCAGTCGAGCCTGAGCTTGGAGGACTTCGAGTCTTGGCTTTGAGTCGGGCTAGTGAAGCCTCGAGACTGGCGAGCGCGTCCGACGTTTCGGAAGACAGAGTATGCTTCACATCCAGCGACGTTGTAGATCGTGGCATGAAATGCTTTTTGGTGTTCGAGGAGGAAGATGCTGATGCAGTCGAGCCAGACGAAGACGGCAATTGGTCCTTGCGGTTGACAGCCTCGTCCCGCTTGGGTGCAGGTCCTTTCACAAGCCTGATCTCATCCACGGTGTTGGACCCTTCATCCCAATCATCATCGTCATCGTCTTCATCGTCCTGAGCAGAGTTGTGTCGGAAGATGCCGCGCTGAGCTTTTCCAGGTGACGGTTTGAGCTCGAGAAGATTGATAGGTTTGCGATCGGGTCGATCCGGTGAAGAGATGATGAACTCGGATTTGGCCTGGAATCGCTTGACAGGGGAGTGACGTGGCTCGCCGAGCATGGCGAGGGAGTTGGCATCGGCATCATCGATGAAGGGATTGCGCTTGATGGCAGCATCCGACTTGACACCGGATGAGCCGAAGACGAGACGATGACTCGAATCTCGGCTGCTTCCGACCGGTTTGATGTCGGATGCTGAACCGTGAAGCGGCTTTGCCGAGCTGGCTCTGCTTGAGATTGTGGATTCAAGGGTATTCGAGCTCGGTGCCGTGGTGTTGGAGGATGTACGAAGCGAAGGAGTTGGACCATGCAGCCGAGAAGCTTGCGGAAGAGCGGCGACTGGCTTTATCGGACTTGCTGAGGGTCGGAATGTTTCCGACGGTGCTTTCGGCGAGTTCTCTTTGCGGCTGGTCATCAGAGTGTTGTCGGAAGGTGCGCTGCTCCGGTCGATCTTGGTTGACGTCTTGGAGCGAGGCAGACCCACGTCATCAGATGGGGATGACTGACGCGGCGGCGCAATCCGTCTGCGTCGATTCGGAATCTCCGGATTGCTGGTCTCCAACTCGAACTCGAAGTCGTCGAATCTGCCCTTGACGGGACTCTCCATGCATGCAGCCAGGCTGGTATCCGGTGTATCGGGATCGAATGATTCCAGCTCAGCAGCTTGGCTCGCTCGTGCTTTGCGAGGTGATTCATTCCGTGGATGTGATGAGGATGAGGAAGGAGGGTGGCGTTGCTCGACCAACCTCGAGCTTGATGATAGCTCGGTGAAGTGATTCAGATCCGAGATTCTTGCCATAGATCGAGTCTGGCGCATGGGCTGATTGAGCATGCTGCTGCTGCGCATCGCCGTAGCTCTGCGCTTTTGTGGTGATGTGGTCGACATGTCGAAGAGGAAGGGCAGCAGGTAAAGCGTGTTTCTAGCGAATCCTCGGACTATGCGGGGCGATGAGAGCGAGTAGATGCGGTGTCCAGGATCTATGATTGAGCCATTCCTTTGGTGATGCGACAGCCGTCGTCTGTGCTGCCAGCTGCCGTATACTCCCCGGATATTTGCGTTCGTTCCGGCAAGCAGTATCTGCCTGTGAAGTGTGTAGTAAGAGAGGATGGTATGGAGTGGGTCTGCGCAACGAAAGCGTGTGGGGGTCGACGTGCGTGCGAGCGAGCGTGTGTCGGGCAGGGTAAATACACGCCAAAAGCTGAGCGCACAAATCAGGCAGCTCAACGCAGTGAGCGCTTTACGCGTACCTGTCCCACATTTCGAAAAGTGTTGTTCTTTTTTGTCGGCTTTTCGCGAATGACATCACGTGACTTGGCCTCCCAATGACAACCCGCCGGCTCAGGATCTTTGCATCGTGCACAGACGACCTCGACAATGCCGGAGCACTCGTCCCAAAACGATCAAGGGTATCTTATGCAGAGGTGCATCACTTTTGTCGGATCTTGTGCGTCGTGGAATGGCTCGTAGTGCCTAAGTAGGACAAAGTTTACGATTTAAATTGCGGTCTGAATGTTAGAGCGGAATCTCCCCCGATAGTTTCTCAGATGCAGATCTTCGGATGATTTTTGGTTGAAGAGGCGCGGGCCTCTCGCCTGGACGATTGCATATCCGAGATCCGGAAGACTGCCGAGCCTTCGCTGCCATCCGGTCAGATTGCGCATCTCGAACTCCTGTGAAGGGATTCAATCCTTGCGATTCACCTCTCTCACCGCATTCTCATTGCCGTTCGAATCCGCATTGTGATACACAGCGGTACCGCGGTCATTGAATCGACTTATGCAGGGTCCTGCTTCGTTGCTCTCGTACGTGATGCAATTGTCTAGTCCGAAGGCTGCTTTTTCAGCATTTTATCCGATTAGGTTGGTGAAATCCATCCGGACTGCCACTTCTTCTCGTTTAATTGGATAGGAGCGATAGGAGTGATTGTCGATGGCCATTAAGGAGTGCAAAGGCTCAAAACGATTGAACTGTAGTGACGGTGAGCAGAGCAAGAAGCAAGTGTTCTCGACCTTGGATCGCGTTCAGAGCGAGTCTTATTCCGGCCGCAACTGCCTTTGCTGGATCCGAATTCGTCTCGAAACCGAAAAAGAAAGAGCTGTAAAGCCTCACCGGCCGAAAGTGACGGAAATCAAAGCTTGCGTTGGCCAGCGAACAACGCTCAAGCGTCCAAATGTTGCTCTTCTCAAGCGAAAGTGTAAGAGCGGATGGATCATGCATCTCGAATTGAATTTTGGTGGTTAGCCGCCCGCGAACAGAGTGGGAAGCAGAACATGATTGTATGAGCATCATTATCCGCGCGACTGAGTTGAGAACAGAGCGGAGACAGAAGAGCAGCCAGGGTTTGCAGCTCCGGATGGATCTACTTGCATGCTCATGGATGGATCCTTCCTGCTCAATCCATCCAAAGCTGGCTCGACATCCACCACGAGCGGCTAGCTTCGTTCTCATACATCCTGACAACGCGATCATCCTCATAGAGCCGGACTCGTCGAGCAACCATCCATCCGCTTGGTGCTTCCACGCTGGGTGTCGTCGTTGCGTGTCGCCTTCCTGCATCCGCTTTCCATTTCGTCCGCCAGCATCCTTCTACGCCAGCTTCGATCTTTCTGGACGCTCTGTCTCTGATCACATACGCAGCAAGCACTGCTCCGTCTACACGCATCCGCACGCCATCGTAGTCTAAGATCCGACACCGAAGTCTCTACCCCATCCCGGACCGTCACCGCACGATTTTCCTTCAGCTGAATGCCAACCCGCCGACGACTTTAAGCATCACGTCCGATCGGCAGTCCACAGAACACGACAGCACCATCGATCAGCATCCTTCCAAGCTTGCGCTTGGACCCAACCATCACTTTGCCGGCGTCAACAAATTCCGTCACCGGATTTCGACATCCGCCCATCCGCCACCGTCATCAGCGCAGCTGGAGCTCATACGGCGTTCCAAAGCCGCAGTAGTGGGTTCAGCGTCGCACCCATCAGAAGCGCGCGATCATGGTCAACATCACTCGCGAACTGAGCTCGACGGCCAGCGCCAATGCTCCACCACATCGACCCATCCGCGCTGACACCTTCGACCTCAAGCAGAAACTCGCCGTAGCGCTAGGTCAGAATGGCGCCCGCTATTGGCAGACACTCGTTCAGTTCCTCAAGGGCGCCATCGACCGCGCGGAATTCGAAGCGCTCGCCCACAAGGCACTCAAGACCGAGCACAGTAAGTCACCTCCGATAATTTTCGACATGCTGCATGCTCCCCCTTTGCCGCAGCCGCTGACCAGTTTTCGCCTTTGTGCGCCTCCGCATCCAACAGTACACCTGCACAACGCCCTCATCCTAGGTATCCTCTACAATGCTAGCGCCGATGTACCCGGTCCATCTAGCCGCGCCTCGCGACGCATCACCCGCATCCTGCCTGATGGTACTACCATCACCGAGGAAGAGGAGGAGGAGCCAAGCCGAAAACGCCTTCGCAACCTTGTCGCCGGCCTCCCTCGCAAGGAGCGCTTGCGTCTCAAGAACCTCGAAAATGTCGGCAAACTCGGCGCGAATGCCGTCGGTGGAGCTGCCGGACTTGGATGGGCCGGCTCCGCTGCCGATATGCTTGAGAAGAAACGCAAGGACGAAGAGAAGCGCAAGGTCGCCGAAGACCGTAGAAAGGTAAGACAGTACAAGAGCGCCATCGGTGCCAAAGATTGGAAGGGTCAAGCCATCCAAGCAACCCAGCAGATCGCCGCCGTGCGGGGCAAACTCTCTTTCAGTAAGTGTCCGCCTCCTTCCTTGTTCTGTCCGAAGCCACATCCCTTTGCTCGCCTTTCCGAACCGCGTTCCTGAGCCATTCCTCTTGCACACTCTAGCCGCCCAACAAGCCGTCATGCGCGCCATGCAGGCTCCCCTATGCGTCGAAGCCAAACACTTGCCTGACCTCGACGGCATCAAGGATCGTATGACGCTGCTCGCCGTAGAAAATGGCATGCCGGGAGGCGTGCAGCCTCAAGCTGCTGCCATGGTTCTTTCGGCGCTTCAGAGTCATCTGCAGAATGTCGCCAGCAGCATCATCACCAAGATTCGTGCCAACAGAGCCGAAGGCATCCGTACCAACGAGCCTCTCCGCCCCGCTGCCGAGTACAATATCAGCCTCGACCCTGCCTCCTACATGCCCGATCCGCTCCGAGGTTCGCCAGCCCTTGAAGCGATGGATGTCGACGACAGCGCTGCCAACTCGGCTCATGGCAGTCCTGCTCGGCATGTGCGCTCGATTCAGTCCGACGCTTCTTCGCGTACCAGCACATCTGGGATCGGCACTTCGTTTGCCGACTCTTCTATGCTTTCCCTCGCCAGCACGGCTGCCACCAGCCTGACCGGGCCTTCTTCTCCCTCCATCCGCGACAGCGACAGCAGCGGCCAGCTTCACGATACATCGTTCGGCAACAGCAGCACCAGTGCCGATGCCGATGATGTGGCCGGTGCGGCGAATGGCACATCCCACAACCGACTCAAGCGATCTCGCGACGCCATGGAAGCGAGCTCTGCTGAACGATCCGACGCTGCAAGCACGCGTCTCACCGTCTCGGACGTTGCGTTCCTTCTCGAAGTCGCTCCACACACGGTCGTCGAGCCGATCGGTCAAGGCACGCAGGAGAGACTTTTGGCCCCAGAGTGGGCTGACGAGCACGCTCTTGACGGAGACGATGACACTGGTCGACTTGATGCCTCCTCGCCCGACCGTCAACTGGCTCGAGCAGCGCGTTTGGCAGCAACCACTCATTTGAGCGACGCGACCCTCGCGGCAGCAGACGTTTCTGTCCGCAACCGCTTCATCATCGACCAATCCGCCCCACTGAAGTTGCTCGATCGTCGTACGCTTGCGGAGAACGCAGGTCGTTTGAGACCGACAAAAGGTGGTTTGTCGGTTCCTGACTACAAAGATCCGCAAGCCGTGTTGGCCGATGTCAACGGCAGGAAGAAGGAGGCGTTGCATGGAAGTGCAGCGCCACAGACTGGGACAGCGGCGACAGCTCACCACCATCACAGGCACAAGGACGACATCTGGGACGTCGTCGATCCTGTTGCTTTGTTCGGCTCGCTTTGCGAATGAGATCAGATTTGTAAGTCTTTGTACCAGCAAGCAATGTCATACATTTCATTCACGAAGTTTAGATGTGCGATGGTTGAGAGTTGTGCGTGAACGTGGTCATTGCGAAGCTAGGCTCACGTTGCGCGACACAAAGAATCTCTCGTCTCGCGCACATGCTCAGGGCTGCCGATCTCAACATGAAGCAAAGCTATAATTGAAACGAAGCCAAGACAAACACTGTCCTCTACACGCTTACACCTGAACAGCCGCGGATTCCACATCCATCGAGTCGAACGTCTCGCCCTCCCTCACCGTCTCCGGCAGCGCATCTCCACTAATCACGTCCGTCGCCTTTCCATTCTTCTTCGCCGCACGCTCCAACGTCAGCTGCAACGATTCTTCATCCTCCCCATCCGCAAACTGTGTCTCACCAAACACCTCCCTCGCCTCTACCCCACCACTACCAGTCTGGTCCTTTCGGAACGCGAATCCAGTCAGCAAGGATTGCTTACCGGAAGGCTTCAACGACTCCTTCTCGTACGGCTCGATGCGTTCGAAGAACGAGGTGGACTTGTGCATCTGCTTTTCGGAAGCGCGAGCATTGACGTTGGACGAAGTACGTGCGAAAGGGTTGAGCGATTTGGCGGATTTGGTGGACGGCATGACGAGTGTGCGTCCCGCGTGGGTTGGTTCGGAGAACTCGTCGTGGGAGGGCGATTTGCGCTTCTCGGAGGTTCGGCCGTAGAGGTTCTCTTTGCCCAAAGACGAGAAGTCAGTTTCGTCGTCCAGGATGCCGCTGTAGGAGTCGTCGGCAGATGCGACGATGGATTGAGGCGCAGGCGAGCGTGTCGAGCTACCGTATCCAGCTGCTGCTGGCGATGCCGTGTTCAAACCATCATACGCAGAGGAACTGCGCGGCACCCCCGAGACCGAACGAGATGTCGGCGGCAAGAACTCCTCACCCAATGCAGCAGAGGCACGCTTCCGAAAGCTAGCCGCGCTCACCGCGTCCCTCCCACCCCGATCACCTGCACGGGTCATCACCTCGACAAGCGCGGGATTCGTATAGCTCGGTCCACCCCGAACCGCAGGATCGCACCATCGTCGACTCTCCTCCTCCACGCGTTCAGGTCGACCTTCCAGTCCTTCCTTCAACGCTACCATCCGTTCGGCCAGACTCGAAAGGTGGAAGAAGGCCGCGATCTTGAGCGCAGCTTCCAGCGTCCTCGTCGAGTGCAGTGCACGTGCAGCGTCGAGTGCACGGCCGTGCTTGTCCGCCTTGCACGCCAACTGGATCAGCTGGAGCAGCGCCTTGTCCGAGCTCATCTCGAGCGTGTTTGCGTCGAGTTGAGCGTCGTCCTCGTTGGCCTCGATTCCAGCGTTGCGAACGTCGCGAGCCGTCATGGCTAGCATGCTGTCGCGAAGGCTCTTCTCCTCCAGCGGACCGGTTCCGCCTTCGCGATGGATGAGGGGTACCTGCAGCTCGAGCTCCTGGATCATGTGACGTGTGCCGTCGACCTCGGGATGAGTGCGTCCACCCTTGAGGAGCAACACCATGAGCTTGGAAGAGGTGAGACCGATCGGCCAGTAGCCGAGGGTACTGGCAGCACGCATCGCGGCTTCGCTGGCGTCGGCTGTTGCGCTCTCACGAACGCGTTTCGTGTCGAGGTTGGGCACCCATCGTCCTTGGCGCGAGCGGTGGGCGCGATCCAGCACAAAGAGCGTTCCGTTCGAATCGTAGAAGGCAGGTTGGTGCTCGTCGTTGTAGCCGAGCCACCTGATGTGCGCATCTTTGGCAAGCGGAAGAACATCGTCCTGGATCACGTCGAAGTTGGAGATGTCGATCACCTTGTAGCCGAGATCCTGGAATCCTCCCGATGGAAGCCCCGTCCTGCGATACACGACGAGCGCAGTGCGAGCGCCCACAGCCAGCGTAACCACGGGATGTCCGATCGCCCACAGGTAAAGCTGCATACCGCTAGCCGATAGGAACCTCAGATACCCCTTGGAAGTGGCTACAACAGCAACGCCCACCCCAGACCTGCCTGCATCCTGATCCTCCCAGCCATCTTCTGTGACGGTTCGCAAACCACTTCCTCCCAATGCCACCGCCTCGACGTCCTCACCTTGATCCAGATTGAACGTCCACTCCGAAGACAGATTGTTGCTAGCCGCGACGAAAGGCTTGAAGAAGACGCTGCTCGACTGCTCGGTCGTCTGCTTGGCGGCGAAGAGGATGCCTTGCTTTGCGAGATCGGCCATGCTGATGTTGTTCATGTCGGAGAAGCGGAAGTTGCGACGTGCCGACGTGTCGAAGGATTCGAACGAGATGGTCTGGTGCGACTCTTGCTCCACCGCAACTACCGAGCCGAGAAGGTTGTAGGCGAGGTATCGACGTTGTCCGCGCATGGGGGTAGACGTGGACTGGAATGCGGGCTGAGGTCGGGTAGCAGCGATCATCATGCCACCGTCACGACCAGCGCCCATGCCGTGTCCGCCTCGACCGTAAGAGCGAGAGGAGTGGTCAGCTCCGCCGTATCTCGACGGACGCGACTCGTCGTCCACCACGAAGTCGTCACCAGCATCTCCGTCACCACGATGAGAGTCTCGTGCCATATCGTCATCCTCATCGTCTGAAAGACCCGTGCCGGCGAAGATGTCGTCGATCTGACCACGAGATCCGCGTGCCGCTTTGGATACATCGAACGCGATCTCTTCGAATGGACTGGGTCTGGTTGTGGTTGCAACGTCGGACCATCGTGCCAAAGATCCCTCGTTGTCGGTCCAAGCAAGTGCGTCCTTGGTCGGATGCCAGCTGATGGCGTTGACGAGAGCATCGGCGCGTTTATACCGGATCGCCTGTCTGCTCTCTGTTTCCCACACGGTGACCTGACCGTTTGTGGTGGCGGAGGCAAGGTAGCGACCGTTGGGCGAAAATGCGAGGGCTGTGATGGTGCCGCTAGGCGTCGGAACCGTTCCAGAGGCGCTGGCGACAAAGGTGCCCGTTCTTGACCAGGCAGAGGAGTCGTTGGCGGCACTGATGACGACGAGCTCGTGTGCCTTGGACGGCATTACAAAGAAGGTGCCCGAAGGATGCCAGCATGCAGCGACGGCTTCGTCGCTCTCGGCACGTGTAATGGGAAGGACGCCTTCGATCGACTTGACGAACTTGGGCTCGACGTCGCTAAGATCGGTGACTCGAGCGACACCATCGGTAGAGCAAGTGACGAGCAGAGGAGCGACGGGACTCCATGAAGCTGAACGAAGACCTCTGTTGTGACCGTCGAGGAGCTGAATGCGCCTTGGATCCTCGACGTCGATGATCTTGACGATCAGCTCATCGGAGCAGACGGCTACTCGGGGAGACTTACCGTTCTTGACGAAGCGCTCTAGAGCAACGCATCGCAACGGCAATGATTCGCGCCGCAGCAGCGATTGGAGCACCGTAGGCGATGTCGGGTTGCCTTCAGCGTCGATGGGGTGGTGTCGATAAAGGCGAACAGAGCCATCTTCGGAGGCGGTGACGAGGAAGCGACCGTCAGCATCGAGAGAGGTGACTGGCTCGGTTGCGTCTTCGATGAGGTGAGGTTCCACGCCGGGAAGTGGCAAGGTAGGCAAGATTCGGACGAGGAAGTCATCTCCGCCGGTGAACAGTCGACTGTATAGCGTTGAAAAGTTGGAAACGAAGTCAGAGTCAGCGAGTCTTTAGTATGATGGGCGCGCAAAGAGGCAGCATACTCACTCTACGTTGGCCGATCTGGGTGCGTGAATACATTTTGTGGGACCAGAGTGGACGATCTGGACGTGCAAGTCCTCCGACTGCGTCGACTGCATAGTGGCGGTCTGCACTGCGAACAGCAGTGATCAAAGGAAGAGACACTCGCGGAGAGGTCAAGACGGTTGTATCTCTAGCCGTTGGGATGGTGTTGCGTCCGGATGAATGAGTCGAGAAGGATGATCGCAATGATGAAGGATACGAAGCGACAGCAGGAGAGAGAAGAGAGACTACGAAGACGCTCAGTCTCGAAAGTGTTGTTCTGCCGCGCACCTTTGCTCGCGTCGCGTCCACTGCTACATTTTCGCGCAAAGTGCACTTTCGCCGCGAAAACTGAGATTGTTAGAGCATTATTGATTTAAAAAAGATCTGCCGATCTGAGTCGACGTGTAGGACAAATCATCGATGTCAAACTCTATTACTCGTCTCAAGAACAAAGTATGAACGGGTCGAGCGTGCTGGTCAACGCCAACGAACTCAGAACATGATCTTAGGGCTGATTGGCACACGCATGGACGGGAAAACGTGGTTGTGAGACAATGCTATCTGATTGAACGGAACACTAAGATACGAGTACAAGCTAATGATGGGGGATAGAATGAATGCAGGAAACGGATATCATTAGCGGGAAGGAAGTGAATTTTTGAAATTGAGCTTGTGACCAACACCTTTAGTCGAGCTCCTCGACGGTGGGACCATCGTCGCCACCGGGAGCAGCACCGCCAGGTGCGGCACCAGGAGCACCGCCGGGCATGCCACCAGGGGCGCCGCCAGCAGCCGAGTAGATCTTGGTCATGATGGGGTTGACCTGCTCCTCGATCTCCTTCTGCTTGTCCTTGAGCTCGTCGGTCGAGGCGGTGGTGTTGCTGTCCAACCACTCGATACCCTCCTTGACAATCTTCTCGAGCGCCTCCTTGTCGGCGGCCTCGAGCTTGTCCTTGAGCTGGGGCTCGCTGGTGGTGTTGCGCACGTTGTAGATGTACGACTCGAGACCGTTCTTGGCCTGGGTGCGCTCGAGCGCCTGCTTGTCCTCCTCGGCGAACTGCTCGGCCTGCTTGAGCATCTCCTCGATCTGCTCAGACGAGAGACGGCCCTTGTCGTTGCGAATGGTAATCTTCTCCGACTTGCCGGTACCCTTCTCGGCGGCAGAGACGTTAAGAATGGCGTTGGCGTCGACGTCGAAGGTGACCTCGATCTGAGGAACACCACGAGGCGCAGGGGGGATACCAGAGAGCTCGAACTTGCCGAGCAAGTTGTTGTCCTTGGTGCGGGCGCGCTCACCCTCGAACACCTGGATCAACACACCGGGCTGGTTGTCGGCGTAGGTCGAGAAGACCTCCGACTTCTTGGTGGGAACGGTGGTGTTCCTCTTGATGAGGGGAGTGAACACACCACCGGCGGTCTCGATACCCATGGAAAGGGGAGCGACGTCGAGCAGGAGCAAGTCCTGGGTCTTCTCCGAGGTGTCACCCGAGAGAATGGCGGCCTGGACGGCGGCACCGTAGGCGACGGCCTCGTCGGGGTTGATCGACTTGTTGAGCTCACGGCCGTTGAAGAAGTCGGTGAGGAGCTTCTGGACCTTGGGGATACGGGTGGAACCACCGACGAGGACGATCTCGTGGACGGAACCCTTGTCGATCTTGGAGTCACGGAGGACCTTCTCGACGGGCTCGATGGTGTGCGAGAAGAGGTCACCGCAGAGCTCCTCGAAACGGGCACGGGTGATCGAGGTGTAGAAGTCGATACCCTCGAAGAGAGAGTCGATCTCGATGGTGGTCTGGGCAGCCGACGAGAGCGTGCGCTTGGCGCGCTCACAGGCGGTACGCAGACGACGGAGAGCACGAGCGTTGGTGGTCAGGTCCTTCTTGTTCTTGCGCTTGAACTCCTGGACAAAGTGGTTGACGAGACGGTTGTCAAAGTCCTCACCACCAAGGTGGGTGTCACCAGCGGTGGCCTTGACTTCGAAGATACCCTCCTCGATGGTCAAGAGCGACACATCGAAAGTACCTCCACCGAGATCGAAGATGAGAACGTTCTTCTCGCCCTCAGACTTCTTGTCGAGACCGTAGGCGATGGCGGCGGCGGTGGGCTCGTTGATGATGCGCATCACGTTGAGACCGGAGATGATACCGGCGTCCTTGGTGGCTTGACGCTGCGAGTCGTTGAAGTAAGCGGGGACGGTGACGACAGCGTCCTTGACGGTGCCGCCGAGGTAGGCCTCTGCGGTCTCACGCATCTTGAGGAGAACCATGGACGAGACCTCTTCGGGAGTGAAGGTCTTCTTCTCGCCCTTGTACTCGATGCGGATCTGGGGCTTGCCACCGACCGAGGTGACCTCGAAAGGCCAGTGCTTCATGTCGGACTGCACCTCGGCATCGTCGAACTTGCGGCCGATGAGACGCTTGGCATCGAAGACGGTATTGTGTGGGTTCATGGCGACCTGGTTCTTGGCGGCGTCACCGATGAGACGCTCCGAGTCGGTGAAGGCGACATATGAGGGGGTGGTGCGGTTACCCTGGTCGTTGGCAATGACCTCGACACGGTCATTTTGCCAGACAGCGACACAGGAGTAGGTGGTGCCGAGATCGATACCGATGGCCTTGGTCATTGTGACGGATGTGAGCCTTTTGTGTAGACGGGAAAGGGGTGAATGAGAAGTAAGCGGGAGAGAGCCGAAGCTGTGTCTGTTGATGTAGCGGTGTTGCGGAAAAGGGGTATGTGCAACTCGATATCAGACGAGAGTATTGGTGGTGTGTGAGATGGAAAGGAGTGAGCTAGGCTCAGACTATATGTACCATGCTGCTGGTGGACTCAGCATCTGCTAGCCACCGGTGCCACCTCCGCTCCGCCATTCTGGTTGATCCCGCACAGACGCATTTCGCGGTTGCAGACAGGAAGAAACTGTACGTTTCGCGTCAGCTCAGCGAATGCGCAGAGAGCGACAAATGTTCGGTGCGCCGCCTGCTCACGCCCTCATTGGGTCGCCAACAAGAAAATCGACTTTCCATGTCGATCCACCGCTGGTAGGGGCAGGAAACCGTCGAGCCAAAAAGCGGTGTGGGACTGGAATTTTTCTTGACAGGTTGAGTGAGGTCACTGTACGTGGAAAGTAAGGTACAAAGCTGACGCAAGGAAGGCGGCGGAACGGGTTGGAATCGTTCTTCGACAGGTCTGACCGCCGTCTGCGCTAGGCTTTTGGTGCAATTTTCCGAGTTCTTCTGACTTGCCCCAGCCAAGACGCCTTTCAAGTGCGTCGATTGTAGCTCAACTTCCAACGCGTCGGCATTTTGGCGATTTTTTTTCACAGAAGACGCTGGCATATGCCACCACGTTCTTCTAATTTCCAGATGAATTCTTCTACGGCTCATCTCCCGATCAGATGACATCGGCTGTCTCGTTCAAACTGGTCTCGATTTCTAGATTGACATATCGCTGTATGAAGTTAGGGCATAACACTATCAAAGTCCTTTTTGACGGCACACGACTCAGTTGCCACTTCTATGCGTGACGTTCATGAATGAGCTCAGCGCAGTCCTTCCGAACACACATCACTTCCGACTTAGCAGAAATTGACCGACATCCGAGATGAGTTCTTCTTGTGGCTCGACTCAGCCACCGCAGTGACTCGCTCACCCTTGACACTCGCACAACCATCCCACTGACACCATACTGGAGCGTGGAGTGCTTGCTCTCCGTCAGCAGCTTTCGCTCGACCAGCTTTTCGGAAGCGCTACCATAAGCCTGTCCCACTCTTCACGGCCCTCGACGCAATCCACCATCATCACGAGAATGGCAGAAGCATCGACAGCTTCTGCTGCTGCTCCTTCATCCAGTCTGCCCGCAATCCACAGTCTGCAGATTCAGTCAGAGGCTTCGACGAGCTCTTCAGCTACCTCTCAATCGGCTCGCGGACGCGGTCGCGGCCAAGGTCGTGGCCGCGGACGAGCAAAGAAAACCGACGCCAATGCTCACTCACATGGCTCCGCTACCGTCCCAATATATGGCTCGTCTCAGACGCGATCCGATCACCAGCCAAGCAACGCAAAGCCACCATCGAAGAAGAAGGGCAGACGAGGCGGTGACAAGTCCGGAAAGGCCAACGGCGCAGATGCAGCGCATGAGCCAAACACCAATGTCGGTTCGTCAAGTGCGGCTCCAACCCGTGTAGCAGTGCGGCGTCAGCAGTTCGGCGGCAAGCTCACCGGCGGAGCTGCCGCATCATCAGAACAAGCTGACAGCTCGGTCAAAACAACACAGAACGGGAGGTCAAAGAAACCGGTGGTCAAGGTTCCGGCAACCGCAGAGCCTGTTGAGTACGCCGATCTGCGCTCACGTCTTCTCGCGGAACTCTCATCTGGAGAGTACGACTGCGTCATCTGCTACAGTACCGTCACCACCCGTCAAGCGACCTGGTCTTGTTCGCAATGCTACTCGGTCCTCCACCTGCCCTGCGTTCGCAAATGGGCCGAGAGCAGCGTCAAGAAGGCCGAAGAGCACAATGCCATGCAAGAGGATCCCGAGATTCGCGCCCGTCGCGGAACGTGGCGTTGTCCTGGATGCCAGTACGCTAGGGAGGATGTCCCCAAGATCTACTGGTGCTGGTGCGGACGCACCCAAGATCCACAGGGAGGCAGGGGTGCCAATCCACACGGCTGCGGCCAGCGGTGCAGTAGAGGCAAGTGTATTCATGGATGTGCCGATGCCTGTCATCCGGGTCCCTGCCCGCCCTGCGCCGTCACCGTCTCCCAGCAATGCTTCTGTGGCGCCAAAACCATCCCGATGCGATGCTCTCAAACGTCCGCGAAGGAGGCTCGCATCTCAGCTCTGCACCAACGCGGCACGTCCTGCGGCGATGTCTGCGGTAAGAAGCTTGACTGCGGTGTACACTCGTGTCAAGACACCTGCCATCCTGGCGCTTGTCAACCCTGCTCCGTTCAAGTGGAAGCGCTATGCTTCTGTGGCAAGCATACCAAAACCATGCGCTGCGGCGATGGCGTTCGGCGCGACAGCTTCGACGACGAGATTGCCTCCAGCTTCACAGGCCGTTTCGCATGCGAAGACCAGTGCGAGCGCACATTCGACTGCGGTGTGCATTCATGCTCCAAGGCATGTCACTCACGAGACGCTGCTCGTCCAGTGTGCCCTTCCTCGCCGTCACTCGTCCAAACATGCCCGTGCGGTGCTCAACCTGTCACTTCGCGTACCTCCTGCCAAGATCCTATCCCTACATGCGGGAATGTTTGCTCCAAGATGTCCAACTGCGGTCATCCCTGCCCGTCTCGGTGCCATCTCGGCCCATGCCCACCGTGTCAGGTGCCGGTCTCGACGCCATGTCGCTGCGGCGAGACCAAGCAGAGCCGTACCTGCCACCAGCGCCAGCAAGAAGAGCTCGAAGGCCGTCAAGAGGTCCTCTGCAACACCGTCTGCCAATCTTTGCGCCACTGCGGCAAGCATCAATGCAATCGACAGTGCTGTCCGCTCTACTTCCAGGCAAAGAGCAAGTCGAAAAAGCGGCCGACGCTGGCCGAATTGCAATTGATGGATCCCGCTGGGCTGCACGAGTGCTCGATTCCATGCTCCAAGCCGTTGACGTGTGGGCTGCACGAGTGTCCCATGACGTGCCATCGCGGTGCCTGCCCGCCCTGTCTTCAAGCCAGCTTCGAAGAGCTCATCTGTCATTGCGGCCGCACCGTCCTCGAGCCACCTGTGCCATGCGGCACCCAGGTGCGCTGCAACTTCCCATGCGTTCGACCACCACCCGCCTGCGGCCATCCCAAGATGCCGCACGACTGTCACGAAGAGGAACCGTGCCCGCCGTGCGTCTACCTCACAGACAAAGTGTGTCACTGCCAGAAGCACATTGTCAAGAACGTGCCGTGCAGCCGATCGCGCGTCTCTTGCGGCCAGGCGTGCGATGCGCTGCTCAATTGCGGTTTCCACCGATGTCAGGGCATCTGTCATGTCGCTGGCCGAGAATGCGCTCCCTGTGCCCAAGTCTGCGGTAAGCCGCGTAGGTTGTGTCAGCATCCTTGCCAACAGAAGTGCCACGCGCCATCCTCGTGTCCCGAGGTCGAGCCTTGCGAGGCCGTCATCACGCTGCAGTGTCCATGCGGCAATCTGCAGTCTCGTTCCAAATGCGGTGTCTCGATCCATGCGCCCAACAAGGAAAAGTCGCTCAGGTGTAACGACTCGTGCATCATTGCACAGAGGAACGCAAAGCTCGCCGAAGCGCTCGGTCTCAACCCGTCCGAGAAGGCAGCACCAGCCTCTTACGAATACGAGACACTTTCGTACTACTCGGTGCCTAGCAATCGCAAGTTCTGCGACGAGCTGGAAGCGTCGCTCAATGATTTCATTCGGTCGCCTCGAGCCGGCATGATCTTGCCTCCGGCCAACAAGTTCCAGCGCAAGTTCACGCACGAATTGGCGGCTGTGTACAAGCTGGCGAGCGAGAGCGTAGACTCGGAACCGCGACGCAGTGTCAGCATCCGACGCAAGCAAGATAGCCGCATCCCCAAGCCGCTGCTGACCGAGGCGTTCGCCTCAGCACGAGCCTCGCTCATGTCATCGCAACAGCAGCAGCAACAACAACAACAACAACAGCAGGGATCTGGCAAGTTGATGGGACTGGCCCAGCTGCAACGACCCGGCGCCGAGACAGCCAAGCCGCTCAATGCCATCTTCCTGCCCGGCATATTTGGTCACGATCAGGATTCGCTCCGCTCGCTGCTGCAGCCGCTGCTGCGTACCATCAATTTTCAGATTACTTGGAAGGGAGATGAAGATGTCTTAGTGACATCGCCCGACTCTCCAACGCGACTCGTTATGATGAAGACCGAGCTCAAGTCGTTGGCACGTAGGGAGCAGTTCGCACGCGATGTCATTCTTTGCACGGTTGATGCGAACAAGAACATTGTGCGTAGAGAGGACGAGCCGATGCTGAGTGGCAGCAACCGAACAGGTGCAGCTACTGGCGGCGCGTGGGGCTCTGCTGCAATGAAGCGAGGTGGTGCCAACGCAAGCGGGCCTGGTAAGCCAAGCTCCGGTCTTGTCGGAGACCGCGGTTGGGCGGCCGTCGCTTCCGGATCCGGTCGAAACTCGCCTGCTCCTATCCAAGAGTCTGTTTGGGACCAGCCGACGATGGCTGCCCAATTTAATGGTGCCAGAGCAACGACAGCACCAATCGCCGGCATCGTTCCCAATCCAAATGCCCCACGACGACCTGCTGACCATGTCAACGCGTCCTTGATCCCTGTAGCACCAGCAGCGCTTGAGCTCGCAGCAGCAGATGACGGACCTGTCCCCGAAAGCTGGGAAGACGACAACTAGACGAGATGAATTTGCAATGCAACTGCAAGCCAGACAGTCACGACCTTGAATCCCTAATCTTGATGTGCTGACTCGGCTGTGTGAAACCGAAGAAAGACCAACACGAGCCCAAAACGGCTCTGAACCTTTGTTGATTTTGGCCTTTGTTCCCGAAATTTCACGCTCTAATTTCACTCGTGGCAAGCGTGAATGTGTATTGTAGCTGTGCTTCATGTGCCCTCATGCAGGGACCCGGCGCGAGTCTGTTGGACCTCTCGTCCCGCTCCGCTGCTTCGATCATCACCGTCATCCCTGTCCCTCTACCATCTGTCACATCGATCAGCTCCGAAGCCCAGCTGCTTCCCTGCTCTGACGCTGAAAACCGCGCGGGCTTCGTCTCATCATGGCGCAGCGCGAGCACGCCTCGTCGTCGTCGACGACGGCGACACGTCCAACGCCGCTCGAACGTCGCCGTCTTTCCACGGTCGAGTTTCACTCACCACCGCCTTCGCCTACCTACTATCCCGAGCATGAACCCACACCGCCTATCCTGCCCAAGCGAACGCAGCGCGTGTTTGCGCTGCTGCTCAAACCTCTCGTTCTCCCAGCGCTGGCTATCGCGCTGCCAGCATGGCCGCTTCTCGCAGCAGCATGTGCGATCCCCGTCATCGGCGTCATGGCGATTCCGATCTTGCTGCTCATCTCGGTGCTGCTACTGTACGTGATCGCGTGGATCTGCTACCTCTTTTTGGCACAGAGGGATCTGCCCGCGACGTGGACCAATGCGCATCGATGGTCTCCGAGGAACTTCTTCCCTTTCGTACCGATCAACCCGATCAGGTGCGCCAAAGTCGACCTGGCAGCTTTTCGATACACTGTCACGGCTTTTCGTCTCGTCTTCCCAGCCATGTTTGATTGGAGCTACCGCAGGATCATGGTCATCGGTACGACCAAAGGATCGCGCGTGGTCAAGGAGGGCATCCTCTACGGCAGCCCATCTCGCGGTAAGAGGCTCGACGTGTATCTTCCAGCCGAAGCGCCCGTCTCCGTCCATTCAAACGTGCCCGGGGTTGGACCTGACGGTCATCGCTCGAGCTCGACGACGAGCCTCCCCACAGCTTCCTCCAACGGCATGCCCGTCATTGTCGTCATCCCATCCATGCTGGGTCCACTCGCCATCACCTCCAAACGACGACTGTACCTCCAACTGGCGCTGCGACTTCGTCGTATGGGCTACTGCGTCATCGTCGCCGACATCACCTACTATCCGGAATCACGCATCAAGTCCTCCGTCATCGACCTGCGACTGGTCCTGCGATGGACTGCCAAGAACTGTCAGAGATACGGAGGCGACCCTTCCAAGATCTACGTGCTGGGACACGGTCTCAGTGCGCATCTGATCATGCTGACCATCTCGCAGGAGGCGGTGGTGCTCAGTCGTGAGGGACATCTGGATCGCGCCTACGAGCGGGAGAGACACATGCTGCGGGCGAAACACGAGTCGGGTTCGCATCACGGTAGGCGGTATGGAGAGCAGGATGGACGGAATGAGGAGGGAGAAGAGTGGTTGAAGAGTGGTGAGGTGCGGACGAGGAAGAGGGTGGCATCGGGGTATTCGGATGCGTTGGATGAGGAGATGGACGAACCGGTGCGACTGGACCGAACCGGACGCAGGGGCAGTGGAGAAGCGAACGGCGCTGCCGTGGAGAAGGAAGGCTGGGTGGACGAATCCGAAGAGTCTGCAGGCATTCCCGGTCACGTCATGGGATCCATCCAGCGATTCTCGTCCTCTCCCTCTCCCCAACCCTTGCATCCCAACGGAATTTCCACCTCTACATCTCGAAAGACCGAGGAAGCCGAATCCATCCTATCCTCCGCCGCGTACCGCAAAGCCGAAGACGAAGTCGGTAACGGTCTTCGTCGCGTCGAGATCTACGAACCGGAAGTGGAGCTTCCCGCCATCGCCGGCGTCATCCTGCTCTCTGGCATCAGCGATGTCATCAAAGGTTTCCGATCCGAATCGGAACGCGGTCTCGAACACCTCTCCTACCTGCGTCGGTCGACCGGTCCTTCGCACTTTAACTGTCTCATCCATTCCCCTGCTCACCTGCTCTATGCGGCGAAGAACATCGTAGACACCCGTCTGCTCCCGCAGAAGTTCTTGCTCGTTCACGGTGGGAAAGATCAGGTCGTACCGGTCGAACAAAGCACCCTCCTCAAAACCCTCCTCGTCGGCATAGGCGTAGAACACGTCAGGTTGAGAGCCTATAGGAACCTCGGTCATGCTGAATCAATCGCTTGCCTCTTCTTGGGTATGGCTAGGTCCAACACGAGGTATACCAGACAGATCTCGGAGGACATTTCAAGCTTTGTCGGCCAATGACCGTCGTCACATTCCCACGAATCGCTACGTTCGACACAACCATTAGGATTCGGATTGAACATCGTACACATTCACGCTCGATGTCGATGAAATATTAGATACCATTGCTCCTCGCCAATGTCTGACGTACGACTGTTATCGTCGAGGACATCAGCTTGTGTCCACTTGCATTCTCTTCAGGGCCGCCACCAAGGATTGCAACGCAGTCGCCTCAGCCCGTCAGTCGTCGAGAAGCTCTTCCACATCTTCCACCTTGATAACAGCTTCCTCCGAGTCGTCAAGCTCAGACAGCGGCGAACCGCTGTCGAGGGGGCAAACGACTCGGCTAGCGTTCGTAACACTCCTCGGGTCGTCCGGAATTGGATCTGTATTGATGTCGATCCTTTCCTGAAGTCGCGTGTACGGAACGGTCGAGGAAAGTCCTGGGTCAGCGCCGATCACTTTCGCGGGCGAAGTGATGCGAGTGGACCCAGCTTCCCGCGCAGCGAGGTGGGAAGACATACCTCTGCTTGTATCGTCCGAAGAGATGGGTGGCTGGATTCTCGATTCCAACGGGCTTGAATCCAGCGTGTTCCTGGTAATGTCATCTGTTGCCCCACCAAGCCTGTCTGCAAGGGGAGAAGTCGCTGGCCGCCAGCTATGCTGCCAGTTCTCGGCTCGCCATCTCTCATCATCGGCGTACCGTCTGCGAGAGTAACGAGGATCTTCAGTTCGAGTAATCGCATACTCGGCCAATTTGCAAAGCCTTTCGAAAGGCTTGAAGAGAGGCAGTCTTCGCAGAGGGGCTGGCATTGCGCAAAGGCATGTGCCTAACTCGACCCTGCCATGAACCCCCAGGTATGGTCTCGGGATCGGACTGCGATTCTTCGGCACGAGCACCAAACCGAGTCTGTCAAGTTTCTTTTTGCCGAGGTAGATGCCATCCTTCATGTACCTCGTAGGCACGATGACAAATTCGCATGGTCCGCTCTCGAAGCGATCCGAATCGCCTGGTAGTCTGAAGTGCTGTCCCGTGTCAAAGCGCCACGCCAATTCGAGTTCCAGGATTCCAGTACTTCCCTGAGCGGAAATCTTTCGTGCGCGACCTTGTCGAATCAGATCCTCAGCGAGGCTTTCTGCGATCAAGGACTCTGTGACGACCGGATCTGGGTCGATGACGACAGGAGTAGTGTCGAGAGAATTTCCTGACCAGGCTCCGACATGACCGAGACACGCCCAGATATAGAAAGGAATTTCACGGTTGGGTACGTGCGACTGGGTCCGAAGATTGTCCAGACGTCGAATGAGACTCTGCTCGCACTCCTGTTCAGCTGTCGCGGTGCGTCGCATAGGTTGAAAGTCACCTTCATACTCAGGAGCAGGCTCGAACTGATGAAGGGCCTCTGCTGGTGTCCAACTCCCAGGACGAGGCGGCAGGTACGAGAGATGAGATTGCCTCACACAAGCCTCGGAGCGAGCTTGTTCGTCGGAGGCACGCCCTTTGACGCGGATCTTCATCTGATTGACTGCCGATGGAGCGACCGATGGAATGCGAGCGGCAGAGCTTCTGCTCGGTGGCTGACTTGTGGATGGGCTCGCGGCTAGGAAGTTGGAGACGCTCGTTGGCTCTGCCATCGGACACCTATTGGAGTCTGAAGGCTGTGACTCATTCGAGCGTATGAGAGGGGCAACTCGCGCAGCTTCATCGTCAGTGCCCCTAGAAGGAGTACCACCACGTGTTCCCTGACTGCCTACTTCCTGCGCTGAGACTTGTGTTGATGAGGTCACGGTCATGTTCACCATTGCAGGCAACGCAGACGACGCTTGGACGTGTGGCTCCGCTCCTAGGAGGCGGCCTTCGGTCTTGGCCCGTGCTGGTTGCGACGTTGCTGCAGCCTCGTTTGACTGAACCTTTGGCCCCTGACAAGGACGGGATCCTGATGCCTTCCCAGCATGGTCAGCGCGAAGCACAGTGACCGCCACGGCCTCTGTCTGATTTGTGCAAGCGGCTTCTGCACGAATGGAGAGGCTTGTTAGGTCATCCTGAAGATTGGCCCGCTGTAGAGGCGGTCCTCTTGCTGCACACATGGTCTCGGCAGTTCCCGCAACCTCTTTGTGCCCGCTTTGCGAGGTGTGTGAAAGCAGGACCGGACTCAAAGGGGACCGACTCGATGGCATACCGACCGATGCTTGCTGAGCTGCCGAGTGCTGAGAAGTCGGCTCCATAGGGCTTCCTGGTGGATGATTCGATGATGACGCAGCTTTTGGAGGAATCATAGAAGGCCGACCGAATATATGCGTAGGACCAAATGCGTACGATAAGAAGTCCGAGGGGCTGGTCGCTGACGGAGCCCTATTCCGAAATCCATCGTTTACCCGAGGCTGTCTGGAGGAAGCAGATGGTGGAGAAGTTGAGTGAAGCTGATCTGGTTTCGGACGTCCTCGCTGAGCAACGTCTTTCTGCTTCGCATCTCCTTTGCCTCCAGATGTGGATCGTATCTCGTCAGCAGCACCCTTGGCCAGCTTTACACCGACACACTCCACGGATGACGAACGCTTCCTCTTCATGGTGGATGAAGTGTTTGCCGTCCCTGTAACCGCTTTGGCCGAAGTCGAATTCGGATCGGCAGGAAGGGAGAGCGACAACGAAGACGCTCGACTCGTCTGAGGCGTTGTATGAGCCGACGCATTTTGCGTGCTGGCAGATTGCGATGGAGAGGGCGAGGGTCTTGATCGGGTGCGAACGTATGGCGAAGTTGGATCAGAACGCGAATCTGCATTTTCAGGCAAACCAGCACCGACAAGTACGCCTGGAGCTGCCGGTCCATCAATCGTCCCTGAAGGCGGGGAAGTCTGATCCAGCAATTGGGGATCTCGACTCGGGTTCGCAGGTCTGGACTGGAAGTTCGAAGGTGGACCGCTCGAGGTGACAGTGGGATCCATTCGAGGTATGCTCTCCCTTCGTTGCGACAACTGGGGGGCTTCGCAAAGGGCAGCATCAGTGCTCGAACCGTCTGAGCAAACGACAGCGAGCGGTGTGTTGGAGTCAAACGAGGTGGATCGATTCGCATCGACAGCGGTCGAGCATGAAGCCGACGCGCGTTCCTGACAATTTGCGTCCCTCGGTCTCGTCTGCTGATAAACTGATTCGTGCGCTTTCGCTTCAGCTGCAAGATTTGAATCGACTGCTTGCGGGCTCTTGGAGCGAGAGCTGGAGGTATCTTTGACGATGACCTGCTGCATAGCAGAGAAGAAGGGACCCACGATCTTGGATTGAAAGTCGTCGATCTTAGCATTCTGCTGCCCAGCGATGCTGTTGACATGCTCCGTGAGTTTTTGATGAGCTTGATAGAATCCAGCCTCGACTTGATGGACTTTGTTCCAATTGGTGTTGGCGTGATTCAACAGCTGCGCGCTCTCTTGCTTGAGCTTGGCGGTGAAGTGGTTGACACCATTGATCAGCGTCGTGTGTTCGCGCAACAAGCTGCGACAGGTAAAGAGATCCTTTTGCGTAGATGCGAGGATCTCTTGCATGGACGTCAAGGAGGCTCTGGTCTTTTGGAGTTCAACCGCAAGAGAGTCTCTGGATGCCTCCAATTGCAGTAATCTCTGGTCGACGTTTGAAGTTGCATTTGAGCCGTCGTACATTTGGACGAGCGAAGCGAACATTTGCTGAAATTGCGGTGTGGCAGTGATCGGTGCAGGCGCCGATGCCGGCATCGCGACTGCTTGTGCAGGTGCACCTTCCATCTTGGCGACAATGTGATGGCTGTTAGGATCAGTCTCCCGAGGATACGACACATTTGCCGTGTGACGTGTGGCGATGAGATGGAAGTCGTGCCGACAGAAGGAAGTTCCCTTTATATAAGCGAACTGGAAGAGACGGGCTAGGCTGCAGGAGAAGCGGCGAGCTGCAATGAGTGGGGAGACGACGGTCGCTGAACAAGCTTTTCAAACAGCCGCAGATGAAGTTGGACTACACGCGCATCATGCACTAGACGCACAAGCTCCTGAGTGGGCTCAGTATTCCGCCCACGACGCAGGCTGTTACCGCATACAAAGGAAGCGCATCAATTTACAGCATGGTCACAGTGGGCTCGTGATCTTGTGACTGAGCAGCCAGGCCGGAGTGGCATCATTGTGCTTCGGAGGGAAGGAGGAGAAGGGCAGAAGTTCGGCCCAGTGGTCTCCAAGGGGATCTGTGCTGGCACGCCACGCCTAAACTTGGCCTACAAAATAAGTTCAAAAAAGTTTTCTGCGCTGTAAATTTTTTATCGCCCCATTGTCTTTGGAAGGTAACAATGGCGCACCAAACCACACAAGTCGCCTGCTGAAAGGGCCTGAGCGGTACTACCAGCCAATTGTGTAGCAACTCGAAGAAGCAAATGACAAATCGCGTAGCGACGCTTTGACCGTCCGGCTCTTCACTCTGCTTGGCCCGCGAGCATCCCCAGACGATCAAAGCGAGCATGCAACGTTTTCGAACGGCAGATAGCTCGGTTTGGTTTGCGCGCCGTCGACGTCTTTGAACAAGCTCTGGAACCAGTCTACCGCAGCGTCTTAGACGTTAAATCGCTCATACTTAGGCACCTTTTACCAAGTAGTCTTGAGCGCTTCCGTCGCGTCCTTTGCGCTCTGGCACCAAAAAAGCTCGGTCTCCTACCCGTGTTGCGGGACGATGGTCGGGTGCTTCATCTCGATCATCAGCGCATTGATGTGTTTCAAGCATGCTGTCGAGACACCCGGCTTTGGATGCCCGAAGGTAAAGGCTGTCAGTTGACCTTGCTGTCCGATCGCCCCAAATCATCGTTGCGGCCGGATTAGCAGTGCTGACCAAAGAGGATCTACCCGGCTGATCGAACTGTGGATAAGCTTTGTAAGCATGAGCTTACTGTTTACTCATCGAAGAGACGACGTCGCCCGCAGCCTTTACGCCATTGCACCTGCCCGTGCCTTCGACAGTGACAGTCACAGCACTGCACAGCTCGTTTTGGAGGCCAAGCTTCTCCATCAGGCGCTCGTTCGTCGCATCGGAGTTGCCCATGCGATCCTCGCACAAATTGCCTGTGAGGGCGCCTCTGAGCTGACGATGCAGTCGCCATGCAATGCATCTGCCTGTATGAAGGGAAGAAAGCAAGCATTAAACACCCAAAAGAAGAAAAAGAAAAAAGAGGCCGGAAAAAGACGGCCACAAAAATCTCGCCTCAACCTCCACTTACAGTCCAATTCGCACCGTATGAACCTTCTCTCAGTCAGCCTCAAAGTTCAAGCCTGGATCTTCAACAGCCGCTGGCCTATACAGGATACTTGTTTCCCACCATCACCTCGGCATATCCAGATTTCGTCAGTACAGCCGCTACTAAGCTGATTCCCCACTGGTAACCCGACTTTCAAGCGCCGATTCACCTGTGCGCAATCCGAGTCAATCTACCTCGTTAGCTCCCTTCCCTCGCCTTGACCACACAAGCATGTCGTCACAACGGTCCAGAGACGAGCTCGACCCCGAACACCCCAATCCCTGCTATCCGAGAGCGTGCGCCATTCAAGGGTGTCTGCAAAAGTCCGGCTTCGACCAGTCACGGTGCGAATACCTGGTCGACGACCTCTATCGGTGCTGCGCCAAGTTCTACCAGCAGCGCGGCAAGGATGCCGAGGCAGATAGCTGTCCGATTCCATCAGTAGTTGAGAGGAGAATACGAAAGATGGAGCAGGAGGGAAAGGGTGGTGCTGGCGGTGCGCTGCTCGAGTCCAAGAAGCGGTGAAGCTCAATTTCGGGGAGTCCGAATACCAGATCACAGGAAAACACTGCGATCCCCGCTGCACAATCACCTACACAGTGATCAAGCATGGTCCCAAAATCTCGGCCAGCTATTGTGTTCACCTTGTAAGCGTGTCCTCAGGCCGTGGAACGAGAGTATAGGAGCGTGATGGCATCAACAAGTACGGCGATTGCTGCGACGAACTTTTGAAACGTAAATGTTACACCCTATAGTCAGACAACTTTTGGAAAGTCCTCACGTGCCGCAAGGCAATCTTGGGTTGGACTCTCCGCAACGCTTCTTCTCGCGCGGTCCTCCACTCGTCTCCTCCGTCTTCCCGTCCTCACCCATCATCTCGTCCATCCTTGCACCTTGACAAACATGGCGGACGAAGAGCAGCCACAGCAAGAGCTGCCCTCGCAGTCTCCTACCGCACAACCAACCGACTCTGAGCCCGTCGAAGCCGCCGACGCAGCAGCAGCAACGCTCGAGGATGCCACCGCCGTCCAGGAGGCTGCTCCTGAGCCCACCTCGGAGCCTGCGCCCGAAACTGCCGACGATATCGACGTGATCCCACCTTCCGACCCAGATCAACTCACCGCCGTCGTTCGTGGCGAAGACACTGCAGCAGCAGCGCGCACCGCAGCCATCTTTGACGAGGACGACGATGACGAAGACCAACAAAACGCGGACGAGGACGATCTTCCCAGCTTCCGTAAACGCGAAGCGCGCGATGCCGACAACGCAGACGATCCAGATGCAGCTATCATCCGCAAGAAGAAGAAGAAACGTCATCACAGTCCGGACGAGCCGTCTTCCGCGAGACACGCTGTAGATGATGGTGGTGAGGTGGAACAGGAAGAGGAGGATCCGTATGCCAACATGACCGAGGCAGAGATTCGACGCGCGAGAACGGACAGGATGATCGACGAGGCGTTGAAGGCGGGCAAGAAGAAGGCTCCGAGGAAGCGAGCTGGCGAGGACGATTTGGATCTGCTTGCTGACGAAGAGGTGGCTGCGCTGAGGAGGGAGATGGTCACCGCGGCGGATGATGATGAGGAGGCAAATAGACTCAAAAGGCCTGCTACGAACAAACTCAAATTGCTACCCAAGGTGGTGGCTACCCTGCAAAAGTACGTCTCTGCTCCTCGCTCTTTCCTTCGATGACCTTGATGAATGCTCTACTAACCCTTCGTCTTCCCCTTCCACCCTTACACTGCCCATCAGGAGCCACCTCCAACAATCCATCCTCGACAACAACCTCCTCGAAGGCGTCAAACGCTGGCTCGAACCTCTCCCCGACAAATCCCTCCCTGCGCTCAACATCCAACACCAGTTCTTCCAGATCCTCGAACGCATGACCATCGACACCATCTCGCTCAAGATGTCCGGTCTCGGCAAAGTCGTCGTCTTCTACAGCCTCTGTGCTCGCGTCGAACCCAAGATCAAACGCTCCGCAGAGCACCTTATCGAGATATGGTCGAGACCGGTGCTGAAGCGTTCGTCGTCGTACCGCGATCGTCATGTTGCTTCGGCCGAGTGGAACAGGGATGCGCTGTCGCAGCAGCAGCAGAGGGCGGGCGTCGGCGAGGTCGGCAATTCCAACAGAAGGAACGTCGGTATTCCGCAGGCCGTCACCGCTGGATTCAGCGTCGCGCCCCAGTCGATCGCTGGTCAAAGGAGCGATTCCGGCCACGAGGCTAGGATGGCTAACCATAAAAGGCTGAATCAGTTCAAGAGCAGGTTGAAGGAGGCTAAGCGTTGAACGAGTAGGAGTGGCAATCCGAGTTGTTTCAAGTCGTTGGTTTCGGTGTTCTTCGTCGAGTGACAGGAAGTGAGTGATTTGATCGGCCAGTATCGGATCGACTCGAAGCTCAGCAAAGGTGATGAGTGTATGATTTGACGATCAGACTTGCACCAAAAACTCCCCCATCACTGAGAAGAGACGTTCTGCATTTCACACATTAGCATCCACATCAGAAACAGATCATAGCAAATCTCTCGCCCCTCAACTCAACCTAGACACCAAATAACTCATCAAACTCTGCTGCTCGTCACCGGCCACCCTCAGCAAAATCTCAACGAACCCGGCATAACTTTGCTTCTGCTCCTCCCGCATCCTCTCCAGTGCGTCCCTATCGAGCATCCAGAGCTTGACGTCGGTATCGGCGTACGCCGTGGTATTCCTCTCCTTGCGCGACAGGAAGGTCAGTTCGCCCGCGATGGTTCCTGCCAGCATGGCTTCGTTGATCTCGTACTGTTCCTGCGGGAAGTCGTACCTCGCTTTGACGATACCTGATTCGATGAGGTAGAGGGCATCTGCCGAGTCGCCGAGGTTCCAGATGAGGTCGCCGCGCGATTTGCGGATGAGCGTAAAGTAGGGGACGAGCGAAGAGAAGAATGCTTCTTCCGACGATGGAGGCGTCTGACCGTTCAGGTAGGCTCGGAACGTGATCACCAACAGAGGGAACGGCTGCGCGTGATTGATCTTGGCAGCTGCCGTAGGCGGATCCTGATCCTTCGCTTCGTCGCCGTTGGGGAAGACGGGTACGATCTCGGAGATCGGCGTAGTTCGCTCGCTCTGAACCGCCGTCTTCGCCGCTTCGTGGAGATGATGTCTTCTCGGCGAATTCTCGTAAGAATGGTCCAATACGAACGCGGGCTTCCTCTTCTGATCCGGTACCGACAGCCCCGTCTCCGTAGCCATACTCGCCTGACCGAACGCCTTCGCCGCTATGAGACTCGAAGCATACATGCCACGCAGATACTCGTTCTCCGTCCACTCCAACGCCTCGTTCAGGTTCGCAAACACCTCCAGATTCTCGCTCCGATCCGCCCAAAGATCCACACTCCGCAATGCAACGCCCACGTCGCTGTCCGGGTTCAGGCCGCAGAACACCAACAGCACATCCTTGGCCATGAGCAAACGGTTGATGCGCAAAAACGCTTCGGCCGCCGAAAAGTCCACCCCGCTGACAAGAGTATAGTCGACGATCAAGAATCGGATCGGATTCTGATTCCACGCAGCGATATCGAGCGCGCGCCGGATCAGATCCTCGACCGAATTGATCGTACCGAAGAACAAAAACCCTTGCAACTTGATGATCTGCGTCTGCGTTCCCACCTCGTCGAGGAAATGACGTTGAATCATGTGTCGTCGTACCGTACTGCGCGCTACACTTCCATCAAAAATGGCACGCACCGTCTTCCTCCTCGACGTCTGCACCACAAAGAAGCAGCACGCGATGATGATACCTGCCAAGATCCCAATGACAAAGTCCCAGTAGGTCATGACGATCACAATCACCCAGATCGTCATATACTCCCACCCGTTGACGCGACCGACGGTATCGTAGAGCGCCTCTTTGGCCAGATCGATACCGAGAACAAAGATGAGCGCACCGACGATGCTGACCGGCAGATAGCTGATGGTGCCAGGACCAGCGATCATGATGATCGCCGTTCCACCGGCGAGCATGAGACCACTGAGTCTTGAGCCTCCACCGACGCGGTAGAAGAGGACGCTGTTGACGTAGCAAAGGTAGTTGGGAACGGTGCCGATCAGACCGGCGACCAAGTTCGAGACACCGTGGGCGACCAGTTCGCGATCGGTATCGACGTTGTCCTCGTTGATGCTGACGCCGAGCGCAGGAACATTGAGCGGCACATGCAGGATACCGAAGAACACAAGCGCCAGCTGCGTCGGCATGGTCGCCCACAGCGCGCGCCAGCTCGTCTGACCAAAGTCGAAGTAAGTGTAGAAGCGGTAGAACGCGGCCTTGCTTGCGGCCTCGCCAATGTCAAACACCCAGCCATCGTCTCGCAGCTGCTGAATGGGGATACCGATGAAACCCATGGCAACGATGTAAAAGACGACGGGGATCATGAGGAAGTAACCGGGGAAGATGAGCGGGTGGTGGAAGCGCGACGTGATCACTCGTAGCAGAATGGCAAGCAACAATGGCGGAAGCCAGAGCGCGATCATGTGGCCCGACTGGAAGAAGAAGCGCAGCGTCTCGAGATCGTACTGGAACCCATCCTCGGACTGCAAACGACTGCAGACTTCAAGACCCGTCTCGATCAGGAAGATACCGACACCGCCGATGCATCCAACCAAGATATGACGAGGGAAAAACCCAATCAGCACTCCGAGTCGAAGAGCTCCAAGCAGCAAGAACGACAATCCAGTGAGGATCGAAGATAGCGCAAATGCAACCATCGTGGTGGCGATCACCGCCTTCGGGTTCTCATCCCCGAGCTCCTCGATGATGATGCGGACCAGGATGTGGAAGAATGGCACGACCTCGATCATCATGCTTCCGTTTCCGCCCTTGAAGATGGAACCGCCGAGGGTGTAGACGAGCTGGGACAAGATGCAAGTGACGAAGAACATCGAGACGCCGTCACCGCCAAAGTTGGCAAAGATCGGGTAGGCGGCCGGGAACATGATCATGCCGTACGAGACACCGTCTAGGACGTTCATGAGCATGCCGAGGATGACGGCAGGTATGAGACGGATGGGCTCGACGCTGGCTTCGGCTGCCGACTTCCAGGTGATGCCTCGTGCAGATGCCACGAGATCTTGGGCGTGCTGCACCGGGTCGAAGTTTCTGGTCGGCACATCGCCCTGTCCGGGTCTCCAGCTCGTGGGGATGAGCGAGTACCACGGAGAGAGCGTCTTGAAGGGTTCAGGGCGATGCTGCGATGCTCTGCGGCCGGACCTTTGAACGCCCTGCTCTGCTTCGAGCACCGATTGCTCGGCTTGCGCGAGAGCACCGTAGCCAATGCCGGCCAGCTGCTGGTCCGAGGGCGCGGCTGAGCTGAACTGGCTGAAGGAAGAGTGCCCGTTAGCTTCCGATTCTGACCGATCACGGGACTGCGAGCGATCGGCTGAGTCTGGGCGGCGCTTAGCTGATCGTCTCGTCGACGAGCGTGATCGACTGCGAGATGCCGGTCTGAGCTCGTTCGACTTTGCAGGGCGACCGTCGGGAGCAGCAAGACTCTTGTCCTTTTGCTCCTCTTCTCCTGTCACAGGCTGCGGCGTTGCAACGACCTGAGAGACACCGTGGAACGAAGTGACGCGAGGGGTAGCCTGACTGGCATCGTCTTCCGGCGACGTCGCAGTCTTGGCACTCTGCGGACTCGCGGCCTGCGACGCAGCCATGGCCCGTGTCAAGTTGCTCGGCCCAGCCTGATTGACTCCGTACGAAGCAATGGGCGAAGTGGTGGGGCTAACATCGTTCGCAGCTGCGAAGCGCGAGGGAGGGAAGAGCTGCGAATTGGGCGAGGAAGAGTCGTCCTCTTCTCCAATGTCGTAAATGTTGGAGCCGTTGCCGCTGCCTGTGCCTTCATCGTCGGACATGATCATACCGGCGAGCTGGGCGGTCTCGTCTCTGATGGAGGAAGACGTGGCGGTGAAGGAGCCAGGCACGAGCGGACTGCCATGGCTGCCTGGATCCTGAGCAGGTTGGAAACGGTAGCTGCGTCCTTCGAGGTGGCTGAAGGCGGACGAATTGATGCTGCGACGATTCCAGGCCGAGGCTTGACGTTCCACGTCGTAGCCCGAATCGTTGTCGTCGTCCATGTTGCCAGCACGATTGTTTCCGGGTGGATGGTAGCTTGCTACCCTCGACTGGCCCTGCTTGGGACCTGGAGGGAAGGACGAATGCGGAGAGTCAAAGGTGACGGAACGTGGAAACTTGTTGTTGGCGTTGCTTCGCTTCCTTTGCCCCGAGAAGGCTGCTTCAGGGCTGGAGGGATCCAAAGCATTGCTTGGTCGGCGAGTGTCGTAGGCTGGACGGGTATCGCTGCTTCGCTGAGCGTTCGACGAGCTGCCTCGGAATGAATTGACCAGGCTCCCTATGCTGAACGACTGCCGACGTGGAGCGGAAGAGGAGTCGTTCGGAAGAAGGGCCGAGCCCTCGTCCGCGCCGTTTCGACCGTGTCCTGTTGATTCCAGAAAGTCGGTCGGCCGTCGATGTGAACGTGTCGGAGAGCAGATGGAGGGGATGATGATGGTGTCGCAGCAGAGTCAAGAGGTGCGGAGCAGCATCGTATTCAGCGTTAGGATCAGGGTCGATAGCAGAGCAGAGTGGAGTAGGAAGGCAGTCAAGGTCAGCGTTGGGCGTTCCAAAGATGTGGGACAGAGCTGGTAAAACTGAGCCCATGCTCCCATCAGAGTACAAGCTCTAAGTCACACCGCGCATAAGACTCACCTGACGACATGCTGGGCAGCCAGAGCAACGGCAGAAGAAGCGCTCAGAGGTACACTCGCTGATATGTAGCCGAATCAGTTTTGCGCAATCCCGAGGATGAGCCGATCTTGCGAAACACCTTGTGCCTGCTCCACTGCTGGCAAGGCGTGATCTTGAGGGCGCAAACGAAACGAAGAAGTGCCCAGAATGAGCGTCGTCCAATGTCGGAAAGCAGCAAAGTGGTTGCGAGACAACAAGAAGCCGAAGAGACACAAGATGAGCAGAATTGCGTGCGTGAATGAACGAAAGGCGACCCTGTCGGAACGCTCTCCGAATCTCTGGGAACGGAATTGCTGCAGCGGCGGGGCCAACTGTTTTGTGAGACAAAGAAGCTAAATTCGGAATCACGAGCTACCGACAAGGTACCGAACACATTTGCGCCCTTCCTCTGTCTTTCTTACTGAACATGCTCATGACACCTCTCTCTTCGCCTCTTGAATCCAGAAGCGAAACAGGACGAGAACAATAGGCAACGCCCGCTATCAGACAAATCATGCACGGAAGATCTGTTGGGCCGTGAGCGGCCGCCTCTACCAAAGATTGAGCGAGGCTCTCGGATCAGCCGCAATCAAAGCAGGCAGGCACGCGCCCACGTTCGATTTTCTTCCGTCCTTGCAGCTAGAACCTGCAGCTCCGATATGCACGGTCTCTCTTTTTTCTTGGAATTCGAATCCAGGCCAGACGTCGACGCAAACTCATTCCTTTTGCCGCTCGCAAGGTCAGTAACAGTCGAGGTCCACGACGGTACCGTGTCCTCTCATGACCCCACATCGGAAGTATCTCGTCGCCTGGGGTCGATACGAATGGGCCTCAGTAGTGGGATTCTTTGGGGTCGAGGGCACAGCAGTGTGGAGAGGCCGAAGCTCAAAGCGGCCCGGTGAGGCGTTGAACTCCACCATTCGTCCAACCAGAGAGGCCTGAGAGATAAGAATTACCCGAACTCCAAATCAAGCGTTGCCGGTCAAGTAGCCAGCCAGCCCAGCTCACCTTCGTCCGCATCGTACTCCACCAACCACATCGGCACTGACTCGCCGATCCAACATCTTGCAGCCCAACAGCATGACCGACAATCGCAAACATCGCACTCACAGACCCACAACATCTTTTCATATCAGCAAATCGAAAAGAATTCAATTGAGAAGACTCAACCCCGCGCCTCACCCATAGATGCGGATCACCCCATCCGCCCCTGCAGAGGCAAAGTACGGCGCGGTCGGATGGTACTTGACCGCCAGCACCCCCTCGCTCGCCTTGTTCCTATGCGAGCTGATCTCCTGCCTACACACCGCCGTCGTCGACTTGTCGCCCTCGCCCACCGGTCCATCCCTCCCCGCCAACGAGCCACCCGCAATGTCCCAGAAGCGTACACTGCAATCGTGTCCACCCGAAACAAGCGTCAGTCCCGAAGCATCAATGTCGAGCGACGTGACCGCATCCAGGTGCGCCACCATCGACAGCGTGCACGCGCCCGTGTCCAGATCGAACATGCGGATGTAACCGTCCTCGTGCGCAGTGATGAGCAGCGGTAGCGTCGGGTGCGTCACGAGCTTGTTGATCTGCGTCTCGACGCTGCCGTCGTACGTCTCGTCGCTCTTGAGCTGTCGCACTTGGCGACCCGTGTCGACCTCGAACAGCTTGACGATCGAGTTGGAGTACGAGACCGCAACCAAGCGCAGGTCCGAGTGACACGCTTCCACGCAGGTGGGCACGGGAAGCGTACCGCTCTTTTCCAGGTTCTCGCGTTCTTTGGCCGTGTCGGGCCCGGGCTCGCTGCCAAAGTAATCCCAGCTGAGCTGCAGCACGGCGGGTGCGGGTGCGGTCGAGTTGCTCTCGCCGTTGCTCGTCGAGCTCGCCGCAGAAGGTCCAGCTCGCACGCTCCAGATCTTGACGGTACCGTCGGCAGACGCACTCGCGAGTCTACCCTCTTCGTCCGAGCGGTCCGGAAGCACCGCCACGTCCCACACCGCCTGTGAGTGACCCACGAGACATCCCAGCTCCGTCGACTTTTCAAACGGCGGGTACGCTTCCACGTCTCCGTCGGGCAGCTGCCAGACGCGGATCGACGAGTCCAAGCTACCACTGTAGAAGCGACGCTTGTTCGGCGACACTGCCAGGCAGGTGACCGCCGCCGAGTGGCCGCGGAACGTGACGAGCGGTTGACTATCGGTACCAGACTTGGCGGCAGGCTGGTTCAGCGTGCCCACGTCCAGATCCCAGAACTTGATCGTGTTGTCGTCCGACGCAGAAAGGAGCGTCATCTCGTTCTGCAAGAACGACACGGCTCGCACCGCATCGAGGTGGCTGCGCAGCACCTTTTTCGACTTCCAGAGCAGACTGTCAGCGGCTGCGTCGGCTGCCTCTTTGGCGGCTTCCTCGTCCTCTGCAGCCAGACTGATGTTGGCCAGGTCATCCTCTTCCTTTCGCTCCGAGCCAGGCGCCCGCCCGCTGCGGTTCATCAACTGGTTCACCTTCTCCGACGTGATGGCGAGTTGCTGTTGCGCCTCCGAGATGATCGTTGCTTCTTCGGCGGCTTGGCCCTGTCGCTCCGACTCTCGACGTTCTCGGCTCTCAATACCAGCCTCCTTGAGCTTTTGCCAGTCGCGACCACCTGGCTTGTAGATGGCGGTGACCTGCTCCTGTTCGTCGAGCTCCTGGTCAGTCAGGCTGCCGGCCGAAGTGCCGCGCGAATCGGTCGACTGCGACGATCGCGACGAATCGGAAGAGTTGGAGCTTCCCGGTGCCTCGTCCTGCTCGCGGTCATCGGCAGGCTCGTTCAAATTCGACGCAGACGAACCTTCTGGCTCCAGGAACGTGGCGCTGAGCGGGTTCTTGAGCGGAACACCGCCGGACACGCCTGAGGTCTGTTGCGGCTTTGCCTCTGCTTCAGCTTCGCCAGACACTTGCCCATCCTCGCTGGCCTCCTCGAGCACAGGCTCTGAGGCAAAGAGGGGTGAACGACCGGGTCGACCAGCCTTTGTGTTCGGAACGCCGAGGGCGCTGGCGGCTGATGCACGGCTGATCGAACCTGCCATGGCGGCATGCGACTCTGTAGGCCCGGTGGGACCTGGAGCGGCGGGCGCCACTCCCTCGAGCATTGTCTTCCTTGGTCGAAGCGCACTTTGCATGTTGTTGGCACCGTTGACGGAAGAGCCCGAAGCAATGCCACGATCGGGCAGCGGATTGAGTGTAGAAGCCGAGGTGAGATACGAGATCTCTTGCAGACATTGCTTGAGGTACTCGCGGCTCTTTGCGCGGGACTTGGGATCCTTTGCGCTCGACGTAGATCTCGACAAGAGACCTGTGGCCAGAGCACTAGCATTGACGGAGCCGCCGCCGGCAGCGGCTGCAGCTGCATTGATGGCGGAGGCCGTGGGAGCAGACTCTGCAAAAGGAGCCGGCGAGCTGCGGCCGCTGCTGATCGTGCCCTTCTCCAACCCTTGCAGCAGCGGATTCTTGATCTGCGGGGCAGTTGACGAAAGTGGCGATGAGGAAGACTGTGCGTTACCGCTGGAAGAGAGGTACTTGGAGCGCTCCTGGCGCAGTGCGTACTCGAGCATCTTGACTCTCCTCATCAGATCTGTCTTGAGATTCTCGACGCCCCTCCTCTCTCCTTCGAGCAGAGCGATCCGCGCACGCATCTCGGCCCTCTCGATCTCCCACTCGTTGCGGTCCTTCTCGTACCTTCGCCATTCGCCCTGCAGGTGGTGGAGGATGCCGGCGAGCGTGTACTCCGAGTTGGGCTGCGAGTTGCCCGTCTCTTGCGACTGGACGCCGTTGGACATGTTGCTGTGCATCTGGTTCGCGTTGTTGTTCATACCAAATCCGAGACCGGCGCCCATGTTGCCACCGTTGGCATTGCCGTTGTTATTGCCCCCGCCCATCGACATGTTGCCCGCGTTGCTAAGAAACATGTCGAGTGTGTAGGATCGAGTTGTGGGTATTCTAGATGCAGCGATCGATGCGTATTGTCATAGAAGAAGAAGGATGCGATGCAGGCGAGACAGGTGGAGAGAGTCGATCAAGTGTGTGTTGTTGCGATAGCCAGCGCAAACGTGTCGTGAGATCAAGATGGATGCTGCTCAACAAACTGAGGCGATGTACGTCAAGGTGATGTTCGCTACGTCCAAGCGATCGTGGTCGTCAAGGGAGTTGCGGTCGCTTCCCCGGTCCCAGTATAGTGACGGGAGACGAGTGTTGTTGTGTGACGAGCAATCGAGAAGGAAAGCAATGGTGTGACGATGACGGTCAACTGTCGGAGCTGATCTTCAACTTCAACGACTGCACCGCTGTGTGCTGCACAGCGTATTGTTTGCTTTCCTTCCGTTGTGCTGTGCTGCACAAGAAATGTGCGTGTGATGATGGCACGGGCGCGTGAGAACTCGCGACGCAAAGGCCCCTCTTTTGGCTTTTGTATTCGGCAGTCCAGCAATCTGATTTGAAATCTCCCAGGTCGAATATATTCGAGCATTTCCAAAGTCTCGCCTTTCTTTCTTGTAGCTGGCCTTCTCACCGGCACAGGAACGTCACCGTGTAGGATCTTGATTTCAAAAAGACTCTTCGCTGTGCAGCCTGAGTCAGTTGAAGCAGATGTCAACTTTGTTCTTGCTTGACAGGGTCAGACGACACCGTCGCCGTTCTCGATGCTGTTTCATCAGAGCAGGGTCTCGCTAGGCCACTATCTCACACTAAAGTCGATGAATCAGAATGTGGTCCTTGAACACGAGTATGCTAGCAACAAAAACAACGACCTGGTATCAAAGCATGTTAACAGTAGTGCCCATCAAGCCGGGCTCTCAGACTTGCTCTCGGAGCCGGAACCACGGAACTCGAGCTGGCTGAGCAGATGCGGCCATATGTCCGCCAGACCGGGATGAGCGCTGGGCCTCGAGACAATGTTCTTCATCACCTCGGTGCCTTTGACCTCGGACCAGTGCTTGAGCAAAAAGTCGGTCTCCATCTTGCGGATCGTGGGGAACTGCGAGTTGAATCCTGAGAAGGCTTCCCATACGATGTTGTCGACGGTGAGGCTGTTGGCAAGCTCCTGTTGCGCTCGCGTCTTCAGCTCCGGAATCTGAAGCTTGTCTGCGAGCCGGTACATGGACTTGGCCGAACACGGTGCCGGCACGTTGGCGTGTGCCGTGCAGTACTCGTCGATGACATTCTGACGCAGGTGGTGCGCACGTCGTCGGTCTTGGGCAAAGCTGCTGCCTGAAGCAGTAGCAGCAGCAGCACTAGAACCTTCGCGGGTGAGAGCTGCGCCGGCCTCCGCTGCGGCGTAAGATGCCGACGCTCCGGTCGAGAGATTTTGCTCTTCTGCGTTCACGTCAGACTTACCATCCGAGGACGTCGTCTGCGAATAAAAATGCGAGTGGAGGGGCGCAAACGCAATCGTGTCGGTGTAGAGATAGTACAGCAGCGCCTTGTACGTGGCGTAGGCTGCGTCTCGTACGATCACCTTGCGCCTCTTCTTTCCGCTATGTGCACTGGATGCATTCGCCTCTGTCGACTTGTGATGAAAAGGCAAAGCTCTTGTGTCATGACGAGTCTGCGCGGAAGACTGAGCTTGAAGAGGCTGCGTCGAGCGGAGCTGCGCAGAGATCGATGCGACATTGGTCTTTGAAGGGGAGACAAACGCCGAGCCGTCCGGTCTCAGCGCTCGAGGGGAGTGCTGCGGAGTCTGGAAGGCCGACATGCCTTGCGCCCGTGACGCACCTTCGCCGCTGTCGGTTCCCGCGTCCTGATCGTTGGCCTGTCTGATGCGTGACTGAGGAGGTGTCGTCTGCTGCAAAGGTGCGTAGCTGGATGCTCGTACCGAGTCGGAAGGCAGGGGCGGTGGTTGAGTCGACGTCAAACCGGAGATCAGAGGAACGTCTGAGCTTGTCTCGCGTGTACGCCGCGCTGCAGACGAGTCGGAAGCGCTCGTGGTCGCTTTGTGAGGCGTCAGTGCTGGTGCCAAGGCGAAGGAACGTCCCGGAGCCGCCTCGCTGTTCCTGCGCTGGTCGTTGAAGTTGGATCTGCCCATCTCATAGACTTCATCCACGTCCATGTCCTCGTCCGAGTCTTCGAGTCCGAGCTCATCGTCGTCGTCGTCATCGACAGAAGAAGGGAAAGCGCTGCTGGTGATGAGACCGAGACCGTCCTGCCCGACGCCGCGTGAGGTTGCATGTGCAAGGGAAGCATCGTCGTTTACCTCATCATCCGAGCCAGTGGTGGCATCGCCCTCGGCGAAGCCGCTCTCAAACATGTCGCGGAAGTACTCGCAGCGAGAAGCCAAGATCTTCTTGATGGCGTAAATGCGACGTTCCCGCGTGACGATGACGCCCGTCTTGGGATGGCGGCGTTTGCGGCGAATGACAAAGACGACGTCGCTGTGATCCGGGTCGTCGAGAAGCGAGCCCATGGCTTGAATCAGGGCGGGCGGCACCATGACGCCCAGCGGCTGTGAACGGGGAGGTTCCGCACTGGCGGTGATGGTGACCGAGATGAGAAAGGCGTTGGTCTGGCGCGCTTCTTCGTTGGCATAGAAGACGGAAGAACGCGACGCAAACTGCGCCCAGCCCCAGTTGGAAGTCTTGTGGCTGAAAGCGTGGTTGCAGGCTTCCTTTGTAGCAATCACGGTGCCCTTGTTGAGAGTCAGGATCTTGAAGGTGAAGCGGAATAGGCCTTTACGCGTCCAGCCGTCGTCGGAAGCAGGGGCAGCTTTGTCGGCTAGGGATGCCTGCGAGCGATTGGGACTGCTAGAGGCGACATAGCTATCCCACGGCGACTTGTTCTGGTTCCATTCGGTGGGTGCGGGCTCGGCATTGAGGTAGAGCGAGCAGAATTGCTGCTGGCCCGACTGCGCGTAGAAGAGGACCGTCCATCGTCCGTGACCGAATGGCACCGACTTGATGACTTTGGACTTGGTGTCGGAATCGGACGAATCAAAGTGCTGTTTGAGGTCTTGCAAGGGCCACTCGAAGGTGATGCTGCACGTCTCCATGGGGTTGACCTTGTCGACCGGAGATGAGAGCTCACCGGAGCGACGCCTGACCGGGGAACGGCTCATGCTTATCTGGGGTATGCGGGTGTGGGAGCTTTCGAGACTTGCGAGAGGATGTGAGTATGCCGGTGCGGGTGAATGCGGGATGCGCTGGACGGTGTGAGCAGATGATGGCCACGGCGATGTTGCTCAGCTCCTCAACGTGACGATTGAAGCGAGCATCGGAAGAGGCAAGGGTCCAGACGACGGTCCAGACGACCGAGCGTAGCAGCTCAAATGAGACGCAAAGTGGGAGTTCTGGGATGCAGTGTATCGTGGTCTAGCAGCAAGGTACAGAGTGCACCAAGTTATCCGCAGCTCGCGGTTCATCCAAGGGTCAGTGCGCTGTGCTGGGCTGCCTTACTTTTTAAGGTGGCCATAATCCAAAAGATGCTTCGGTTGCTGCCGAACGCGACCCTCGAGGGCGCAGCATGACGGCACATGCGAATAGGGTCCAAAGACAGAGACGGAAATCTGACCGATCTGAATCGCTGTGCCAGAATCGGGCGTGCAGCGCGCCTCTCTGCAAGATTGCGACAAATGCAGCTCGAGCGCGAAGGCTTTCCTTCTCACCCTTCCCGCCCTCTCGCTCCTCGTCGACGGCCACCTCTAAGATCCACCCAAACTCCTGCAGAGCATTCATCACTATGGCGGACGTAGCTCTTGATTACGGCTCAGCCGAGACCGACCCCTCGGCGGCCGTACCGATGCAAGACGATGCCATGGAGGAAGACGGCGCGCAACAATCCGGATCGCGCTTCTATCCCATCTCTACCGACCAAGCCGTCGAAGCAGGAGCACAGCGTGGTCCCGCCCCTTCCTCCGGCTCAGAGACCTCTCTGGACGATGCAGCACTTGTCGGCACCGCTCCCCCGTCCGAGACACCCGACCCTCCCGCAGTCGAAGGGGGATCCGACATCCGACTCGACACGCTCCTCATCGAAGGCACACCCATCACCCAACTCTCCACATCGCGTCTCTTCGCCTACCTGACGCACTTTGGCGCTCAGCCCCTCGGTCTCGAATGGATCGACGATCGAACCTGCAAGATCGTCTTTGCCGACGAACGATCTGCACGCCTCGGGCTCGAGTATCTCCTCCCACCCTCCGCCTCGGACGACATGCAAGCCGAAACCGATCTCGCCCCCCTGCCGAACATCGATACTCTTCTCGAATACGACCCCGATTCATGGCATTCCGAATACATCACATCCCTTGTAACCCCGCGTCAGGCACATCGCGTCCCTGCGAAACTCTACAACCTCGTGGAACGACAAGCAGCGTCGACCGAGTTGGAACTGCAGAAACAGACACAGGACGCGGTATCGTCGCTGCCAGACGACGTACCGGAGATCTACAGGGAGATGGAGGAAGCCGATCGCAGAAAGGAGGTGCCACGCGAGGTGAGGGATCTGCAGAAACTTCGTGGGCTGCTTTGGTTGAGACACGCGGTCACGGATGTCGATCGAAAAGAGTCCCGCGCAAGCACCAGGAGTCAGTGGTACAAGAGGCATGGGTATGAGGCGGGTAGGGAGATCGTTCCCAAGCTACTGCAGGTCGGAGAGGTCAAGGAGAGTGTGGAGTTGTTTCCGGATTGGAAGCCTTCGACAACGAGTGGAGATGATGGAAGGAGGAGGAAGATGGACGAGTTGGATTCCGAGTTGGACGGGTATAGAGCGGCGAGGGATGAACCGCGGAGGAGGGAAGGTGAGATGATGGCCGATGCTGTGCGTAGGAGGGATGGAGATCTTATGGATCGACTGCACTCGAGGCGCGGGGATCGTCGTCACGAGCGCGAAGCCGACGCGGGTAGATGGGGACACGATGCATACGAATCGCTCTCCTCCGACCGTCATCGCGGTCGACGCTCCCGCCGCACCGAAACCGACCTCGAATCCCTCGACCAAGAACTCGACGACCTCCGTCACTCCCGCCACCAACAACAATACCACCGAGAACTCTCGCCCTCGCGTCGTCAACGCACCGACGACAGAAGCGCAAGAACCAAGGTCAAAGGTAGAGGTAGAATGAAGGCTCCCGGCTTCGACGATAGGTGGGCAGCGCAGGAGGATGACAAAAGCCTCTCGTCCAGGATGGGCGGTGGGGGAGAGCTGTTGACCCGTCTCGGTGAATCAAGAGGTAGCCTCGCAGATCGATTCTCTTAATCCCCCCTCCCCCCCTTCTCTCTCATGCAAACACTCAAAATTCACATCCACAACATCCCACCATCTCTTATCAAAAAAACCTTGTTGCAATTGCGATATCATGCTAATGAAAAACCCTAAAACTCCAACTCATCCTGCGTAGTCGCCTGTTCCGACTGATACCTAGACGGACTTCCGTTGACGTGCAATTGGAAACCAGCGTGAGGTGGGGGAGACATGGTGGAGCTGCTACCGGTGCTTGTGGTGGGGATGCGCGAGCGGACGGCGAAGTTGCGTTGATCCGACGCTGAGCCGGGCGCCGGTGGTCCACGAGGCTGACGCAGCAGGTTCGAAGCCGAGGAGGCTGCATTGCCGCCCGACTCGTGCGACGGAAGCGGCGGTGCGTCCAACGGCGATGCGAAGAGGTTCTGGAGGCCTGCCGCTCCTCCCGCATTGGGCTGTGTTCTACGTCCCATCGTAGACGAGTAGCCATCGCGCAGGTTCGAGTTCGACTTGCGCGCGGCGAGGTTGCTACCGATCCCGTTGTTCGAGTGAAGGTAGCCGTTGCCGGAACTGTAGCCGGTCGAGCCATCGCGGTCACGCTTCATGTCAGGGGCCGACTTTTTGAGACGGAGACCTGCCCTACCGGTGGTGGCGGCACTGCCGGGACCCAAGAAGCCGCCCGTGGCAGCAGCGTCGATGCCCGTGGAGCGTTGCGCGCGCCCAATGGTGGACGCCTGGCTTCGTAGCGGGCGGGCTTGACCCTGAACGTCGTTCTTTGTGACAATGACGTATCGCTCTTCGCCCTCGCCCATCGAGTAGTGGAAGAGACCGAGCCTCTGAGCCACAAGGTGCACTGTTCGACGCTCGAGCGGCGTCAGACTGCGCGAGAAGGAAAGCTCGTCACGCATGCGATCATCTTTGAAGAGGAGAACACGAGAGTAGATCTCGAGCGTAGCGGCATCGTTGAGATCGAGCTCCTCTTTCTTGCCTCCTGCGCTGGCAGCGCCGGCGTGGCTAGTAGCACCTGCACCAGGATTGCTTGTCGAGGACGAGGGACCAGTGGGTCGCTCGACGGCGGCTGCCAGACGTTGAGACGAAGGCACCTTTCTGAGCGAATCGGCGGTTAGTGGAGCGAGAACTCCTGCGTCGTAGCCGCCATGCTGAAAAGCGGAGGCGGGATCGGCCAGGTTCGCATCCCCATTGCTAGCATTGTAGCCGGGCATGAGGTAAGCGTTGTTGGCGTATTCGTCGTTCTGTCGACGACGCTCCTTCTCGAGCTGCATGCTCTGCATCCGCTTGATAGCTTTCTCTTTTTCGATCCTTTCCTTCTCGCCTGCCTGAAGCACCTTTTTGTACTCGACGCGAAGCTTGCGCCCGCTGACGTCGAATCCATTGAGAGCAGCCACGACGGCGTCTGCCTCCTCGGAGCTACGAAAGTTGGCGAATGCGAGGCCGCGGAAGACGCCCTGATCCATGTGATAATTAAATGCGTAAGGCATGGGGATGCCGAGATCTTCGATGATCTGGAGGAGCTGCTCCCTCTTGACGCTGAAAGGGATATTTTTGACGACGATGGCGGTCGGGATGACATCGTCGTCGGCGGCGAGAAAGCCGGATTGCATTGTTGGATCCTGATAAGAGGGGAGCGAGCCCATACCTTTGGGCGGCGAAGCTCCCGTTGGATGAGCGAGCGAGGAAGGATCCTGTGCACTCCACTGAGCTGGGATGGCAGCACGGCTGGACGTCTTGCGTACGCCGTTGCTGCTTGAGCCGAAGTGGCCGGAGCCAATGCCGGAGCTGCCCATGCTGCCCATAGCGCCGCCGTGACCAAAGCTACCAAAGGCGCCGTTAGCAGCGAGGCCGGCAGCGGAGCCGATGGAGCTGGTGAAAGTCTGACCGGCGGAAGAAGGATTGGAGCTGGGGTTGGGGGAAGAGGGGAAGAAGCGTTCGAAGCGGGCAGCAGCGCTTTGGCCAACGGAGCCGGAGGAGTGAGAGTTGGCGGGATGAGAGGCGCCGACGCTGGAGCTGTTGTAGCCTGGCTGGCCAGGCAGGTCTGTGGTGAGGATGGTGGGCGAACGAAGCGATGCGGAACCACTGTGGCGTGATGGAGAGGTATAGGACTGCTGCTGCTGCTTTCTAGGATCCTGCTGAGGGTCCGAGAGATTGAGGCCTCGGAAGGCGTGGTGAACAGAATCGGTCGACATCATGATCTTGAGTGCAGGCGGAATCAGAGCTGGAGAGTGCGTCGTGAAGGTCGTGAAGAGGTGATTATGCAGGATGAAGTGCCATCAATAGTCGAAAGCGGTTTTGACAGCTTCCGGGACGAACGAAAAAGGTTGAAGCCGATGCGAAATCAATGGAACCGGCGCTTGGGACGAGCTTGAATAGAGCCTATGGGACAAAGGTGAAGTGCCGACGAGAAAGGACGAGGTTGAGCGAGATCGAGGGCAAAAGGGAAAGTGGCCGGCAGAGGGTCGATATTTTAAGCAAAGAAACAGGCGACCTCGATAGCGGTACGCTCGATGAATAGTGGTCCGATCGTGAATAGAATAGAAGTACGTAGCAAGTCGTTACGAAAGTGTTGAAGAAGATCAGGGATCCGCACTCTGATGCGAGCGTTGTAAGGTGGAAAGAAGAAAAGGGGGAGGCGAGCCAAGATGAAGATGAAGGGATGCTCGTATGAGAGAAAGAGAGAGTGAGCGTCGGAAAGGCGGAGTATGGAAATTCAGCAAAGGCACACACACTCACGCACACACGCACGCTGACACTCGGATCGCGCTGTGCAATGTGTGATAGTAGAAAAAGGGGCGCTTTTGGCGGCGACTCAGGGGCCCACTTGATCGGCAGCCAGCGACCAATGCGTCTCGGCACTTGATTGTTTGTTCACGCTTGTCACCCAACAACTTGGTCCCGCTCGGATCTCCTACGGCAACATGCTCTCCGCTGACATGCTTTAGCTGAGTGAGAAGCGGTTGGGTCAAATGACAAAGGACATCACCATGACGTGCAGCACAGATCTCTTGTCAACAGCTCAGCACAGGACAGCACAGCGCTCTGGAAAATCACCTTCCAACTTCTAATTGAGATTTTATTTTACCTTTTATTTGTATATATTTTCAGGTTGGGTTTCGGATCGACTAGGGACAGGCACACCAAGAGGACCCTTGTCAAGAACGATCTGCAGGGAGCCCCTCGCATGTCTCTCTCTCTGAGTCTTGTCTCGCTGTCACATAACGTTGACATGCATTTTGCTTCCGACGCTCTCCTAGGTGAGAGATACACTGCCGTGCTGTTTCCAATCATCGCTTCAAGGGCGTACAGTCGACATGAGCGAGTCATCCAAACACCCGCTGTGCTGCAAGTGTGCCATGACGCCTCCCACCAGATGAAGCGATCCAGACACCAGACAGTCGACCCCACCTTCCTTCTGCGCAACCTCGAGCACGTGATCGTGCATAGCCTGGATGCTCGGAGTGATGCGCACGTCTGTTCTGGACTCGGGCACCAACTCCTTCCACGTCTCTGCCAGCTGGTTCTGCACCGTCAGGTTTACAAGATCCTTGTCGTCGAGCAACTTGGACGTGAGTTCCGACGACCACCCTCCTCCTTCGAACGTGATGTTGGTGGTGAAGATGACTTGGTCGAAGTAGTCCTTTGCCAGTCGATATCGCGAGCTTTCGTCTTTGGTCGGACCGGATCCTTCTCCGGCAAGACTCGTTTCCACCGCATCGAGCACGGAAGAGAGCAGCTCGTGAGCGCTGCGTCCGTTGGTGCAGTTGAACACAAAGATGCGCTTGTTCTGCTTTGACTGAGTTTGACGCTGTTGGATCGCTGTGAACCAGCCGAGGCATACGCCGAGCGAGTCGGTGGTGTGTGCTCCGTCCAAGTACCACGTCAACCCCATACCTTGGCGTGAGGTCGGCACGGTTTGGCAGCGACCCGGCCACCTCGCCTCTTCCAAACCTCTCTTTTGCCATACTGCCAGGTCAAAAGCACGATGCGATGGCTCCTTGAACATCGAACGACCTGCTTGCGAGTCCAGGTATGCGTTGACTAGCTCCAGCGCCACACTCGCATTCGTCCGCTGGTGGAACCCTGGTAGGCCGAGGCTGACCGTGTTCGGATCCGACGTCCCTAGCGCAGCAGCATCAGACACAAGAGCGGGATGCACATCCACGATCTTGAGATCGCTCACTTGCACCTCGTCAGCTATCCTCTTGACCTCATCCAGCGCCTTTCCTGGCTGTTGTGCCCAGCACACCGCCGGCGCCTGTGGTTTGAAGATACCTGCTTTCTGCACGGCGATCTCCTCGACCGTGTTTCCGAGGATGGCCGTATGATCCAACCCGAGCTGTGTGATACCTGCGACCACGCACTTGGGCACGATGTTGGTCGAGTCGTACTTCCCACCGATGCCCACCTCGAGGATCACCGGCTGAACACCTTCGGACAGAAAGATGTGGAACGCGAGCAGAGTCAGGAAGCGAAAGTAGACAGGTCGCAGCGGTGTCAGGTCGAACTTGCGTGTCGGGTTCTGCTCCAGTCGATCCCACACCTGCCAAAAGTATTTTGTGAAGAGCTCGTGGGGGACGGGCTGACCGTTGATGCGAATACGCTCGCGAACGCTCGTCATGTGCGGTGATGTGTACAGCCCGACTTTGGGTTGCGTGGACGCGTCGACGGGTGTGAGCTGGCGTAGCAATGAATCGACGAATGCAGAAGTGCTGCCTTTGCCTTTCGTGCCGGTGATGTGGATGGCGTTTAGCCGGTTGAGATCCGATGTGCTGTACCCGATGCGTTCAAGGTACTCGACCATCTCGGGGATGGCGAAGTCGAGCAGTCGACCGCCTGATTTGCGAAGCGCCTCGATGGTGGCAGCATTGCTCTGCAACGAGTTGAGCGCATCGATGGCGTCATCGTAGGTGCGGGCAGCACCAGCGCGGCTGCTGCTCCCGTCTCCAGTCGATGTCGACATGAATGCAGATTTTATGTGATGAGTGCCAAGCAGCGGGGAAGATCGGATGACAGCAGCCGGATACCGCTGCCGAGCAAGGCCAGGACTGGGAACCGCGAGCCTCGATGCTGCGCGCAAAGGGGAGAGGCAAGTACGAGGTGATGCAAGAGACCAAGTGCCGCAACGCTTCATGTACCTTGCTGTGCCGTGAGGCTATACCGTCAAGCTGTGAGTCGGTAAGAGCACTGAGGTGGTAGTGGTAAAGACGCAAGAGTGCGACTGGCTATCCGATGCGAAGAAACTTGAAAGATGCGAGGACAGGGTATCAATTCTTCTCAAAAATGGACCCTGCGCAAACCTTATCGTTGTTAGTGGACGATATAATTTGTTTTCCTTGAGCTCGCTCCCTGTGTCGACGTAACACCTGGCCTCAATTCCGCTAAGAGCGGGGCCCCAAGCCTCAACTGAGGCTGAGCATGCAAGGCGGCAACCCTGCAGCGCCCTCACTCTCTCACTCCCGCAGCTGAAAACGATCTCGTTGCGCTTCAGTTGGCCCGTCCACTAAACTTAGCTTGGTGACACTGTAACTAGCGGTTACCGTTTACAGTAGCCGATGGTCGACTCAGGCTGCATGAGTGACAACTGCCTGACGCATCCTCATCATCCTCTCCTGCTGCTCATATGAGCCTCTGACACGGTCTCCATTTCACCTCTATTCCTTTCCTTCACAGCACCCGTCACTCGATTGAAAGCGCTACACAGGCTCGACCGACCTCCCCTCAAAATGGTCGACTCCGACAGTAAAGCTCCCAAGAACTCTCAAGCCAGCGACGACCACCGCTCGCAGCAAGACGCAGATGAGGAGTCGAATCGTCAACGCATAGCCTCCATCGCCAGCCGCTTCGGCGGCCTAGCAGCCCAAGCTTCCTCCCAGGCTGCTCAGAAGAGCACCGAAGCTGCGGCTGAAGCAGGGCAGCAGGTGGTCAAGACGGTCGAATCCACACGTCATGCTGCTGCCACCCAGACTGCCGGATTGCTCCAAGCCATGGCACTCACCACAAAGAACGTGTCTTCCGGCTCGAACAACGGTAAAGCGTGGTACGAGTACGAGTCGCCGTTGCACGCGCGGAGGAGGCTGGCCGAGTACGAGTCGCCGCTGCACGCACGTCGAAGGCTGGCTGCGATCGCTTCTCAGTTGGGACTGGCGACGTCGTCGGCAAAGCAGGCTCCGGGATTGTTGGGTGCGTTGACGTCTTCGCGCCAGTCGACGTCGAACAGCGCGGCGGATTCGAAACACAGCTCATCCGAGAAGTGGGCTACAGCGCCTCTGCCAGACTACCATCAGCTTCCGTCCGAGGGCGGTTGGCCAGGCTGTGCATGGGACGTCTGGGGTCGTGGTGATCAACTGGGCACCATCAACCTGCTCACCGAGTCGGTCGTGCTTCGCGCTGCCAAGGAACAGATCAAAACCGGTCGCACCGTCTCGCTCAACTGGCCAGTTCATCTCCCTGCAGAGCCGTTCTTCCGTCGCAAAGCTCTGACTCACAAACCGTTCGGCAAAGGTGGTCCTCCCTACACCGAGCCTCGTGATGCGTACATTGCCGGTGCTAGAGCCAAGAACCCGGATCTGTTGGTTCGAGAAGACACCAAGGTACCAGTGAGCGACGAGATGCTCGAACTCAATACGCAGAGCGGTTCGCAGTGGGATGGTTTCCGTCACTTTGGTCACATGCCTCTCAACGTTTTCTATGGCGGTGCGTCGAGGGCTAGCATTCAGGACTCGTTCGACGATGCCTCGCCTCAACCCGGTGATCCACAGAGTTGGAATTCGGAGGACGCCAAGAAGAGGAATGCTTTGGGGATCCATCATCTGGCTCAGCATGGAATTTGTGGGAGAGGGGTGTTGTTGGATGTGTTCGAGTACCTGTCGCATCATGGAACGGAGCATGTTGAGCGCGAGGGGTACGAGTGGTCCAAGTGGAGTCAACATGGAGGAGGCAAAGGCTACGATCCTCGCAGTGGATTCAGGATCACTGTCGCTGATCTCATCGCCACGGCCAAACATCAGAACGTCACCTTCCGACGCGGTGACATTCTTCTCGTTCGATCCGGTTTCACAGCGAGGTACTACTCCCTCAGCCTGACCGAACGAGCCGAGTGGTCCAGCCCAGCAGGTGGAATGCCATTTGCGGGAGTGGAGCAGAGCGAAGAGATGAAGCAGTTCATGTGGAACAACCACTTTTCCGCAGTCGCCGGTGACAGTCCAGCGTTCGAGGCTAGACCGACACGCGATGGAGAGTGCATGCTGCACGAAACGTTCTTGGCCATGTGGGGAATGCCCATCGGCGAGCTGTTCGATTTGGAGGGGCTGGCGCAGACGTGCAGGGAGATGGGGAGGTGGGAGTTTTACTTTGCCAGTTGGCCCTTGAATTTGTTCGGCGGTGTGGCGAGTTGTGCCAATGCTAGTGCGACGTTTTGAAGGCGGCGACGGTGGGGGCATCTGGAGGGGCGGTGATGTTCAAATGACATTTCTTGGATGAGTTGAGAGGGTTTGTGTGTGAGCAGATGTGCAAGTGTGTGGCAGCTAAGCGAGGTTGCACCGTTCATGTTTGGCTCGAGCGAGGGTTCATACTCCTCATAACGAGGCGTTTTTCAATGTCAGACGTTCAGACTCTACACAGCTGTTGCCAACATGTGTTGCACGATTACAACCAAAGTACACTATCAACACCAGGACCCCCACCGTGGACCCAACCTAAGGCCTCGCCGCGCGATCCTTGTTCTTGGACAAGATGATCTTCTTATACTCTGCCACATCCCCTGCGAACTTCTCCACCCTCCCATCGTCCACGACCCACAGCTCCTCCAAGCAATTATGAATGAATGTCTCGTCGTGCGAGATGCAGATCACACCGCCGTTGAACTTCTTGATCGCCTCGCACAGGGCATCGAGACCCTCGGTATCCAGGTGGTTCGTCGGCTCGTCTAGCAGCAGCACGTGCGGACGCATCATCGAGATGTGCGCAAACGCCACGCGCGACTTCTGACCTCCCGAGAGCGTGGCGATCTTCTGCAGGCCGGTCATGCCCTTGATGCCGAAGGCGCCGAGGTGCGAGCGGTACTCCTGCTCGGTCTTGCCGGGGTACTTGGAGGCGAGGAAGGAGACCGGGTTGGCGTTCAGGTCGAGCTGATCGATGTGGTGCTGCGAGAAGAATCCGACCCGCAATCGGCTGTTTCGCTTCTGGTCGCCCTGCAGAGGCGTGATCTCGCCCATGAGCAGCTTCATCAGCGTCGACTTACCCGCACCGTTGGGTCCCACCACCGCGACACGCGACTGCTGCGTAATGTCAAAGTCGACGCTCTTGAGCAACAGCCGATCCGGTCGATATCCGAACGTCACATTGCTGATCTGCAGCAGCGGCAGCGGCAGCTTCTCGGTCTCGGGCAGACGGAAGTGCACCACGTCGTCGTCCTCCGGAGGCTCGATGTGGGGCAACTTCTCGAGCTGCTTGATCTTGCTCTGCGCCTGGGCGGCACGGTTGGCATTGACCCTCCATCGGTCGATGAATGCCTGCAGCTGTGCACGCTGCAGCTCGACGGCCTCGTACTCGCGCTGCTGGTTGCGACGTCGTTCCTCGCGAGTCTGGTAGAACTGGTCGAAATTCCCCTTGTAGTAATCGAGCCTTTCGCTGTGCATGTGGATGATGTCGGTGGCGACACGATTGAGGAAGGCTCGGTCGTGCGACACGACCAGAAGCGTGCCTTGGTAGTCGTTCACGAAGTAGTCTTCGAGCCAGGCGAGCGCGTTGAGGTCCAAGTGGTTCGACGGCTCGTCGAGCATGAGCAGATCCGGTTTGCAGAAAAGGGCACGTGCGAGGGCGAGACGCATCCTCCAACCACCGGAGAAGGTCTTTGTTGCGCGCAGCTGATCTTCCGCCTTGAAACCGAGACCGTTGAGGAGCGACGCGGCTCGTGCTGGACCGGTCTCGGCCTCCATGTCGACGAGCTTGGCTTGCACCTCGCCGAGGCGTGCCGAAAGCTCTTCTCGCTTGATCTCACGCTGTCGTGTGGGCATGTCGACCGCAGAACCTCGCGAAAGACCAGCGGTGGCGTCATCATCGCCTTCGGTACCGTCGGCCTGCGCGGCAGCGGCGGCGTTGGCAGCAGCGACGGCAGCCGCAGCCGAGTCTTCGAGCTTCTGAAGCTCTGCGTTGATCTCGGCTTCTTCCTGCATGAGCTTTGCACGCCACACGTCGGCCTTGAGCACGCTTTCGATGGCCGGGGTATCGTCACCGGTGATCTCCTGCTCGACGTACAGGATGGAGATGGACGTGGGAATAGGAACCTCTCGCAACGCCATGTTGCGCAGCAAAGTGGATTTACCAACACCATTGCGACCGATGACACCGGCCCTGCGTCCAGCCTTGATGGTAAGAGTGGCATTGGAGAGGATACGGTTGCTGCCAAAGTTGACGTCGATGTTGGGGAGATGAATGTCTTTGTTCTTGCCCTTGTTGCCGATGCTTTCGATCGGGTTGACTTTGAGGAAGAGCTCCTCGTAGCTGGCCTGCTGTTTGGACTGCTGCACCAGTTTGCTGGATTCGTACAGATCTCGCTGGGCACGCTTGGCGAGCTTGGCGCGCGTCTTTGCCTCCTGCTTCTCGAGCTTCTTGACATCGACGGTGGAGCGGTTCTGCTTTGTGGTGCCGAGGGCGATATCGACACCGCCGGCGGAATCAAAGCCGGAGGTGCGCGACATTTCGGTGTTGCGCATGTCGACGACCTTGTCGAGACGTGTGAGGCCGTTGGCGTTGGCGGCATCGGCATCGTCCGGCAGCTTGGACTGGATGAGCTCGAGCAGCTTGGGCAGCAAAGCGTGGACCTGCTTTGACGAGGATGGGTCGGATATGCAAGCGGATTCGAGCATGGGTCTCACCACGCTCTCGAAGAGATCTTCGGTAGGATCATCGGCGGCGTCGTCGATGTAGCCGTCGAGGTAGTCGACGACGGGATCGTCAAGTTGAGGCAGAGCCTGACGAATGAGCGTTGCTGCGGCCATGGTTGCTGAGTCGCCGTTGCCGGGGGATGGTGGACTGCACGAAGAGGACGAGCGTCGATGGAGCCATCTTGACGAAGGACCCTTTGCTTCGTGCTGAGCATTTCTTCTCCCGCTTTTCTCTCGATAGATTCACGTGTTAGGTTCAGTCTTGTTCTGCTCACCAATTTTGACTAAGCTTTCGGTCAAAAGACCAAGATCGACAGGCACGGACCCGGTAGAGAAGTCAGGAAAAAGCGTCATGACGTTGAATTTCGCAATTTTTTTTTATCTGGCTTCGCCTCTGCGCAGACACCGTGAGACGATTTTCCTCCACTTGGTAGGGGAGCACGCAAGCTTTGTTAGGAAAGCCAGATCGCTGTCTCGAAGATCAAAGCCAAGGTAGGAAATGCAGACAGTGGCAGTCTAGCATCTCGGCGTAAGTCCGGGTTCCTAGCCTAGCACGTTCCTATTGTGTTGATACCGGGACGCTTTCTTCCTCCTCTCCTTCATCCCTCCACCCCAAACCTCTTTGAGATTCGATAGCAATTCTATCATACACATCATGTTCATCCGACCCGTCCTCTCCTCCTCGCTCGGCCAGGCGGCTCGCTCAAGCTTGCGATCCAAGGCGCCCGCCGTCCGACAGTACGCTACCGAGGCTGGCAAGCCATCTGGCGGCTCCAACCTTCCTCTCGTCCTGGCTCTCGGTGGTGTCGCCGGTTTGGGCGCATGGTACAGTCTCGGCGGCTTCGATGACCCCAAGAAGGCCTCGAACAAGATCCAGGAGAAGGGCAAGGAGGCCGCTGACCAGGCCAAAGGAGTTGTCGAGGGCGGTGCTCTCAACAAGGATCAGTTTGTCGAATTCACCTTGAAGGAGATCAAGCCCTACAACCACGACTCGGCCACGCTTGTCTTTGAGCTGCCCGATGGCAAGAAGCCAGGCATGGGTGTCGCGTCGGCCGTGGTCGTCAAGGCCGTCGGCGAGGGTGTCAAGGACGACAAGGGCAAGGACGTCATCCGTCCCTACACCCCCATCACCTCTCCCGAGACTGCCGGCCACATGGACTTCCTCATCAAGAAGTACCCTGGCGGCAAGATGACCACCCACATGCACGACATGAAGCCTGGTGACAAACTCGCCATCAAGGGACCCATCGCCAAGTTCCCATACAAGGCCAACGAGTTCGAGTCGATTGGCATGATCGCCGGCGGTTCCGGCATCACACCCATGTACCAGGTCATCCAGGACATTGCCTCGAACCCATCGGACAAGACCAAGGTGACGCTGATCTACTCGAACAAGACCGAACAGGACATCTTGCTGCGCGAAAAGTTTGACGAGCTGGCAAAGAGCGACGATCGCTTCACCGTCGTCTACGGCCTCGACAAGGTGCCCAAGGGCTTCAGCGGTTTCGAGGGCTACGTCACCGAGGATCTCATCTCGAAGCACCTGCCCAAGCCCGACCTGGCCAGCAAGGCCAAGATCTTTGTGTGCGGCCCACCTCCCCAGGTCGAGGCCATCAGCGGTGGAAAGGGCCCCAAGGGAAGTCAGGGCGAATTGAAGGGATTGCTCGCCAAGATGGGCTACGAAGCTGACCAGGTGTACAAATTCTAGACGTTCCAAAGAGTACAGTGTATTGTACGTTGCTGCAATTCAGAGCCCAATTCATCTTCTACGTGTTCGTGCCTTCTTTGGCGGCGCAACTGACTGATGTGCCGAGCCATAGATTCAGCTTAGTGGGACCCACGAGATGCAAAGCTGCCTTCATGTACCTTCCGCGGCCTCTATTCGCACTCTGCGAGCTTGAAGAGAGTCTTGATCGAGCTTCGTCGTGTTCGTATTCAGTAGTAAAGGGTCGCATGACTAAGCTCAACGACGAAGAAGCGGTTGAGATTGTGACCATTAGCGAATCTCACATGGCTGAGTCTCACCTCAGTAGAGACCTTCCAATTTGGGCCAAAACATTCGCGCGTGCCTGTTGCACTGTCGCCCTGAAACAGCGCTTTTCAGGGGTCGCGTGCATCCAGCCGAGACAGGCGAAATCAACACTCAACTGTCCAATTTTGCACAACTTTCCCTTCGCATCAGACGCAACGCTATGACATTTGCGAGCCCTTTCTCTGTCTGGTTGGGTGCATGAGGTCTTTCGATGTGGCGATGCGATTGCGGACATAGGCTCCATCACGACAGCGAAGTAAAGCAGGGAGAACCACGCTGTCTTGCCGGGAGCGGTCGTGTGAGAACGGCGAATTAACGAGGGGACGGCAATGAAAGCACGATGATCGCTTCGGAGATTCAATTTCTTTGGCTGCCGGGATGCAGTGTAGAATCATGTTCAAGATAATTTGCCTCTCTACCCTGATCGCCTCCGCATGGCTTGGGACGATCTGCTCCGAGCAAGTTTGATAGCGTCACACGGTCGTCCTGAGAGTAGAGTCTATGTCCATACGGTCGCTTGCCAAGGAAGCCAAGACCCGGTGGCCGGATTCTCACTTTCTTCCCCTTGACTGTCCGAGCGCCCTTCCACGCCCATCTTGAATCCGCTTCGTACGATGCTCGCACACATCCCGTTGTCATTGGTCTGTTGTCATGAGACCGTTCATAAGAGGGGTTGTGTGCATCGTGGCTGAGGAATGCTGAATGTGTTTCGAGGCTTGCAGTGTAAGAGTGGGGTCAGCGTCTCGGAACATTCGCTCAGAGGGACCCTGCTGTCAATCAGCGCTAAGCGTCTCTTGCCGAGGAATCATGTGGATGCATGGATTCATAGTGCTGCCAAGCCGCGTCCGAAGCGTGTAGAGTTTCCCCCTTCCCTTGGACCTTACTCCACGCTCTGTTGCGGGCGAAATCGCCGCTTCCGAGGCCCCACTTGCAGGCGTGTCCGTAGTGTCATGCAACGTCGATCAGAACTAAGCTCAGGTAGTTTCTCCCTGTCTCGCCTAGCCGTGTTGCCGCCATGCGCTCATCCGTGTTCTGCTGTGTAGACGTTGCTCGCAGCGCTGACGCTGTGTTCAACGTGATTTCAATGTCGATCTCCCTTCTGTCCGCTTGAGCATGGATGTGCTCAATATATACACCGACCTGCGTCCTTCCAAGCTCCGCTGATCCAGGCTCCTCTTCCTCTATGCTCACATAGTGGAACACCATCTTCCTTCCGCTCCATCACATACATCTGATCGCGAGCACAGTTCACATCTTTCGTTTTCCACAGACTCAACATCATCCTGATCCTTTACTTGACGTCTTTCATACCGCTCAACGCATCACCATCCGAACCAGATTCAAAGTGTGCGGAAGCGCTTCTGCCTAGCTGCTTCTTAGCCACAACTTTCCCCAACCACACCCCGACACTTCTCATAGCTGGCTACCGCTGAAAGCGACGACCATGCCGGGCATCTCGAAGAAACCCTCCTTCATCGCCCAGCAGACGGGCAGTCCTCACGCCTCGCCCTACGGCTCGCCCAACAAGAAGACCGTCCGCCTAGCCGAAAACCCGCATGTCTCGGCCTTCCTCTCTCCCAAATCGCGTATCTTCACCGGTGGTCATGGATACCCCGGTGTGCCGGCACGTGGTGCAGGACCCGCTTCCTCCGCCTCTGCCTCCTCTGCTGCTGGTGCCTTCAGTGCTTCTTCTGCTTCCGGTGAAGCGTTCTCCATCGCCGGGAAGCAGCTCACGCCGGACGAAGTCGCTCAAAAGATCGCGTCCATGTTGAAGCCCGGTCCGCCGTTCTTCAGCCGCGTGTCGAATGCCGATCTGATCGACTTTATTTCGGATGCGAGCATCATGAACTGCGATAAGCTGAGGGCGCAGTCGGCTGCACTCGAGGCGAAGAAGAACGCTAGCAGAGCGGCGGCGAGCTTTGCTCCTTCCGGGACGGTGGTGAGGAGGAGGGCCGAGGAGGAAAAGTGGTCCGGGGTGGGGACGGTCTGGTCCAGCCTGGATGGATTGCCTGCCGGTGCCGGATGGGGTAGGATCCCAGGCGCGCCTGCCAGCCAGAACGGCTCTACACTCTCGGTCAAATCCACCGCTAGCAGCACCAGTGGGCTTCAGGACGATGGTCTCTGGAACGCCATCACCCTCTCCTGCGACATCGACTGCACCAACGTCGAACTCGCCAAGAGCGTCGTCGTCCCCACGCAGGTGCTGGAGAAGAACAACTTCTTCAACGGAAACGCACAGAGTCTCTTCGACGATATCGGAGCAGGTGTCAAGTACAAGTTCGACAGCCTGGTCGGCAAAGCTTCCGGTGGTCTTCGTCACAAGCAGTCTTCTTCGACGCTCGGTTCGAGCAATGCTGGTGGTAGCAAGATCACGCCCAACTACCTTTCGCTTTCCGCGTACACGGACCCCAACAGCACCGCCTTCAGCGCCACTTCGTTCGAACTCAAATGGCCTAGCTGGATGCCTTGGGGTAAGAAGCACACCTCCACGCCTAATGGCGACACGGCTGCTCCCACGACACCCACCGACGGCGGTGCCAAGCGTGTCTGGGTTCCCTCCTCCACCAAAGTCTCCATCCACGCAACCTGGTGGGGCTACAACCTCTACCTCCCTCAACCCGTCCTCGACTCGCTGGACGGCGACGTCGACGAAGCCGAAAAGATCGCCAACCTGATCAACAAGTGTCTCACCTACATCCTCAACAACGTCCCCGCCGGTCTTCCCGCTTCCTTTGCCGCGGTCATCACCATCTTGAAGGCCATCGCTCCGACCACGGGTTACATCAGCACGTTTATCGGTTGGAGTTGGGATACCATCAAGAGCTTCAACAAGGGTGATGGGATTGTGCTGAGTGCGACGTGGATTTTGCCGGTGGCGTTGATTCCGAGGCCGTGGGATGCACCGACTGTGACGTCGCCTGCTTCGCCTGCTGCGCCTGCTACTCCGACCACGCCGACTGCTCCTGTGACGGGAGGTGGCGGATCAACCGTCACTCAGCCCACAGCTCCCACGCCAACCGCACCGGCCACTGGAGCAGGTGGCGGATCAACAGTCGCCCAACCCACATCTCCCACCACACCCGCCGACACCACAACCCCT